TGTTATTGATAACTGGCTAAACGCGTGGCTGCACCGTGTGAGTTGCTGTTTGGTTTCATGCAATATCTTCTAAACGATCCATATGTACATATTACCCGTGATCTCGCATAATAATTATTATAAAAATATCTTGTACACATTCCTACGCAAACATCCTGTGTTGGATACATAACAACTGCACTTTTTCCGTCCGTCACTCACTGGATTAAACTTATTTTTATTTTTATTTTTTTTAATTCGATAACGACAAGAAAACATTATGCTTATGATACTACTAAATATTACTACTCTTCGCCATAAAAACCAGTAAATAAACGCTCTTATCAGAACATACTTTGGTGAAAATGACACTGAACACGTTCTCCGAGCTGTTCCGTCGCCGTCATGTTTTTACCACTGTAAAGCAAGAGCACAAATAAATAACTCTTAACACACACGCTCTGAAATCTGATCTCTTGGCCATTCGATGCTCATGAATATATCCCAGATACTAAAAGTGTTGTAGACACCATATCATGCATGCGTGAGTGCTGAAAGTAAAAAAAATCAACAAAGTATGTAATTTCAATCGAATCGTTGAAACTATGATTATTTGTATTATTCATTTAGTGGCTACTTCTGCATGGACTGTTCGCTCAAATAAGCTGAAAGTCCTCGTTGCATTATTACCCTCATTGCATCGAATCAGTTTTTAAATTAATATTACAACACGATAATCATTGATAACATAAACTGCAAATTATTTTAAATTTAACAAACAACAACACAACGGCGGTGCATAATATATTAAAACTAAAAATACAAACTAGATTTATTTTATTTTATTCAAATTTATATTATTCCTGCGTATAAATTATTGACACACCTACATGTCATCCAATTTAAATCGGTAAAAATTGATTGATAAATCGTCATCTTCCTTGGGCATTTCGATAATAATTTATCTTTGTCAAATATAATCCAAAATAAAAAAATGAAAATTGTTTGCTTGTACGAATATGATCTTATTATTTTTTTATACGCCTGCTTCATCGGTTTCATTGTTGAATGTCAGCTTTACAACGCCGTTTTCTTTTGAAGAGTTTTTTTTTTTAGTTTGGAAAAACACTTTACGGGATCGGCATTATTCGTTCTTTGGCAACGCCTTATAATATAACGCGCTGCAGGTACTATATTATATTAATAGTGTTTTGATGTTTTTACAACGCTGCCGCTGAAGTAGCTATACGGCTAAGAAGGTGTTGTTATAAAGCCAAAGCCGGATGTCTATAAAACAAAGAAAAAAATCACCGCCATTTACGTTCATTATTTCAACGTATAATTATTTTTTTTTTAACGATAATAATAATAAGTACTATACGGGCGAATAATAATTGGAATGCGTTTATTGTGTGTGTGTGTTTTAGGGGTTTGCTCGAAGCGAACGGATTAGTCGGCGATGGTATAGGGAAGCGCTGTAAAGTGTGTGTAATGGCCTTTCATATCCGTCGTACGTGTGTTTGAAGGGTATAATACGCGATATCTCATAAAAGCAGACCTTGTGCGCTAATAATAATAATAATAATAACGCCATGATCCCATACATGCGAGCAAAAATGTATGATAATGATGATAATAATAATAATAAACGAAAAGATCCCACTAAACAAAACGCACACTCGTAAACATTTTTCTTTAATTTGTATAATATAATGGTTGTGCCGTGTCAAGTGTTTGTGGGAATAAAATTATATTCAAAAGCTACGGCGGAGACGTATCTGGCTTCTGTCGAATATGACATGGCTGTGGCAACTGCTGTATGGCAATGGGTACTTAAGATATTATATAAATAAAATATATGTAAATATTAAATTTATAATTAATTATATTTGCACCATCTTTTTACAAATTCGATATTATTATGAGATGGCCATTTTGGTCCGGCGTTTGTTATAACCATCAAATAAACGAAACTTGTTGATAATATATAGTCGTTATACTATAATACTAATTTATATACCAATTAGTTTTACAATGAGTATTCCTATTCTTAATATGATTGTATTGTCATTCTTCTGATTCGTCTTATCCCATACAAATGCGAATATCTGGATTTCAGTAACCCGGATTATACGAGTTATTTGGGTTTTCGGAATTAAATTTTATTTTTATCCAAAGATAAAATACAAAATTATTATTTAAAATAAACTTTACACACCTTGACAACAAGTTTAATTAAAAAAATATATACAACTTGAAAATCCAGATAATCCATCAAATAATCCAGATTACTTGAGGAATTTCAGTCCCGTTCAATTCTTTAACTTTTGATTTCCAAACGACAGTATAACAATTATAATTTCGTTAACACATAAAACGTAATGAATGAAACAACTGTGGTAGTCCTTTTTGTACTGTGGTAGACAAGTGCAATAAATGCATAACATTTTTCAGGCAGTTGCTCACTTACTACACTTTACTGCATTCAAAAACGATGGAAAAACAAAAAATATTTTTGATATTTTCATGGATATTGACTTACACTCCTGCATCCTCTTGTGTGTATCACTGTTCTCGAGTTCAAAGTTTTTTCAAGTTTATACTGAAGTATAATGTCATTTGTATCTACACAATATATATAAAAAATTGTTAGAACTAGTTATCGGCCATTATTTGAATACTATTTTATTTGTAACACCGCGCGTTATTGTATTATTAAAAACTTAAATATGCTGCAAACTATGCAAAGTTCACAATAATTAAATGTTAAAATACTGAAATATGAAATACTTAATCATACATTTTTCTATAACTAATTTTATTCGTTTTTACCGTTGTATTGTAAAAGTAAAATATATTCACTGAAATACTAAACAAAAAACGTTCCGTTAAAATGATGTTCTAGTAGTCTTTATGGAAACGCCGGCAATAAGACATCAATGGTTTAATTAAATAACATGCCAGAGACATTGTGCTCCGAGACATTTCTCATACAATTGAAATTAAATTCTTTATTTCGTTTTTTTAAATAAAAAAAAATGTACTACATTGGAAAAAATTGCCGTCTTCCTGGACATATCTTAACAGGACGGCACAATTTAATAAATAAAATAGATAATAATTTCGTTTTGTTACGAAATTACTATTTCCTGCAAATAAGTCTCGGCTTTTGATTCCAATAACTTTGTAATAAAAAAAATAATTATTTACAACGTTATATTGTATTTTTTTCTAAAATAAGAAAACGGCTATTACATATAAATGAAAAAGGTAGTTAAAACGTTACAACTATATAGGTATTATTACTTGTGAATGCAAGAATATTATTTCTTCCAATAATCCTTAGGATAAAATTGGAGAATTAAAAATGGTAGGTAATATATAATAAATAATAAATATAAAATATTTTGTTCAATTTTTGATACAAAAAAAAAACCATTTATTTGTAATGACTTTAAAATAATATTTTATGAGCTGTATTACTACAACAGCTTTGCACTTATAGTATTAGCAGCACATAATGTAATAGTATTTTTTTTTTCGTTTACACTACTCAACTACATTACTGCTTACTTAAACTTTTATGCTTATAATATTTGGGGATATTCACTTTTGAACTAATGAATTGATATTATTAAAAGAGAATTATTTAAAGACTCTTAAAAAAAATTAAAGCAGACGAGATAGATTAAATATACAGCAAATGTATATGTCTCCGTTTTTTATTAATATTGTATACTATACCGTTTTGTACACATATTATTATGGACCTCGTTTTTTAATAACTAATTTAACTAATTTAAGCTTTATGTATGTTTTATTACGTTGCATCCTTATATGCAATGTCTTAGAGAAAATGTTGAGAAAATCTAAATAAGTAAATGAACAACCAAAAATGTACTACAACTATCATTATATTTAGTTCTATTTCTCCAGCTACCCCACCTTGACATTTTTCCACCCCACCTCAAGATGCATTTAACAAAACAGAATATTTTTCTGCCTGATAAATATACGAAATTACAATTAATTTAAGTATATTAAGTAGAGATATCAAACAAAATAAAAACACCACCCCATAGATAAAGTTTTTCTCTATACGTTGTGAGAATTCGGTAAATTTACCCTTAAAGAAGGGGGTCGGAGCACAACTAGTTTTTATGCGTTTTAGACCACTAAGTGGTGTTAAATTAGATATACTTCCCATAGTTGGATTCTAGTTTTTAAAGTATGTATGGATTTGTTGACAAATTGTCTAGGTTTCTTAGGAAGCTGATTTTCGATTTAAAATTTGGTATACCTAAAATAAATTTAAATGTAATTCGGGAGTTATCACTGATTTTTCAAAAATAATAAAAAATAATTTTGGAGGTCTTCAAAAGAGAAAATTGAAAATCGACTTCCTACATTCAACACTGGGAAGTATGTCTAATTTAGCACCGCTTATTGGTCTAAAACGCATGAAAACTAGTTGTGCTCCGACTCTCTTAACCCATTAGTTTCCAAGGTTAGAAACATTAGTTTGGGGACTAATGGGTTAAGGGGTAGATCTACTAAATTCTCATAATGTATAGAAAAAAATTATATCAATGGGGTGGCGTTTTAAATTTTTTGATATCTTTACTTAATATTTTTTTGTAAAAACCATGCTGCGGCCCTCGAAATAAAAAATTAGGAAATTATTATTATTGTCATATTATCCTTATTGTTACGCATATCCGTTAACTATTCTAATTACTTATACATATAGTCAATCATTTATTAGAGTAAAATACCTTACTCACCTTTCTTAAGCACAAATATACTATAATATAATATATTGTGTTTTAAGATGATTGATCACATTGTAGTATTTTTACTAACGTCGGTCAATGGTGTAATAAATGTACATTCTACGAAAAAATATACCAGATTAATATTGTGATGACACGTTACTTGTTTGTACTATTGTATCGATATGACTCAATTATGGTATAGTGTTTAATTTTAAAGTAAAATAATTGTTGACACGAATTTTTCAGATTCGGCGTTGGATTTTGTTTCACGGTTGTTTACGCCGCGTTACTGACTAAGACAAACCGTATATCGCGCATATTCAACGCTGGTCGTCGAACCGTCAAACGTCCCAATTACATTTCTCCAAAATCTCAATTAGTCATATGCACCGGACTGATATCTATACAAGTAATAATGATAATATTAATTAATATTAAGGTGCTTACTACTTGCACGCTCGCAAAACTTCCCCGAGAGCACAACTAATTAATTTAACAAGCCAAGTATTGCTAATCTCTCGATCAGAGGAAAACCGCAATTAAAAGCTGTTAGTTACCGACGATTTTCTCGGTCTACAACGTATATATATATAATAAATACTTACACCTAATGACATTGCTCAAGAAATTCGAAATTAATTGCAACCGTCCAACTAAAAAACATTGATTCCGGTTACTTGACGCAAATACATGGAGTTTTCTGAATAGTGTAGTGTTATAGCTTCGATGCGGAGTTGTAAAGTGAAAGGTATTACTTTTACAATAATGTCATTCTTTTGTGTCTGTAAGCCCGTTAACTTTTTTCTATTGGGCCTATTTACTCGAACAGCAGCTTTATAAATCACAAACCGTACGAACGGTATTTCGTATGACCCGAATGTTGACTAAATTTACTACTGCCTCCCCCCTCATTATAGAGAAAACAAATATTTAACGGGGTTTAAACTTTGAAATATTACTTTGCATGGGTAGTAGTCAGATTTAGTAGAACTTCTCAATTCATTAACCAATTTACGTTTAACACCTTCATATAACATAAGATACATCTTGTGTGTACTTGCAAAACAGTATGTTATTATAACCAAATCAATTTATAAAGTTAAAAAAAAAATAGAATACACCCTAACCTAACCAGTCTAATTTTCAGACCTTAGGCACAATATAGCAATTGCTAGAAAAATGTTTATACTTGTATACACATAAGATTTTTCGGACATATATAATGCTAGTTTATAAAAACTTGCTGGATTTGTTTTTACAGGTGCTCATTAATGGAGTATGGATGCTAGTGAGTCCACCCAGGGCCATTCATTATTATCCTAGCAGGGAATCTAACATACTAGTGTGTTCTTCGTTTATCAACACATCTTATGTGACGGCGTTTGGTTATCCAATCGTGTTGATCGTAGTGTGCACTGTGTACGCTGTGCTTACCAGGAACATCCCAGAAGCGTTCAACGAGTCGAAGCATATAGGTGAGGTTACAAAATTTATTACTACCGCTAAGTATGCGTTGTTCTAAAATTCTAAAAGTAAAGTAACAACGCTATAATTACTTACAAGTAAGTAATTTGTTTATATTTCAATGTTCTAAAATATGAATTATGAATTTAATTTTAATTTGTATACAAACCTCATGGCTTTAGTCCATATTGCTCTACTAATATAAAATCATATGTTAAGATAACAAGTAATGACAAAAATAGGTAGTAAGTTGAAATTTACTCAGAAAGAGGGGTTTTTTGTCTGATTAAATTTATTTCCCGGGTGATTAAACTCAATATAAATATATACATAAAACACGACATTTTCTAAAGTTTCAGTAACGATAGAGGTAGGAAAACAACCAACTTTAATTCTGACTTTTTTCAACATAGAATGTGATTGGTCTTCGGCTTATCTTTGAATTTACAGACATTATTTTCTACTGTCGAGAAAAAAGTAGTTCTCAAAAAGTTTCTTGATCTAACAAATTTAATTAAAATCTAAGTATTTTATTTAATGATAAAACTACTTTTCTAAATTCTGGGATGTAAGCCTACACCTCGTACAACAAGTTTGTAAGTAATGGGTTAACGTTTAGCGATTGGCTGCGTTAACGTAATGCAGACAAATTTGAATAGCGCCAATTACTTTAATTAATACAAAAGTCGTTAAAGCGGTTGTTGTAGAAAGATTGTACCTATGTTTTTTGTATGGTCTGCATATTTGTGTTGGACTGTTGAACATGGGAACCGTCGTTTCTAACGTCAAACAAACCGCTTGACGGTATAAAGTTATGGTGCAGAAACTCGGTTTCCTTAAATCGTAGTGCCGTGTATAATTCCCAATAGTTTGTAAGTAGGTATACATTAAGTAACATACGCCATGTTAAATTATAGTCGGTCGTCATAACTCATAAAACAAATTACCTGTGTCTTACTAAATAATTACTGTAATTATGCGCAAATGTACTCTGAAAGTTTGTCGTGGCACGGGACTTTTACAATGTAGTTCTCGTTACTTTTGGCCATAAAAATACCACCATTGCAGTATATGAGAAACTTTCAACTAATTTTCACCGTTAGCTGTGAGCGTACGTGGTACTGCTGAACAAGTTTAATCCATCACAGTTTCAAATCTATACTTCAACATTCATAAGCAACTCGACAAGGAACCAAAGTGCAACCGACAAAAACGTTATGTACTTAAGTCGTAACTTATGTTTGATAAAACATAATTCCAACTTTACACTCAGCCATTGCCATTGCTCCTCGCCTGCTGTATTCACTTCCCAAAATACTCCAGTGGCAGCGTCGAAGACAGTGGGTGTTTACATTGTCCATTGTTTACATTAACCGGTTAGGCTGCTGCTCGCACTGTCAAAAAACCCGCCCTTGGAGGAAGCGTCGGGCAGCGACAATGCGAGGGGTTATAGTTTCGTATGCACCGACATTAACCTAGCATATAAGGTCAACCGTCAAAATTAAGCCTTTTAGTTGTCATGTGATGTAGGTAAGTCCAATTTTGGCAAAATTACGTACACGTGGGTTGTTGGTTTTTGTTTAACAATGAATTTAAATGACATGCTTTTCAGTGGAATAGTGTAAGCTTATCTGATTATCAAAATTCATTATTACATCAGAAACGTCAAACATAATAATATAATCTACAAATAACCGTCCCTTTGAAATAAACAAATTGGCAAATACAAACACCTAAAATATTATTATGAATTACAATAAAAATTAGAGTAAACACAAGTTGGGAAACGTATCAAAATTTATAACTCTGTTACAACTGTAACTTTTAAATATTTTCATGATTTTCAGCTTAACCCTTTAACGTCTACCGGTTTTTCTATATACTTTTGTGGAAAATACAAGTTTTCAAGCTAGGAAATTTAGAGGATATGTTATAGCTGTTCTAATGATAATTTGAGTGTGCCAGATAATTGTTGACAAGTAGTATCTATGCAAGTAGTAAAATGGGATGTCAACAAATAAATTATTGTATTTTCTTGTTTTCACATCGCAATAAAATATACTGTAACTATACAATAAATACATACAATTCCTCTGTTATTTGATTTTAGTAACCGCTGCGTTTCGTGCATGGACTTAGTTAGTATATTCAAACTTCTATAATTGCCTTCAACAGGTTCAGATGCAAGTTGAAAACTAAGTTAGGAACTAAACTATGTATATATGTATTCATGAAAATTAACTATACTGTCATACCTACTATACTCATAAATCTTATAAAAATAGGTACTTTTTGATACATACACCTACATAACATACCGTGGTGGGTTCTGTTTGATTATTATCAAAAATGTACTAGTCATGTTATTTTTTTTAACATACTTTAGGTGATTTCCGTACTGAATATCAAACGTAATCTAATCACAGTATTTTACGATAGCGTATTTTCTAGATCACCAATGTATTATTTTTTTAGATCTTGTACTGGTTTTTAGTAGTCTGAAATAACTGAGATTTTTATGATAAAATAGACCCAGTTCCATATTTTAAAAATACTGTTGAAAATTACCATTATTTTTGTAGTTTAACGGTATAGATAATAATCTCATCTCAAGTCATTACGCTCTATTCTGTAACTAAATGGAATGCACATAATGAAATTCTAAAAATATTTAAATATAAATTACAAAGGGACTTTTTTAGTGACATAAACGCGCACCTATACTTTTTGGGGGAATTTTTAAAAAGTAAATTCCATTGCAAACACAAAATTTTAGCATAAATCAATTTATGACTAAAAAAAAGTATAAAATATAGTTAATAGGTTTTTAATATTTTTTTAAGTATAGAGTACGTTTTAAGTTGACCTACGATAATGTATAACTACTTGTCTAATTTTTTTATACATGGCTAGTTAAAAAACTCTCCTTATTAAAGTTTAAAAAAAAATCATGAAAAGATACATTTTTCAACTTTAAAATAGTCAAATTCATTTCTAAATTTATAAAATGTACTTTTTAGTTATAGCACTACAGATAAACAATCAAAAAACAATACAAAAATCATATCCCTTTTTTTCTAAAAGCTGTGGAACCAGCGAAAGTATTTTTTAATTCGTTTTTTAAGGATAGTGTTGGGGACTTGATGTCTGAAAAGTGGACTGATGGTAAATATAAAATGAGTCTATAAAAAATAACAAAAGTTGAAGTCAAACTTTTTTTTTAACACAATTTGTCACCTGTGTAGTGCTTTTTATTGATTTATAATATTTTTTTGCTCGCCCTACAGATTCACTTCGAAGCGATTTTTATGAAAGGTATTTTTTCAATTCGAGTTCCTTAATAATTCCTGTCACCGGCCTGACTCGATTATACTCCGCCCCCACTTTGCCTCGACTTTCATTCTGGTTGGTTTTTTATCTTAACAAAAATTAATGATAGGTGTTTTTTACCCTTAGATACTTAGACGAGACAACAACAATTAAAATTTACTTCGTAAAATATGGAACTCATTTGTAAACTTTGTATTAGAGTTTTTTTTTCCTTGTTTATATTACAGAAATACTAGATCTCGGTTACGATTACGGAAAATTTTCACGATCAATCGTTTTAATCATATTTTTCGGTCTGGTAATCAATTTAGCACAAAGTCGCTATAGTAACAAAAAAAAAAAATGCATTTTTTTACTGCGCGACTTAGATGACCACACAGACAATCATATAATACGGTTAAAGCAGATACATTTTACGGTTTAATAAAGCACATTGAACGTTGTAAAAAAAAAAAAAAAGATTTATTGACGTAGTTTTAAATTCGATTAGGTTTTCCTCGTCTAGGTGACTAGTCGGTTATAATATAAAATTGTGTTTTAGGCCCCGGAATACATTTTAGAATTGATTGAGAATACTTCAATCATCGTTTTATAGTGTATTTTTAAAACCGAACAAGTTTTTATAAACGTATTCGTGATTTATTGGATTATACCCGAGCTGAGCATATCCTTATTGTTTTTATAACAAAATGTTTTATTCGATGGGTTTTATCTATAAATATATTTTGGCAACATTCCCGTCCCTTATACTGTCTATAAGATGGAAAATTATTTTTTCACTGTCCTGCATTACGTACGGGGATTGAAAATAGGAATTTCCTCATTGATCACTTTACTCAAATAACATAAAACGAACAATCAACAACTGTCATCTCCAACTAAAACTGCAACTAACACATGCGTCTCCAACACAAATAAACAAAACAATAACAATGTGTATTATACTATTATGTGTGACTATTTGTTATCGAAAATAATCGTCAAATGATTTGTCCCAACTAAATGAATTAGAGCACGTTAAATAAAAATTATCAACTACTTAAAAGTAGAAGTATTTAAAACGTAATAAGCTACTTTGTCATTTAATTTAATAGTGACTATTTTTTCCCTGTGAATATATGATTCAGTCAGTGATTAAGAAGGTTTTATTTTAATATCTAGAAAAACAGTAGTTCATAAACTTTTTTCTAAAAAAGTGTATAATATATTACTTCGTAGAAATTTGTACAGTGACGATATTTTTAATTGATGGTTCTAAAAAATCATCTAAAGGGTATTTATTTCGATGAAAAGGGTAAATTTCAATGAATGTAATATTGACACTCAACTAGAGAGATTATTCCAGAGACCAAACCCAAGCTTATTTGGGATTTTGTTTTAATTAAACACAATTTTTAAATTGGAATTCTTTTTTAATAAAATAACTTAAAAATATATCAAACCGAAAAATAAACCAGTAGATATTTAATAACTTTATTAGTAGGTTTTAACTTTATAGTTTTTTTAAAAGTTATTTTTTAACTTAAATAGTATGTATTAAATAAGTATTAAAATGTAAAATAATAAATATGTTGTACAATTTTTGTTTAATTTTTTAACTGCGTTTCATTGTGCATCTTTTTTATTTTAATACTTATTTAAATATCTTTTAATTTATAGTTTTACAAATCCTAGGGGCGTTTAACTTAAACTATTTCTTAAACTTTTTAAACTTTATTAAAACTTATTTTTTTTTACTTTGTAGAGGTATTAATATTTCTGAACTTTTCTTCCATGTAGAACGAATAAATTAATAAATTATTATAACTTTTAAGCTTTCAAATACAGGATGACTGAAAAGACTTGAATTTGTCTGCCACAATTAAGATTTAAGATACTATATAGTTTAGATAGATCTATGACTTCTATAAAATTGATTGTTATCAATATCGGTAAAAAAAAAGCGTTGGACTATTATCAAAATTATACTAAAAATATAGGCTTGATTGGTTAACGCAGCATATTTACAACAATAATTTAACCCTATTTAACTAACCGATCACGCTTTTACAACCAATCTTATTATGATGAGAGGTAAAAGTAAATAGGAACTATCATATTATTGTTATCGACATTAAGAACAATGTTTACAAAAATCATTTAAAATAATTTACTTTTGTGTTCAGGTGAAACAGTGCAAACATTGTATAGAATAGTGTTAGAGGAGTTGGAGGGATAAATACAAATTAATATACAATTATAATAACAGTATATGATTTTTTTCATTTTTTATAGGTTTCACTATGTACACTACGTGCGTTATATGGCTGGCGTTCGTACCGTTGTACTTTGGAACAGGCAACCATACTCCATTGAGGATAACGACCATGTCAGTCACCATCAGTCTGTCTGCCAGCGTCACTATTGTTTGTCTTTTCTCGCCCAAGGTACTTAATATCAATCAATTATACTAGACGACATATCGTATGAAAAGTGCCGCCACACAAAACTTGTCCATTTTTGCTTAATGGATTCTTATAGAGGTAGAAAACTTTATATCGTCTATATCAGACGGGTAAAGAGGTTACTTCATATTTGCAAAGAGTGACATTTCTCCGATTTCCAATTGAAAACTGAAATGTGTTTTAACTTCGATTTTTTCACGCCACATGCTTTTTCGCAATACGTTAGCGACATATTTTAGATTTTTTTTTTTAACATGCAATAGACAGAAAGTGTTAAGATGAGATAAATCTTTTATAGAATAGCAAACAAATTCAAACGCCGCGCTGCGGAGAGTAGTTCATAATCTTCGGTTGCTTTACTTTTCTGCGGTAGTGCGTTTGATTTTTTCCCAGAAGCTTTCATCGTACAAAAGTGCTACTGTAAAATCAAATAGTTACTGATTTATCTCGTTTTGTGGCATATATCTATAATTCAATTTCAACATCGCCTGGGGACTGGCTTCGGGAGACTGAGTCGTATTAGAAATTTCAAGCAAACAGAGTGTATATTTACGAAATATTTAAAACCCATTGTGTAAGACGCCCGCTAAAAAGTTACCACATACCGGAACCCCATGAGGTGAAGTATGATTCAAGTTCGACTTCATAACAATCTCAATGTGTGATCGGGTGGCGTTAATTAGTTTCCTCCAACTTGAAACGTCGTTAGTCCCATATTCATGTCTAACTTTATTTTATACAACATGTTTATAAAGCGTTTTTTCTCATTTAAACACATTCTACATTATAGCTGTACATCATTTTGTGCCATCCTGAGCGCAACGTACGTCAGAGCATGATGCCCAACATGAGGCTGACGGGCACGAAAACGTTTACTACGACCAACACTAACGCCAACGCCAACAATTCTACGCGGAGACACAGCTCGTTGACATATAAAGGTACATTTAAAATTATAATAACAAGTACATACAAAGTTATTATTAGCACACATGCGTTAAGCTGATTTAGCTTGTTTCATCATAATCCGTCGAGGAATTATACTCATTGTTGTGTAAATACCAAGCACAACTGTCGAGACGACGCCACCCACCACATTAATTGTTCGGTGTAGGCAATTTTTCACAGAACTAATTGCGAAAATTGTTTTTTCTATGCTTTAAATGTCCTATTATCTACGGCTACTGCCTCGCCAAAGGAGTAGAATTCTTAAAATATTCTCTATTCCGTGACGGGTAGCTAGTCCTTCACCAGAGAGGACGAGGCGGGCTCCTTTTCACTAGTGTATATGATTTATAGTGTATATTAATTAGTATACAACAATAAAGATTAGTAATTAATAATTAGTTTATTTTTTGATGGACTACCTACAGCCACTTTCATGAAAACAATTGTTTTAGCTGCCCTTAAAATAATCGGATTATTTTAAACATGAAATAACCTATCAATTGCTCCAAAATTATTTACGCTGTGATGCCTTCTGCACTTCATTGAATCATATTTCTTGATTATCCCGTTACTAGTTATAGTTGAGACTTTAGCTGAATTTACAGAGAGTAATATTCGCCTTTTTTCTATAATGTTAGTTCCAAAGATATAAATTTCAAAACCCTAATTTTATTGACATTTCTTGAAATGTTTTTGGAGGTTTAAAGTCCATCAAAAGTGAATAATTTTAAAAATTTACTAAATATCATATGGAGTCGACTAACCAAATATTCTTTTTTTTATCTTAAATACCCTAATTCGATACAAATTTCTATCTTTTATATAATTTCTTTATTCCGTCAACATATCTTTAAATCGTTATTGGTAAGGTCTACACGCTTATTCTTTGGCCTGTAAACACAGCTACGCTAATCTCTCCAACCCGTTTTACCAATTGATTTTCATCTTGATCCGCTCTCTCTCTTACTTTTCCTGCTATCCAAACTAAACTTTATACCCCATCTTCATCCCCATCCCCACCCCCACGGGGTAAATATTACATTTAACTAGTCTATATTTATTTATTTTGTTTTTTTTTTTTTTGTATGTGTGGTCAATTATGAACATGTTGTATTGTATTACTATCAAATTGATAATCGACGGTGGATAATAAAATCCCTTTCTATAACAAACATATGCCCAGATGTAGTATTGTTAATAATTATATATTATTATTTGTTGGTTGTGTGCCCAAATACCGTCAAAATGCCCGCCAAATTTGCGATTACCGTGACAAATGCGACACGCCTTTATTTAATTAGAAATCTGAGAATTATTTATATCAGTACGTACGTTCGCGCTGTACGCTTTTACTATGGCGGATTGCATTCAAAACAATATTAGCTCACGCATTCACAGACAGAAACTTTTACGAGGGGTTATTTTTTTTTCATCTTGTTACGGTATTAATTACCGCGGGTCGGTGTCGCAATTAAACAAAACATGCACTACACACCGACCTACATACCTATAAGCATAATATATACCTACCTTGCGCATATTATCATTGTTTATTACACATCGTCATTCATAGTAATAATAATCATGATAACAATTATAACAACAGACCGATGGGTAAATATTGAAGTAAGGGTTGTCATAACACACCTATATATATATATATATATATATATAGTAAGGACTGGCGGGCTAATGGTTTCGTGGCGGGATAAAAAAACAAAATTCATAAAATGTATTATACAATATGTCGGTAAAACGTTTTGAAATATTATGATTTTTTTTTTTTATTACTATACACAACACGAAAAACGAACAAAAATACTAATACACTGTTATTGTTAAATACGACCCTATACTATGTTTATCGATTTATCACGAATAAATAATATTATTAATCGAGCATGAGTGATTTAATTGTTTTGAACAATTGTTTTTTGTATCAAGTTAACAGTAATAATAGTGGGTTTATTAATTTGTACATATTTTTTACACTAATACAACGTTAAAAATAATTACAATACAAGTACACAAATTAAATCAACCTTCTTTAAGCTTTGATTTTTTTTCTTTTTTTATGTGCAGAATGGGTAGGAGGTGGTACTCAATTATCAACAATCTAGACTTCTAGATATCATAACAAGGGCTGCGAGGGAAAACATTAAGTCAATATGTTCAAATTTTCAGTATTGAAATTCAGAGTTTGAGAATTCCACTTGCTTTACCATTATAATTATTTTTAAAAACTACTGTGAGCTGTAGTGCGGTTCGTGATATTTTTTCTACGACTCGATAAAAGGATCCATTCGTTTGGAAACAAACCATAAGATGGTGTAACTAGCTCATTTTTACGAAAAGTTTACTAAGATAGTTGTTCCTTGCAGCCCTTCATAGGATTTGATGTCGTGGTACGTTTAACAGTCAACCTAATAAATATTATTTACTTTTATAAAAGTATACTTTATTTTAAAAATACATAATAATTAACTTTTTATCGGTAGGTATACCGAGAAATCATCTGTTAAGACAAACAGTTTTACTATAGCTTTCTGAGATAGAATCGAAATCCAAAATAAATCCATAATGATAATAATAACGTAAATTAAATAATTAGAATATAACTGAAAATTGGTTTTAATTAAATGTATGGACATTGTTTTAAATTATTAGCATGATGTGTACATGTATGTATTCTTAACATGTCTTCATAGTTCATATACATACATATAAGACTTAAACTTGTTTTATTTGTTGTTTACTATTATCTGCTTACATCGTTAAAACGTTAGTTTGTTTTAGGCGACACAAAGTGTTATTATGTCTTGTGGCCAATTATTTTGAATTTGTCATGGGGAAAAACTTAAATTAGTAGTTTTTCATTTTCTTATTTAACTTACAGTATTCCGTGTATTAACAAAATAAATCGATTTTAGAACTCCAAAGCCAGTTTCAAATTTAATTTTAACTCGTTTTTTAGTATTATTATTTATTAACAAAAATTGTTTAAATTCTTTTGACTGATATTGAAATAAACTACACACGTCACTTGACTTTTCTGATAACATCTGAGGAAATGCTAAGGAAATCGATTACAATTTTGCCAGAACCGCGTTTCGAATAATTTGGTTAGAAGGCATATTCGGCGATAACGAAATTGTTTTATTGACTTGACACAGATTATTATTTAACGGTCGTTTTGTGTGCTTTTGACAGGGGATCCACCGCAATGTCTGCACGTCGAAACACTAATAATTTAACCCCGACATCGGCTAATTTCTTTAGGTCTGAAAAATTGAGCAATAACCATAATATTTTGGACACTTTTTATAATTAATTTAATGTCAGACCGAGGACGCTAATAAACGCGAGGTCGTTATTGTTTTCCATTTCGTGGTAGAGTGACGTTCGTTTCTAACCAATCTCTCAACGGCCACTCGTTTTCTTTTTCTTATTTTTACCCTGCTATGCTTTATCTTTTTGAAGTACACTTCCGAGTGGTTCATTGAATTTCAAATGTTTCATTTTAACGCCCCAAATATTTCAGTGGCTCGGCTTTTCTCGTAGAGTCGAGTTGTATGTATTTATATATGTACAACTCGTATAGGTAGGTACAAGTTAACAGACAAAACGTTTTACCGGTCCACGAGTATTCTTCGCGAACCGTCATTTCATTTCCCAAGTAGGTATTCTACGGAAAAACAATATTAAATACTTTTTTTATGAGAACCGGAATAAACATGTATTGACTATAAAATAAACCAATTAATATGGAAATAAAATAACACTTGACCTTCAACGCATAATAAATAATATAGCCTGGCGATCCTAGATTGCTTGATAACCGTTGATTTATAGTTGACATTATAATAGATATAAACACGCCACTATTTTAATTTGAAAATCAGTAGCTAAAATGTTAAAATATCTCCTCAATGCACATTTTTGGAGCCGATAAAAAAAATCTTGAATCGATTAACTCGAAATCGACATTACTTTAACTACAGCCACATTTCTAGAGCCTCGATTTTCCTGCTAGATGTTTCTGTTTAAGGCCTACAAATATCAGCTACAAATAATAATATAGAAGCCCAAATTGATCAACTCATTAATGTCCAGCTTTTGGATAGCAAATTTCAAATGCAATTTCCCGTAAGACCTAAGGGATAGATAAATTATTCTATGGTGGTAATCACATTGCTTATAACCTTACAGTACCTAATTTACTCTAACGGGTTTTAATTATAACATTTTTTTGAAATTACAGTAATCGAGTAAAATATAATTTATTATAAATTAAAATAAACCTTCCGTTTTTGTTTTAAATAAAAGTACATTATAATTTTGGCAGCAACCTTTTTCACAAGGGCGAACAACAAAACGACGTACTCCAGAGTTTATTGCAGATTAAAATCCACCTCGTCAACGTGAATACCCATTCCCAACGTTATTTATAATTAATATTCCATCTCTATCCTATTGTGGTACCGTTTGTGATTACCAACAGTCGGTGAGGACTTTGCTATTTTTTAGGTGTACCTACCTATAACTTGTATACTCTATTCTCAAGATAATTCTTCGTTCGAATTTCTAATACCGGGACTAATTAATATCTTCTTCTTCCTCTGGCATGGTTACTCTCTAAGAGTTTTTGCCGCCATTACTACACTTCGCCACCTATCTCTATTTTGTACTGCCTCTCTCCAATCCTCAACTCCAAGGGTTTTTAGATCTTCTTCCACCACGTCAATCCATCTTTTCCTAGGTCAACCTCTACTCTAACTGTTTCGTTCTCCCCTCTTCTCATTATATGGCCTAACCATTGTATCCGTTGGCCCTTAATAAAGCTTGTTACTGGTGCTAGTTCTAACATATCGTACAACTCTTTGTTAAGTCTCCTCCGCCAGTTCCCCGTGGTTTCATCGATAATAGGTCCACATATTTTCCTCCACACTCTGTTCTCGAAAGTCCTCAGATTTCTCTCTATTTGTTTGGTCGTCTTCCAAGCTTCCAAAATTAGGTATTTTGTTGTAATAAGCGGCATTACAAAAAAACAAGAAACCCTAATTTTACATTAAGTATTTTTGTAACTTAAAAGCGTCTAATCCTATTTAACTTTAAACTTAATCTAACTGTAAGTCAGTTTTTTGATGAAATAACTGAATTATTTCTCTTATATAAATTTACTTAAACTTATTATAATTATTTAGTTACTTGGCCAGCGATTCGTAGAAAATACCTTTCGAAAACTTCTCCAAACCGGCGCGACACCCGACGTAATATTTTATAACGTTGGTTAACTGTGTTATTGTCAAACGGGAGAAACGAGGGCTAATCATTTTGCACAGATTTGTCGTGAACACCTAAATTATTACCCTTTTATGCGGTGACGTCGTTTTTACGAGACACGTCCCCTGGATTTCTTTGGTCACGTCGCGTCGTCTTTTAACTCTTTCACCATAACATTTGACGGGACTGAACACAAATTTCAAACGAGAATGGAACTAGGTCGATCGCACCACGAAGACACCTCGTAATCTCAATCGCAAAGGCAGTCACATCAAAAATTCTATCAAAGGCTTTCCACTCGGTCGCGTTAATTCCGCTGACGTTTCAGCGAGTTATTGTAGTAGGTATATACAAAGTAACATATACACACATTCATTCGGTCGTTCGACCCTCGTGTCATATATTAACTTAACCGGCTTACACAAAATTACTGGCATGACTATAATAGTAGTAGAGTAGTGTTATTAAAAAAAAATTTTTTTTATTATTACCTCATAATACTGGGTACTACCAGCTGAAAAAAGTAATTACTGCTGAATAATACTAAAAATAATCATAAAATACGTCGTACTCTGCAAAGACTTTCAACCTAATTAAATCTTAAAACAAATTTACAAATTTTTGCCAAAATCAGATCGTCTTACAGTATTAGAATAAGAATCAAAGTTTGACAATTATCGTTAAAATACCCTGTTGAAAAAAAACAACTCTATTAGTTTCTATACCAATAATTTATTTTTATCTTTGTACAGTCTGCGTAAACAAATTTCACAAAAGCAACTCGCTCAAGTCTTTAGCACGTTCGACCGTTTGCAGACAAACTACTGAAATAGTTTTAAATCACTTTTCGAATCGCCTACCCACATCTAAGAATAACACCTAACAAGGGTTTAAGATAAACGAGAACGTTATTGTCAATTCCGTTTAATGGCTAGATGGGTGTGGAATTTTGCTGCGAAGAATTAGAGAAAAGAATTAGCGGTGGATTTTCGTTGGTCAACTGTTTTTTATACTGTATTCAAACATATATAAACATGACACATCTGTTAGTCGTGTGTTCCCCTCGCCCTATTACCACCCTATCACTCGTTTTTTCGCTACAAGAATAACTAAGATAAATGCGAAATCTCATTAGAAACTTTTGGCTACGCCATGAGGGGAAAAATTTCCTTTTATTTATTTATTGTTTTCACTACCGCGACCACCGCAACGTCTACTCTCGTTCGATCCCGATGACTTTGATCATTTTTTTTTTTTGTCAGACACTGAAGAAAGGACTTCTATCTCTCTCTTTCTCCTTCTCGCTATGTCTGTTCATCCGTTGCTTAAATAATAATTTATTATGTATCCGATGACGCTAATGGGAATTCTATTCGGTCACAAATGCTTTTCTCGTCTCGCGGTAATGGACTTTTATTTCCAGCCAACGCTTTGACATTGTAGAATTTTTTCCCCTCAACCAAACAAATTTAAAACGGATACACAGCGTTGGCGGAATATCTATGAGCGCCCGAAAATTTTTGAATAAACACAATCATTCCCGGCCGTAATCACTATTTACACCATTAACTATCACACAATGAATTTGTCAAATTAAACGTGCCAACGCTTTACCGACCGGTTAAAAAATGGTCGTTTGGCTACGACTGGCTGTTCGTTATCCGAGTTCATCGTCCCCTCTCGAATAGCTAGTGATACCTAACGATTTGAAACCCAAAAGATAACTACCCTTATACAGTGTAATCTGTAGTTAAATTAGTCTATCCGACACCATATATTTGGCCGAATTTCTGGCTAAGAAGTATGGGTGACAAAAAGATAAAACTTTTAAGTTAAAAACTGCCGGCTAATGAAAAACATTCAGTGACAACCACAGTAAAATATTATTGTTCAGTTAATACATGTCATATCACACGACTTTCAAACAACGGAAAAGCGTTTATGACAATAATTTCGATAGGAAAGTGTAAAAATATAGTAATTCTGTCAATGACGTTTGATCATCGAAGCAATTATTCGGGTAAAAATAGTTCACTATTGAAACTCGCATGTTTCAGTGAAGCTTATTAGTTTTTTATTCTAGCCTACTCACTTATTTTGTTCTGTTTTCAGATTCTAGCACAGACATGCAAATTAATTTGGAGAACCGAAAACTGTTACTCGAACAAGGCGTACAGACAGAAGAGACCAGAATACAAGAACAACAACAACCACGGTCGTAATAATCAAAGTGTTATGGATTTTTTTTTTACTATATACGTATATGCGCTTGTATATATCATTAGTATATATACTCGTCGCGTCGGTGTACAATGTGCATGTGAAAAGACTGAAACGATTGTTGTTACCCCGAAGAAGAAACCACGATTAGGTTCGATACGGAGAGAATGCGGTTTGTGATGACAATATTTAGTTAGATAAAACCGCCTTTATCTAAAATAATTTTCAATCGAAATAAAAAAAAATGTATGTCGCCTTGTTATTTGCTTTTCGAACAAGAATGAACTCTAATATATCTACCAAGCCAATTTCTTTCTTTAATGACAAACACTGTTAGGGAGCTTTGTGTTTGGTATACGATAAAGCAATGGCGTACCGCGTAAGTAGGATTTCTTTTTAGAAGGGTACTAATTATATATATATTAAACAAGTTTACATACAAATTATAACATTAACAATAGATCGTGTTGATTATAAAATCGAAGTTTCTTATTGAATGATCATTCCTCTTGTATATGCCACCGTGGTATGGTAGTCATTTTGGAGATATTGTTGTAATGAAACCGGAGTAGTTGCTGTCGGTTTGGCTTTTCGGTTAAGCTCCGAGTGTATTTTCCCGTAAAATAACAAGCATAATGATCTAAGGTATGTGGCGAGGTTTTTTTTGTAAAAAATCCACAAACGTCTGGTGTAGTTTTATCTCGCTACCGCAGCGACCGAAGATTTCTCATTGCAAAATGGTTTGTAAAATCGGACGGGTGAACGCTGCGTCCGATGTCGTCGACCCGATAAAATAATGTGATATTGCATAAAGGTGTTGTAGCCGTTAAACACTTAAGTCGCGGTGGGAAGAGACAGGGAAAACACCGCCAATGCCGTACTGGGTCTTTGCCGCAATCCATCTTGACCGTGCATGAGATAATATTGTGGTCGGATTGCGACTATAGTAGGAAATTCAACCCGTCAACCGCGTGTACAATACTGTTCCGTGTAAAATACTTGGCGACAACACGGCCCGGCACATCCCATCACCTCTTTGGCCGTTTTAAGGACATAGCCGGGGGTAGGTTAAGTAATTGAAAGGAATCTGTCACTTTCCATTTTACTCCAAGAAGTTTTTTCAGGCGTTTAAAGCGTTACTGTGTGTACACACTGTAGTGGATAACGAAATTAGGGGAAGATAGGGTAGATTTGAACTGGATTTTATTAAATCGTTAATAGTAGTCGATAAGGTTTGAGGAAATACAGATTAGGTACCTACAGTATGACCAGCATTCTGTATTTTTTTTCCAACCCTTATCAACTATTATACTGTTTAAATAAATCCAGTTCAAATCCGCCCCATCCTTTCCTACAAATAACTGTATGATTAATATCATGCCCCGTAGTTTAATTAAATTTTTTTCGAGCAATAAAAACCAACATACAAACCCTATAAATTAACATTATTTTTCGACCTCATAAATTATAATAACGATTCACTATTTTTTTTTTTCAATCGCCTGCTGTTATAACATTTATATGTATTGCCAAACATGTAAAAAGTAGGTACAGAGAAAACGGAGATACGTTTGTGTATTTTCATATTTTTCATTATTGTACAATTGTTTTTTTCTTCTTAGGTATAAAATAAATAACAATAATAATACGAGGACAAGCATTGTTGAGCATTTAACGGTCTAATTTCCATAGATTAACATAATATGTGTTAAGGCTTAACGAGACTCGGCAAAACTGAGCGTTGTGTATTAAAACTTTAAACTGCAAAACAAATACCTGTTAGATAATACCATTGATTGTATGCATTTATAATCAATGGTAATACCTTATGTTTAAACAAATTTATAAAAAAAAAAGATTACCATTTTCCCCGTTCTCTTCCATTTACCTTACATAGATATTAAATGAACTAACAGCAACATTTCATACGCTTATGCACTTAACCTGACCAAATGGGTTGCACAAAAATATATAATTTTTGCAGTTCGTGCTTAAGCAATTGTTAAATGTCTAAGGTTCGTTAACCCTTTCATGAACATTGGAATGCACCTCGGAATTGGTTAAAAATACATATTTTATTTATAATTAAATATATATATAATATTCCACTAAATAACATTTAATCTTACGAAATTATTAATTACATGAGTTTAGTTAATGTGATACAATTAGTCTTTAACTAACTCAATAATTGAATGCCTTTGGAAATAAACATTGTTATATTTTTTTCTTTCGTTTTAAGTTATATCGTAAATGAAAATGTTTTTGCGACGTTTATGGTAATATATATTCGTGCTACTTAGTTTTTGTTGTCTCTTGGAGGTCGAATAATGCATTCGCGTATAAACAAAAGTAATATTATTCAAATGACTTATCGAGAGTAGGTTATAATCCCGAAGCTACTTATCACAGTAATCCGTTTATGCCCTTTAAACCGTCGTTAATGCAGTCTACCGGGAGAATGACTAAAATGATAAATACAATTATTCTGAATCGCCAGACCTTTAGCATTAAACACCTACCATACTTACAATGTACAGAATTATTCGAATTTCCAAAATTACCCTACAAGTCGAAGATGTGTACGAGCTGGAAGTGCTTAAAATTATATGAACGAGTTATTTATGGAGCTAATATATTTTAGTGTATATAGGTTTTTTGTTATTGAGATTTCACTATTTATTTGTCGACACTATATATGTGGACTCGGTTAGAACAAGTATATTAGTTGCCAATGTCAGAGAATTAATTAAGAAGGTTCGGGCACGTCGAACGAAGGGACATAAATTAAATAATAAAACAGGCAAGAGATATTAGTGCAGAGTTAATGCTACTTCAAAGCTTAAAATAACTATGTAAAAAATCAAAATTGTTTACTCATGCCAAAAACAAACATTGTTCCTTGACTAGCGTTAACGAACTAAATACGTGATTCATCAACAGAATTTTAATTAAAAATATGTTTTTCATTTAACTAAATTATAATACGAAATATTTTAATTTTAATTTTAAGTCTACTAGATTAGATGGAAAACTAAACTACCTGAGGTTACATTTTAAAATGCTATGAAGTTAGATTAACTTGATTTTTGACAACTTGATCTAAATGTAATACTTATTACATATTTTTTAGTTATTTATGAATATTATTCAATTTCTCAATGCTTAAACTCAAAAAAATTAGCTATACTCATATGTAAAGACTGCTTCTTGGCTTATTAAAAGACCTACGTACACTTATGCCTGAGTCAAAATGATAGTTGGCAGTGCTCGAATTGGAAAAATAAAAGTAGGGGGACGTTTTTACTTTAACAAAAAATAGCGTACCCGCTTTTTTTCGTCCGATTTATTTATACAGAGTCCAATAATGACAAAAAAGGAAACTAAAAATTTGTAATATTTAACCCGTTTACAGTATAAAAAAAATATATATATATTTCTTAAAATCGAAAATTAAAAAAAAAAGTTTTAATAAGCCTTATAATGATTTTCTCAACCGCCGCGAAAAAGCAAGACAATTTTTAAACAAAATTGTTTTCTGTAATAGTTTTTACACCTTAGTCCTTAACTTATTTAACCAGTTCATTCTTTAAAAAATAAATAATAAATAATAATGAACAAAAATATAATTGAAGGGATTTTTTAATATTTATTTTGTAAAACATATTATTTACCATACTTTCCTATAAACAAACAAGTTGTACTTTGTAAATATAATTTGTCCGAAGGTTTTAGATAATCCTTAAAATACATTTACACACAAGTTGGAAAACTTTAAAATTCGTGTTTTGTACCGTGAAAGTATTTTTACTCCTAGACCTTTCAATTAATAATTTACGTCATTTAATATTATTTAAAATACGAATAATTGGCCTAATTATCACAGAGTTCTGTACTAAAAAGTTGGATTCTGTGGAAATTATAGAATTGTTTTGTTCGCTGACTGCGTAAACAAATCCGTGTGTAGCCAAATAAAAAAAACTTTTTTAAATTGCCAAGGTAAAACCTCTTTGGTACCTATGGCGGAAAATCGAAATTTCCACCTACTCATTTTTAAACCAAATTGGTTTGGTTAGACAACAAAATGAAAAAACTAACCAGACAAAAAATAACCGAGATTCGAGTAAAATGCATGTAAGCGTGAAATGAATGAAGTGTAAAACATGTATTATATATTCTATTAGATCATTATTTTATTGATATTTTGTGGTAATATTTGTTGAGAAGATATAAAATTGTTACCTATCTAAGCATCGGAAACATACTAACGAAAAAATTTTAAAAATTGAATTCTTCGCATTTATCTTGCTAATGTGTCATTTTACCTTTTAACAAGCAATTTCATTAATACATCGATAAACTATAAAGTATAAATTTAACTAATGCTTTCTCTATAGCAGTAAAAAAATAAATAATATGTTTATTTTTTTTCTGCGGAATTAACCATTATATTTTTACCCACTTGTCAATTAAAAAAAACGTATACAACGGTCAACGAGAATCGATTTGATAATTTGTCACAAAGGTATTTTTCATGAATAAATGAAAATAAAACATAACCATCATATCGTATTTTCGTTTACCCTAAATTATAATAATAAATAATCCAGATCACTATTAATAAAGTTCAAATAATACAAACAATTATAACAAGACCGTTTATTTTATAGGTACCATGTACTATTTATTATTTACTCATTAAGGTCAACTCAAAATGGACTGAAAAAGGTTTGCTTTCAAATTTCATCATATTATGTTCATAACGATTTTGGTTATGAAAATAGCAAATAACAAGGCACGACATGGGTTCACCATTTGTTATTTATAAACGAGTTGTTGGGTAAATAATTTAATAATAAAGATAATAAATACAATTATTCAAAAATGTTGTTTCATTTATATATATATTATAATAGTATATGTAACAGAATAAACATTATTGTACAGAATTACATATATATGACGTAAGTGTGAAGTAACCAAATTATTATGTTTTAAAAAATTATTTACATTATTAATTAGTAATAATTGCCAGTGGTCCTCTTTGTTGTTGCTTTATGTTTTCAATCGTTATACATTTATTTTACTAAAAGTATTCAGATTTTGTAATAGGGTTTTCGGAAATGTCGGTTGACCGAAATGTAAACATTATAATATTATGTACCTATGAGTTGCTCAATGAATGTATTTTTTTTTTAAAACCCTTTTTTTTTAGTTTTTCGATACAATATTGTTAAAATGATCAACATGTCAAATATATTATTACCCACATACCTGAAAGACAATGTTTTGTTGGTATATAATAAAATATTGTTATTTTTTATTAATCCTGTTTTTGTTTTACATATATATTCAAGTAAATATTAAAAATACGTATTTATTAAATAGATTAAATAACATAATTTCCGGAAGTCTTTTTTTGTGTCACTGCAACAATAAAATATATAAAGCTACTCCAAAACAGTAATCTGTTTCGGTTTCAGTAATCCAACATGAAAAATACTCTTGACTATAATAGTTGGGAATTTTTTTAACAAGTTATATTATAATTTGTTTATTTTACAAAATAGAATTCCTTTTAATATTATCTTAAACATACAGCTTAAATAAAAGTTCTTATGGAAAATCTTTTAATTTATTACAATAGTTTGTTCTCATTTATTAAGGAAAAGGTTAATGAAATATATGGATTATCTTTGTTTTGTATTATACCTAAAGTGTAGCAATAACACTTTTTTTTTTACACATTTATTAGTTATTATATTATACACAAAACCATAATTATTTCTTTACTATGTACTAAACGAATAGATTATGTTTATTACTCTACTTTAAAATTAGTTAATCCTTTATTTAAATTAAAAACATATTAATCCACCTTTTCAATATTTAATTTTCCTGGTTAAACTTATTGCTCATTCTTTTATCCTATTTCTCCGCTCTTTTTCTATATTAAATTCTTACTTGTTCTATCAAAAATTACGGCCTACTTATTATATAATATTTCAAATGGTCTCACATTTTGAAAAATGTATTTAACACTGCGAGATCATACACAACATTTAAAATGTTTTTTTTTTAGCCTACGACCTGTTGGTCGGTTTGAACAACTCTTGCTCTACTAGAGAAGAGTTGCCATCCTAGGGAAGTAGTTATGGTGCGGTGGTTTCCCATTGCCTTCCGCACCAATCGGGAGCCATTTCTCTCTCCAGACGGTTGCCCGCCCAGCTAAGCGACCGAGATTCAAACGACGGCTAGTGCGTAGAAACACTGCCGCGGTAACTCTCTCGGCCACAAAGCCACGACGTATTTAAAATGTTACAAAATGTATTATTCATAGTAACAAAATATATTGCAACAGTAGGTTAATTAAAAGAAATATAATGTAAACATTTAAAATTAATCGCTTACTACTTTTTTATTTTTAAAAATTCTTACAGTATTATCTGCCCCTCCAGATAGTATTAATTTATTATTTGACCAATCACTACACAAAACTTTTTCTTCGTGGCCAGTCAACTCAAATAATGGAACTTTAGGACTGAAACGAAAATATGAATTAGTTTTCACCATAAAAACAAAGCAAGCATAATTATAATAAAAAATATGACAGTTACCTTCTTGTATCCCACATTTTCATTTGGTTATCATATCCACCAGAAACAAATTGGTATTCATCTGTTTTTGACCATCTAACAGTGGTCACCCATTGCTTATGCGATGAATAAGTGCCTTTTACCAATGAACCCTCTAAAAATAGTATAAAATATGTATATTTATTTGTTTAGTTTTAAATTATTTAAATAGGAATCGAAGACATTACCTTTAGATCTGAGATCGTATAAGCGTATATGTCTGTCAGATGAACACGTAATAACTGATCCAGTTAATTGGGAATAATCGTGATCAAAGAAAGATTTATTACCAACAATTTCAGACTTAAGACCACCCAGCTCACCATCCCAATGCTTTATAGTGTGATCCCAAGACGCGGTTAATAAATCTGAATTATTTATAAAATGGACGGATGAAATGTTTTCTTTGTGACCTTTTAACGTCATAATCGGAGGCTATGAAAAATAAATTATACATTTTTAATGCAATTTGAACTATTTAAATAAAACACTGATTGTACATATTATCAAAAATGATTTACCATAACTTTCGTTTCAGATTTCTTTTTCTTAGTGGGTACATCAGCAGGCTCGTAGTTGGGATCTATTGAATATTTAAATATAAACTAAAAACTACAAACACAGATAAAACGTTTAATAATAATTTTACCTGAAGACCAAATTTTCAGCAAAGCATCCCATCCACCTGTAGCAAATCTTGTAGAATCTGGACTTACACTTATACACTCAACAGCTCTCTCATGTCCGCGCCCGATTTGTAGGCAACTAGTAGTTCCTTTTTTAATATCCCAGTCCCACACTCTAATTGATTGATCTTGAGAGCCACTAAACAAATAAATTATAGTGATGACATCCAATATGAATTAATAACAAAAAAACTTTATGGACATAATAAAAACTAGTCACTAGACAAACCTAACAAATACAGCAGAGTCTTCTGAAATCGACACCCATTGTACAGCTTTCACAGGACCTGTATGTCCAGCAATACCAATCTTGTGTTTACCTTTACTGTTCCATATATGAACAGAGTTATCATAACACCCTGTTAATATCCTGTATAATATTTTTTTAATTAAGACACCGAGAGTAAAACATAATATTATAAAGTAGTATACTTAAAGTATATTATACTATTAAGCAAAATTAATCATACCAAGGACTTTTAAAATGTATGGCAGATACCCAGTCGTCATGTATAAGACAATCCAGTGGTTCTGGAGATGGAGTAGCTTCCATATATTCAACGACCACAGTACTTTCACTGGATACATTCTTTTGAGACAAATGTACATCCAAAGGAGAACGTAACAATTCATCATTGACCAAAAAATCAAAATCCACCTTTTTACATGCTCCATTGTCATCAGATAATTTTTCTAAAAATGTATAAATAATATATACATAATATACATGATGTTATGTTATGCGATAATTGAAAGTTTCTAAATTACCAATTACTCAAAGAATATATTACATCAAGCAGTAATTTTTTATAAGAATATAATAAAAAAAATAAGCACACATTTTGAACTATTGATTAAATATTCATATAAATACACGAACCTTTAAGTAATTCGTTGACGAGGTTATTTAAATTTTCACATTGAATTTTGGAATCGACAGCAAAAGGATAATCTGGCACAGCATATCTAAATAATTGAATTAATAACATTTCAATATCAATTAATTTATTAAAAGAACAATGCAACCAATATAACTGGTACAATAAAACCAGTCTGAAGACAAAATTGCAAAGAAACAAAAAAAAATTATGTTTTATACAGTTTTTAACCATATTCAGTATACACTATACTATATACTATATACTATATAGAAATTCCATCTTTTCCGATTTTACAGTTTATTTAGAGTTTGTACGAGACAATATTCATTGCACATGGTTTTCATGGTTAAATGCAACAGAATTACGTGACCAATGAGATAATCTGTCTATTGGACACATGAATGCTGATTAACTACAAATACATAGTAAGTAGCATAATTAACAGTTAAGAGCGCATAGGTACAAAACATTTATTTGTGCTTTAATATAATATATATATATATAAACCTATATGTAGATGTATACAATACAGAAGTGCCTAGGAAGTACTATAGATTCTCTACATAGTATTGCTTTTTAACATTTATAATTTTAGTCGTTAAAGGGTACATTATGTAAAGCAAATTTACTGGTTGCTACTAAATGCTTCAATGTAATAGGCTGTGTTAATTTGATTAACACTCGCTGTATAAAAGTTAAATGTAAACTCACTTTTCTTGTTTGGTAATAAATTTGATTTGGATCTGTGAACCTAGATCAGTTTTTTTTCTCTGGACAGCCATATTATCAAAGTATAAAAACTAAAACACAAAACTGAAATTCAAAATATTAAATTAAATAATATATAGAATACTAAAAACGTCATTCATCTATCTGCATTTATTGTAAAGTGTAAACACTTAAAGTTATTAGTCACAAATTTTAATTTAAAATTTAAAAGCACGTGCTCCATAGTAGTTGTTATCACCTTGTTCCTTAATCATAATATCAAATTAATACAAGTTTACCAACTGTAATTCAACTACTACTTAGGTTGGTCATACCCGAGTTGAATTATCTGTTTGATTATCTAATCAAAATATTTTTGGTTAGAATTACTTAAATTAAGATCTATGATATATATTATTTGACGTTAGAATAACATATTAATTTGTTATTTATACTCATTAGTCATTATAGTCATTTCCAAACCACCCATGAGATAGAGTATTCGGCTCGTTTTTTTAACGTGGTATCTCCATGTGTGATGTTTCTAATTATTGTGGTAGATAAAACTCAATTATATGTATAGTGGAGGCATCGATATAAAGAATACACAGTGTGTAGTGGAGGTGTCTTTACTTTAGTAGATAAATTAACTTGGGTATAATACACGGTTATAGATAAATAATATCATCAGACGTTCATACAACGGGCATTCGACTTATCTGTGGGGTAAGCTTTTCGGACCGCATATGTACCAGATGTACTCGCTGGTCTTATATAGTATATCTCGCACATTCATCATACGCGCTTCTATGAACAGTCGAGACATAGATACCTAAGTCTAATACTACCCATAAAAAATATATGGAAGTAGTTTATGTGAAAGAATTAGTGAAAAAGTATAAATTAAATTGTCGATGGTGAACTAATGTGCGAATTCTGTTGTACGAGTAATAAAATATTTGGTGCAAGGTGGTTGGGATTAAAGTATAGGAAATATAATAAGGAATTTTCGAAAAAGAAAGAACAATATATTGCTTTTCACTATTTTCTTGATTACTTTAAGTGGGCGTAAATTTGCATGACCTTTATTTCATTCATAGTTAAATTTTTTAATTTTAATTTTTCACAAAATGTTTTTAATGTATGCAGTAAATTGGTGCTAGGTCTGAACCATAGACATATGACCATATATTTGATGGGCTAAATTATCGATATGAACTTAACTAATAATGTCCAAAGCTTGACATTAATTGAAAATTTTTTATCTAACACCAATTTTCCACCATTTTTTGAAAGAAAAACTGAATTTGAAAACCACCCATTATCTTTAAGTTATAATTAATATATTATAAAAATTTGAATATTATAATAATAACACTAAGAGTTTTTTTCTCGGCTTTTTTAAAGAAGTTTGCATTCCAACATGCATTGTTAGTCCCATGCCGGAGCGAGGAAAGTGACTCCTTTTCACTGGGCAGTTGCTCACATGATAAACAAAGACGTTTGGAACTAATTGTTTAACAGGGCACAATAAATACAGGACGAAGTCCCACCCTGTAATACTCACACAGATACTCATCTTCCATTAACATACCTCATTTGTAGGTACTTCAGACAAATAAATCCTACAAAACATTTTCTTATATTATAACTTAACTAATTTTTTTTTTATTTCTATGAAGTCAGGCAACATCTTCTGTTGGCATCCTAAAACAATATTCATCATTTTTACAATAAAAAATACAACTATATAATTAAGTACAAATATTGAAGACAAATTTAGATAATAAAAACAATTAATCGCGCTACATGCACATATAATAATATTTACTTTTTTGTATAATTATAATTTAATTCAGACATAACATAACATTCTTTTAAACTAATAAATAATAGCATGGAACTAGGAATACAGATTTATTTTTTGAACATATTACCTACTTTCATCGATGGCACTTAATCTAATCAATTTAATATTATTTTTCACATTTAAAAAAAAATACAAGACATCAGAACAAGATGACTTATTTTCTAAAGAGTGAAGAGTAGTTGAAAATCAGTTTGCCTACAATGTTTATAGTTGTAAATATTTTCAGTAATAGGCAAAATTTAGAAAAACAAAATCAAAAACTATAAAAGTATAATTAGTAGGAAATCATTAAAAAAAATGTAAATACATATTATTATATACATCTATATAACAATATATTTATATTATAAAATACAAATTATGCAATACTTACTAATGTATAAAAAAAATTCACTATACAGTCAAATATGGACTAATATAGTAAGAATTTGCATAAGTTAGATTATCAAAATACTGAAATTTTTTTTCAATTATGATCAAATGTAAAAAAATTAATGGTACAATGAATATTGACTAGTAATTAAATTGTTTACTGTCCTCAGTTTCCTGTACAAGCCCATCTTAATTTTTTGTTTAAAAAATCATTATAAAAACATAACCTTTTTAAACTAAAAAACATACATTTTTTATTTATGCAAACTCCAAGTAATATTATTAAATATAAAAAATAATAATAAAAAGAGTAAGAGTGATGGGTTATTGAAGTTTATTACTATTTTTTTTTTTTTACGTCTTAAATAGTTTTTGATAATACGCATAAATGTTATAGCTATAGTAATCTTAGTTTCCTAAGATTTTCCTAATTAAATTTTAAAATCTTACCTTTTAAAGTTACAGAATGAGAAGACTACATTTCATTATACAAAAATAAATAATCTATCTTAATTTTAATGGTATAAATAAGTTAGAACAACATACAAATAGACTATTGGCATCAATAATAAACATAACTAAATAGTATGTGGCATACTAAAGTTAACAAGTTCTTTATCAAAAGAGAATAATTGTAATACATTTCATACGATATAACAAAAACCCTAAAAAGAAATTGTAATATTTATAACATTATTGTGCTTAATATAATAAATAATATGTAAAATAACAAGCAAAATTTTAACAAATAAATAGATTATAATAGTATTTTCAATAAATAAAATTGTTTTATCGAGTGGAATGCACTAGGTTAATTTTTTTAAGAAGCCCCCCAAAAAAAAACTGTCAAAAATGTTATTTATAAAATACAGCTAATTTTCATAACCTGACTTGTTATCGTAAATGAGATTCTGTAGTGGATCAATTAATTTATATCTCACATATATTAAGAGGGTTACTTTAAAACTCTAATTCTTCCAATGTTCTTGACAGCCGATTATTGTCAATACGCCTTCGTTGGCTTCTTCGAACAGCATCAGCTCGGCGATAGGGTTCATTTTTCAGACCTAACAAAATATCCTCCAATGCTCCATTATAGACTTCATCTTGGTGCAACAACTTTTTCTCCTTAACCATCTTAGTTTTGTTTTTCAGTTCATTTATCACAGCATCCTAAAAATTTAAACACAATTTACAAATAACAATCAAAGTTGTTAGAATATCGAATAACCAACAACAAATTTTAAAAAGTAGAGGGAAAATGTATAAGAACACTGTTATTTTAAACTGTAACAAAACAACAATTGATTAGTAAATTGTGTAAGTCTGTTTTTTCTACAAAAATAAATAATAATAGAATATCTATCAAATGTTCTCGTGTTTCTTCAACCAAGGAATTTAAAACAAACAAACTGTAGCAAAATAGACAAAAATCCCCTTTTGGATGATGTATGATTATAACGAGTTTACTATGTGTAATTGCATGAAGAAACTTTTTTGTCTAATATTACAAAACATTTAACATAATTTGGAAAAACCAATTAAATTAGTACCGAAATTAACCATACACAATTAAAAACATGTCAATACTGGCTGTATATACTACTATTTAGAAGAAAACGAACAATTCACTGTCCAACCTGTATTTAACTTTCCTGTATAACAGAAGTCCATAGCACTTAACTGTATATTGAAAGCTCCCTGGCTTAAACCTAGTTTTTCTCCCAATTGTTCTTGTATTTACTCTATTTCTTTTATTCCCTCTACTTTAAATATTATTTAAAGAATTAGATTAGTACCTATACAAATATTGAATTGATCTCACATCAGTAGCTGTGTTATGAAGTGCAGATTCAAATAAACTTCAAGCGAATGAATGGTGTTTCGTTAGTATTAGGAGTGTAATGAATTGCATATTCAAAAAATAAAAAGCACAATGCGAAAAAAAAAATACACAAAATAAAACATAAAAACAAAATGAAATATTTTGGGACAATGCAAGATTTAGATACAATTATAAACACATGTTACAGATACAACAAAAATGTAAAAACAAAAAATATAAAATGAAAAAAAAAACAAATAAAAATAATGTGCGCAAAACATAGATACATCAATTAAAGATTTTCATTCAAGGTGTTTGTTAACTATCACCGTTTAATATATTTGGAATAAAATGGACGTACTTGTTGCATTTTTTGATTCATTTTATTTTTGGATGCTAAATTTTCAGTACTAGCCGCCTTTATCTGACATGCAGCTTCTTCTAACCGCCTTCTTTGTTCATTCTCAGTATCAGAAACCTAAAAATGTAATAAAACATTATTTCAATAAATGATTTTCAAAGATACAGAAAAATTAAAAAACATTTACATGGTTTTTAATTAAATTAATATTCACCTTAAACGCTTTAACAAATCTGACGAGCATAGAGAAGAAAGTGTTAGCATCAGTACCTCGACGGGGTTCACCAAAATATTCTACACAATCTCTAAATGTATCTTGAGCTGTTTTAGACTCGTTTTTTAATCTTTTCAGTTTATCTTCTGAATTATTTAGAAAGTCTCTTAACACCAAAACGTTTTGTGCATTACCATGACCTCGTGTCTCACACTCTTTCTTAACAATTTCCATATTCTTTTCCAATTCATTGACATCAGTAATGACATTTTCCAGCGACACTACAACATAATAAATTTTCCTTAATTTTTACATACTCACAATAAATTAATAATTTTAATCATACCAGTTGCAGCTTTATCAATGTACATAAATTCTGAATCAAAATTCATGAGTTCTGGCATCTTGGTTCTAATAGTATCAACAATGTAATGAAGTAAACACATGCGTTTATCACTTGACTTAGTATCCACTAGTGTATCGAGAGATTGCAGTTTAAATCCATATGCCGGACCACGTTTTGCACTGTTCATGTAATTACCAAAAGCCAGAACTACTTCTAACACCTTACGGAACTTCTTAGAATTTTTCACAGAACTCGAAGCTGATATAATTGCATGTACTTGCTGCAGCAAAAAATAAATGTAAATACCTACTCGTTTATGTTTGAAAAAACATCAACTAAGAAAGTTACCGGTGATATCAAATGAAGGTTGTCCAAAAAGTTACCCATATAATTCATTATGGATAGTTTCGTAGCCAGTCTTTCTACTTTGGTTAATTGCATTAGGAACTTATCTTCCTCGGTAAACATATTCATGTCTTTCTTTTCCAATTGATATTCCCTATAAGCCTTGACCTACATAAACAATAAAAATAAATTTATTTTATTTTATGTTATCGTAAATTATAATGTTTAAAAATGAAGGCAATATTAATTTGTAATCATTTCATGTGTAAAACATTACTTTTTGTTTCCCAGCTTAAATAAGAATTCTTATTATGGAATAAGAATGTAAAAGCTTTCCAAAATATTGCCTTATGTTATTTTACATTTATTAATACCAGTCTATCTTTAAAACCCTATTATTAACTATCTACATCACCTAAAAATGGTAACAATTACATCTGAACACTGGAGTGTTATCTACTAATGGATAATACATTATACATACATTTATAAAAATTAAAAAACCATAGTAATAAAAATATAAACAACAAATATAATTATATTGTTAAAAACAATTTAATCTAGAATTTAATTTGTAGTATATGGTACATATAATGGCATTTGTCAACAGTTTAATACCAAACATAAAAAGTATAGATCCCATTTTGCAGTTGAAAGGTGATGTAGGAAATAACTATATCAAAGAAAAAACAAGTGCAACCATAACCATTCAAAGACACTTCCGGGGTTATTACACTCGTAAGTATATCAATAACCTCAATCAAGCAGCATTAATCATTCAAAAACATTGGAGAGGATACTTGGATAGGAGGTATTTTTATTTTTAATACAAGTTGTTGAACATAATAATGTAATGGCTACTATAATTTTAGGTATGTTGATGAGTTAACAGTGAGAACGTTCATAGCAAAATCGATTGACCATTACAACAAAGCAGCCACAACAATACAATCATGTTATCGGGGTTACTATACAAGAAAGTATTGTGCAGACATAAGAAAAATAATGGAGTGGGCCAAAAATGCGGTAAAACAAAATGAAGTTTGCTCAAAAGCTATGCTCGATTACAGACAAATGAAATGTCAAGAATTTGAAAAAGTCGCCAAAAAAAAAGTAAAAGAAAGATTAGCCAAATGGATAGGTTGCCTCCATCCCATGTTAAGAACTAAAAACACTAAAGGAGTGTTCAGCACAAACGAATGTAACCACGATGACTCAGATCTTGAAAAGTTAATACGATACATGTTCTCAGAAATACATACACAAAATATCCAAGTATAACCTATTCATATTAAGAACTTGCCTCTTGGTCTGTAGGAATCATTCGCTGTAGAATCTCAACACTTTCCAAAGGTACTTGTTTCAGATCTAACGAGTTGACAGCCATTATAACGCGATCAACCGGCATATCTAGTTTTCTCCTTGAAATAGCTAAAACATAAATTGAATAAAAAAATCATTTTAAAACTATTATTATTTCTATTATATAATCAAAAGGTTTATTCACTGTTGACAATTCACCTATATTCCTTAATCGAGTATGCTCCAAGAGGGAAATACTGTCTTGCTTTTTCATTCGCTTGCTAGGATAAGTCATTAATCCATCGTGTCGATCAGAATCTCCATTGATTAACGCACGCCCAGCCGCAGTCAATTTGAACTTTTCTTCAAATTGGCTAAAATCTATCACAGCGTGTAACTTGTCGTCATCTAATTCATTAAAAATTGTACCTCGAACCTGAAAGTTGGATAAAAAAATATAATAACACCGATTAAAAAAAATGTTTAATCAGTACTTGATTCGGTTTCATGGCAACCCAGTTCAAAGTCGGTAACTTGTACTTGGTCAGTACTTTGCGTTTGATAGTCATAGCACCATCTGGCGCTTGCATAGTCCCCGCTAAAGGTGGTGGCGCGGGTATGCCTGTGGGTTTAGAAGACATCGGAGGAGGTGGTGGTGGTGGTGGCGGTGGGGGACCAGCTATTGAAGGAGCTGGTGGCGGAGGAGGAGGTGGTGGTGGAGGAGGAGGAGACGTAGATATACTATTGCTGCCCGTAGAAGAACAACTCGAGACACCACTGCTAGAGCCTTAAATACAACAGAAAAACGAGTTAGGTACTATTTATTTAAATCTAAAATATTTGTTTACTAACGTCTATGATTTATCATACTTAAGTCTGGATGAGCTCCTCGCGAGATCAGCTCCTGAATTTTCTCTTCGAGTATGGATTGCCTGGATTGAGACTCTCGCTTTTGGTCATTAACGACTCGCCTTAGTGTTGCTACTTCTTCTTCAACAGCGCGTTTGCTCTCGGCCGCCGCGTCCCTTTCCGCTCGCGCCATACCCAATGCGCTCTCTAAAGCCGCCAGTTGAGCCAATGACTCGTGTTCCAGTTCACCCAGTCTATCGTGAGCCTGAATACAACATTTATAACTTTCGACTGTTGATAGTTAAAAAAGTCTAACGAATAAAAACATACGTGCGCCAGTTCGTCCTCCAGAGATTCCACTTTTTCTAACGCAGCCGTTTTGGTTTCACTGTCTTCCATCAAGGCAGCTACATCAAACACATTGTCAAGATACGCCGAAATCTGGACTTGCAGTTCTTCGCTTTCAGTATGCTTGAGTTTGTCAAGATAATCATCTAGGCCGAGCGTACTGAATTCGTATTGCAAATGGACCCGAAAATTCATGTCTTCCACCGAATGTACAATTATATTTATGAATTGCATACAAGCAACCTGTGCATGTCATTGAAAAAATATTAAATTATTTAAGGACATAATTTTGTCTATTTATACACGTTTTTAAAGCATTTTAAACGAACGCCAAATAAACGCTGTTTAAAATAATTTAAAAAAACATTTTACGCCCATGAACTTTTCAAAGTTGCAGTTATAATTCATACAGTATAATACTAAGCTATAAAAGTTAAATCACAAAAATTCTGTTTACTTTATAAAACGTTTAAAATAATTATAAGTAGTTTATGTAAACAAAAAACAAACGAGTGTAAAGAAAGATTATTTAAAATAATAATAATTAAATGTCTAAATCAATGTTGAAATAGGAAATGTTTTACCATTAAGATAGTATCATGATAAAATAAATTATTAAACACACCCTTTTATTTCTGATCATAAAAATAATAATAACTACTCGGCCGGACATGCACTTATGATACATTATTAATTTTGAAATTATACCGTACCATGAATTCGATATGGAAGACTTCGTAGTTTATAAAGTAATCCATTAGAGTTTGAAAACGTTTTTTTTCTTGACAAACTTCTTTGAAGTTATCGAAAGCTGATAGGATGATCTCGTGACCACCCTTGACTAGACATATTGCAGCCAAAAGCTCTAGCACTAGAGCTTTTGTTCTGTAATAAAATAATAAAGCAATTAAAAATTTAAAAAGTTCGCGTGAAGTATTTACAACACCATACCTTAAACTTTTGTGCATCAGACTCAGAGCGATACTATTTATAGCATCAGTATGTTGAATAACCATATTCAATCCGTACTGTAACAGAAAAAATTAATCAAAACCGGTAAACATAAGCCACTGTTGTTTATTAATGCGCTTGAAAACCGCTGACTTCGCCCGTTGGCCATTAGTTTTTTTATTTATCAGCGAAAATCCATCCCAGGGATTCCTATGGGAACTAACCTAATATAGACCGGTTACAAAAAAAAAAATAGCCTCAAGACAATACCAAACGATAATGGCATCTATACGAGGAAACATTAAAATATAACGCATATAGCACATTCCAGTCATAGTATTTAAGAATGGAAACTGAACAATGAACGCAAAAAACAGAATAAATAGAAACAACCGACAACATTAAAATGTTTAACAGATTTTTTATCCGCTTTCCTACAGTATTAACGTGTTACCTATTAAAGACTTAATAGGAGGTCACCTACAGTTGATATTGTAAGCAAATAATATGATTGACATAGTTACGTTCGTCCTGCCGAATGTGTACACAATACAAATAATGTCGAAAGTGCATTTTGCTGACATTTAAAAAGTAAAGGTCCTCAAAGACTACCGGCGAAGAGACCTTAACGGAAATGCCATAACTGACAAAAAAATATATAGGTACCAGCCAGTTTTGATTAAAGTTCAAAGACAAAATCAATACGAAAACATTTCGGGTCAACCGCGACGAATTATGTTTTTAGTAATAACAAAATAATACAGTTTATTTGCCAATTTTGATATTACACTAAAAGGGACTATATTTTTGGAGCGATCAAAGGGCGGCATTTCCTTTCAACATTTTTTCTATACCTTTTTGCCAGCTAAAATGTTTGAATTATTTAATAATATGGTGGAAGTACATAGTAATATTTTTTTTTTATAAATAAGGTGACATTTGGTTAAATGAGGCTAAACGAATCGTGTACACTATTACAATTGCATAGAACGCGCTCTATTTCGGATTATTGTTTTGCCAATATAATCGAGGTGCTTACAAGCCAAAGGATATCCTTTCTGCACTTAAGCCCCTTAGGTTCCTCAACTGACGTCTCACGCGTAACTAATAAGCAATCGAAATAGTGACATCCTACAAATTTTGCTTGGCAAACGATAAACGCGTTACATAAGCGCCAAGTAGTTTAATTTGACAACTTACAAGTAAAAAAGTACACGATATTTTTTATGATCTATACACACATGAACAACGTCGTCACGCCACACTCGGTCAAACGCTAAACGCAAGTGGTGTGCACTGTGCACGCCAAAAACGTGTCAGCAAAGTACATTATGTAATACTGTACACACACACACGGCAAAACCTCAGGTAATTTTACCTTATTGTTCATAATGGCCCGCAAGCACATGATGCAAACGTGTATGTCGTCTTTGGTATCGCCCATGTTCAGCCTGGCAGCGTGCCTCGATCTCTTCTTTATGTCGGGACTGTCCAGCACGTCTAAAGTGGGTCTCGCGTGATTCACCGCATTACCGTTACTACCAACGCAGTTTGCATGAGCATGGTGATTACCTTGGGTAAAACAAAAGCTGTTTTAAGTACAAATAAATAAGTGGGTAGTAGGCTATAAACGCGTAGTTTTCGCTCTCCACAAAACACCCCTCGTTTTATTTACTTTGAGTTAGCTTCTCGGTAGAAACGTTAGTGACGTCCGCGCATGCCCTTTGCTCGTGCCTCATCATCACCAGCCTAAAGCTCAGGTAGTCGATCAACGAGTCCAGTCCGTGGTTTTGGTCGTCGAGAAATTCACGGACCCACCTAAAAACAAAACCAGACAAGTATGTTAATTAAGGTCAAACACTGCCCAAGGGGGTAGTAGCTGCACACTGTGTAGTATAATAGTAAAAAAAACGCCATAATAAATTTGTCGCGACACCTTGAATGAGGTTGACAACATAATATATGATCAAAACCCGTCAAGTTGAACAATTAAAATTGAAATGACCTTCCAAAGAGAAGAGTATTTGCCAGTTAAAAACTTAGAAACGTAAAATGGAATACAGTATTATTATTTAATTTTGTTTTTGTTTTTGTAGAACTATCTTTGTCACAGCAACGCCAACAGATAGTGTCATGAAGAGGACATATCTTTACACGCATTAAAAATGTAAAAGTTTAACCATATTGCCGCCGCTTATCATGATTCGCAGACGGAAAATCATTAAAAATGCACGAGTCACTGATATATTTCTCGTTAAACTGAACCGCGAGGGCTCCTCAATTTCGTTTTGAACTCAATTTTTAAAATGTATTTTCAAACCATTAATTCCGAGTTAAAATAAATCGACTGTTTCTTACTTGATAATTTCTTATTTTTTATAATATGAGTAACATCTACAATCTTCATAAACACAATTATATAACATACTAAATAGACAGCCTATAATCTATATTATAATTATATCATCAAAATATTTGAGGAGGGGTATGCAGATTGCGTGGATACTAATATTTTATACTAAGATTAAAATAATACTTACTCTATGTGGTTGGTCCGCAAAGATATTTCAAGATCCCTTAGGACTTGAGTGGACGTGGCGTCTCCGACCATTTTTCGTTTCTAAGTAATAAAAAAGTTCATACAATTTTTTTTTTACTTATTCAGTAACGATCAATTAAAATTATTGGTTTGTTTGTTAAAACAAAACTCACTTACTCTTGAACTCCGGGAAGCTTTTGGATCCAAGTAGGTCCGTAGTCTAAATAAATAATGAGCAGGTGGATCTTTTGCTTGAACCCTTTCCTAAAAAAATTAATGATAAAATAAACATTAACGCAAGTCATTTTTTTTTATAGATTTCTTATCAGTTCTTGGTCGAAGAAATCTAATTGAATTTATAAGAATTCGAATTGAAAAACTATTAGGCAACGAAGTGTTTATCATGTATCAGTTATCAATTTCAAATTAAAATTCGTAAATTGTATAGTGTGTAATGCTACACTGCTACAACATTTACAGCTCACGGCCTTCCAAATCTAGTATTAGCTGTTAACGATCGAAATGTGTCGATTTAAGATATCATAATATACTAAATGTGAAACAACTTGTTTGAGAGTTCTAAATTATAGTATCCAAAAGATATAATAGTATAATAATATTATCATCCATGTCAACAAAACATTATAACCTAAGAACGTAACGTCCCTGTCTATTTTGGTTTATCGTCAATGGTAATATTTTTTAGAGGTTTTACCAATTTAAAGATACTATTAAATGCGCTAACAAACAGCAAGATAAGTGTTTAAAAATGATATACGCTGTACGCAAACAGCTGATACCTAAGTTACAATATTATAGTGCAAAAATATTAAAAAAATGCTGTTTTTCTAATAGCATGGTTAGTTTTATTACTAATATAAGCCATAACCCATGAATACCATGTTATTGTGTAGTCAATTCAGAGCACTGTAATACTAGAGCACCATAGCCTTTATGCAAGTAATTCTGTAGTTATATGATTATCGTATCTATAAGACGTCTTCAGACGAGACCGTTTGGAAGAAAAAAACTTTTCATCTTATTTTATATTACACAATGGATAGACGGGGACGACTACACGGCGTCGCATTGATTGAACGTCAGGAGAGTGTGGTGAATGAGTCAACTCGAAAAGTGATCCCTCGTAAGACCGATCCAAAAATAATATCCTCAGCCAACACAGATGGCGCACCTAACAGACAAACTATGGTATTAAACACCCAAAGCTAATACTGCACGTCTAAGAAATAATTCGCTTTCTGGCGTTAATGCAATTAACGGGACAGCAACATCAGCTCCTGAGGGATTAGAACTTTCAGACCATTTAGGAAAGAACACGGAATAAATTAACCCGACGTCGATCACAGCTAATAAACTCTATCGCATAAACGCAGTGACCTAAATAAATTGACTCCGGACAACCGCATGCGAACTACACTGTTATGCAACGTATTATAATACTACTGTATTGTTGTCTGAAATGATAATCGAATGAAAAAACAAACACTCCGCGTGATCATTTGGCCTACAAATTTAGCTAAAAATGATCTCTATACATAAATATGTGAACATTGAACACATATGATATATTTGAATGTATATATAAATTATTTTATCATTCTAGGTAAACTAGTCTAATATTATATAATATTAAAAAATCATAAAACATCTATTATGATAATTGATAAGGTATGAAGAATGTGTTATAAGTTATGAGTAGTACCGACATTTGAGTGATACCACCATCAAGTGGGAAGCAAATAATATGATTTTGGCCAACGTTTATTAGATGACAGTAATATCGGTTTCATTATTTATCAACAGTTTCATTTAACAATTTATAGTTTAAAAAATACACCAAAAACAGGTAAAAAATGTTTAAAAACTGATGCTTAACATTTGTATTGATTATCCGAATAATACATGTGTAGTAGTTATGTTATTTGTTCACGCGACACACGATACATGTAACATAGTTAACTAATAATTTTTTAAATTTGAAACCACTAAAAAATATATTAGTGTTTTTGTCAAAAAAATTTAATGTGTTTTGAAGGTAATTTTGACAAGCCGTAAACGTTATTGTACAATTGATCTTATCACTTTAAACTATAGTAATTCTAGAAAGTCTAGAAATTTTAGAAAACCTATCCCAAAACACTTCGTTCCCACTTTGCCGCGCTGTGCTGGCTAATTTTTTAAATAAAATAATACTTTTTACATTCATCTTCATTAACATTAATAATTTTGTTTTATTTTTTCTTCTATTGCTACGGCAGGACCTAGGCTGCTACTTCTTATAAACGTATTTTTTAAGTTGTTCTCCCTAGTCACTCTCTATCTTATCTTACTCTATCTCAACATAATTAGCCATCCTAAAGTCCTCGTTTTTACCACACTCATCCTCTGTTACATTATCGTGTATGCGCTATAAAACGAACTCCAAACAAGGAAAACAAAAATAAGCACTTTAACTTATTAAATCTTTTACTGAATTAACTGACGTCTGGTTTTCCAAGTAATTAAGGTATTTTTTATATACGTTAAGAATTATTATAGAATACAAAGACATCAACATGCGGACATAATAAAACACATTTGTTATTCACATAGTACAATTTCTCCTGTATTAACATAATACTGGCAACTGCCGCGAATATGAAATACAATATAAATCGCGTTCCAGGTAATTCGCAAGTGGGTCTATTATATTGGTCCGGCATCACATCATGTTATGTTTAACGGTCGAGTAGGTATACTAAAAATACCAAAATGTACGTAGGTTATTACTTATTATATTTTAAAGCGAAAATCAGTAGGTTATATTTATGTTTTTAATGACTGCCCTCATACACAGAAATTGCAGATTCAATACATATATACATATTAATACCTATCTACACACGTAATATTGACGGCGGTTGACCTCGTGGCTGGGAGAACTGAGGTTAACGGGGAACACACGATGAGTCACTACTATAAAAAAATATACACTGTCCACAGTAATAGTTACTCACATGATGAATACCTTTTATTAATATTGCACACATGAGAACTCGTCGTGTTAATTTTACACTTTCCCGTAACTGATAATAAAATTATCTCTAGGACATATAATCATATTGAACATTACAAATAAATGATAATCGCAGATTGATCAGCCTTGAATTACTGATATAGGACACACAAATATAGTTAATATGCTACAGCACTGTTAACCTAGAGTGAAATAAACAGCTATCATATAGAGTACAATTTGCGTACGTTTACGGTATTATTATTGTTATGAATTTAATATTAACGTGAAATTAGTTACATAATTTAAAAAAAAAAACTGATTTAAATTCATTAAATTGAAATTGAATTCCAAAATAGATGTAAATAGTCACAAATCTCATGGTAGAAAAGTGAAAACTGTCCTTTTTACGAAGCAAATATTATTATTAAATTGTTAGGTGACAGTAAAATATCTATACACGTCAATCGCACAAGCTACAAAATGCAGACATCGCGTCAATGACTAATCAAAATTAATTATACAAATATGAACACCCGAAAATTTGTTGTGGGTTTCGGCTTCGATTACCAACGCTAACAAGCAGTATTTTCCAAGTTAAAAGTCTTAGCTATGCCATTAATCACAACCATTCCTGACTCGCCCATTTAAAACGGGCGCGAATGGCATATCGTTTACATAGGTATTATTATTGTACCTATAATCCATAAATACTGCAACGCCCTCGAATAACGACAAAAGCGCTTTAGTAATAACTAATAACAACGAAAAGTAAAAATGCCTACTGCCAGCATTCTATAGGTAAACGACCAGGCCAATGTTCGAATCACGTTTTCCAGTTCGGGCAGTTATTATAAATACAACTATTATTATATAAATTACAATATCAACTCACGACAACTGCACACTGACACCTATACATGCCTACAGCACAGAAAGCAAAAACTGTAGGCGAAATAAGAACAAACTACACAGGGCTGCGACTTTCCCACCAGTCGAATCGAATTGAAAAAATACCTTCCGAAAGCACCCTCGAGGGTTTCCAACTGCTTAGCTATCAATAAAGTTATTCGTTTAAATCCTACGCATTACGAAAATCGTTCAGCTAAATCCAAAAATACATTTGGCCTATTATTATCAGACGTTTAAAATTAAAAAAAAAACAAAAGGACGATTAACATTTAACGATAAAACCGTAATACGACTGTAATGAGTTTTGTATGGAACAATGCTTAACTGGTTTTATCGCCGCATAGTCCACGCCAGCGCATGGGGCTACCCGCTACCCGTACAAATAGGAAACGTCACAAAAAGTAAAAAAATCACTAGGCCCTCAAGCTAATGACCACGTTCATTATTCATTTTCGTTCACAACATATACGCATACAGAATGGACACCCACAATGTTTAGCTTCGGATAGTAGAATTCATCACAGCAGAGATTCGGGGCACATAAAAATACTGAACGGGGAGGGCCACAGTCGACCACTTTCGTTTGTCCGGGATTATAATAATATACCGTTTTGGATTTAAAAAATCGTAAACATGCACTAACGGACGGAAGGTCGAACAATGCACTAATTAATTTGTTTATAATGGCGTATGATAAAACAACAATGCATGGATTGTCTTCTCCACCGAGCTCTATGTACCGTGACAAAATCAAAACCAGATTTATTATGTTTTTTGAAGACCCGACGAACAAAGTGCAGGTAACACAATACACTGCACGAGCGCGCCCTGTATACTTAAAGACTAGAGATTACACAAAAAAATTTAAGCGATCGATAGTTTGTCCTACGACGATTTAGTATTCTTGGTTTTTAACGGTTTCCTACAATCAAATATTTGAGAGCAGATTGCTAATAATTATTAAACGCTGAAACAATAAAGTATGCTATACATTCGTTTCTTGAGAATCTTCTGAACATTTCTCGTTTAATGTGTTTTATAGAACTTAAACACAAACGCAGGATTTCATAAATGAGGGAAGGACTAAAACACTAAAATAATTGTTTATCCGTGCGGTGTATGAGAATTACTTTCAATATTTATAATATCCCAAAAGACTGCTGTAATAGTACATTAGGGCTGACCCTAGACGAGACTATAATGGCCTAACCCTACCGACTACCTGAATTTGGATCAAGCTAGGTTCAGTAAAAAAAATATTTCATATTTAATAAAACATAAGAATACATAAGAGGTGAGTAATAAAGTAATTTTGTAATTTCTATTACAAACATATTATAACTTAACAATTGGTTCTAAGTGAATACATTTAACCTATTAACCCCTCTCCTTGCGTACACCACTGATAAGTAAGGCTTTTTGCTATCTTTAAATTTATACATACCCATAGAGTAGCTTTTAAACTCGCAAAATATTATATTTTTATCTATGTTTAAAACACAAAATTAGCTAAAATACCTAAGCATTGTTTGTTTTATTACAAAATGAGACATCCATTGAAAATAATTATTGCCTTAAAAAAAATGAATTTTGTTTATAAAACTAAGATCAGGAGGAAAGGTAGTAAAAACTATATAGATATGTTTATAATCTTTACTACGCTATTTTAGTTAATCTAATAGATATTTAAAAATTCTCCGAAAACTGTCCACACTGATCGAGTTGATACCTACAGATAAAACCGATGTCATTTAATTGATCTGGTTTGAAAAAAAAACTTGACGGAGTATGCAAGTGGCGAGTTTGTTAACGATTCATTAAGAACGTATAACCCGTGTACACTGTCAAGGACAGCACAGGAAACGATTATTATTATTATTGCCCGTTTTGAATGACACATAAATCCCATTACTAGTGGACATTAACAATACTTCTGTTCCGAGTAATAGGTTTTTAAAGAATAACAAAAATATATTTAATTTGTACGTGCCCTATATTAACAATAGTAGAAAAAATCATATTGGCGTCTTGTTATCTTCGCTAATAAATAAGACAATTTATGATCTTTTTAACCTTGAATTGTGCTGTGTAGTTTAAACACCAACAGGTAAAAAACGTCAAAGATAACCCATAAAAATGTACAGCTGATTTATACTTTAACCTTAAGCATACAGGTAATGGTAATCGCAACAAGTGCAAATGAGTCCAATTACAAAAGTGGGAGTTTTCACGAAATTACTTGTAATGAAAAAAGGAGGAGGTGCATCAAAAATCCAATTCTAAAAGTATCCTGTCCACAAAATCACATCACGTCATTCGTACATGTATTTTAAACATTTTTCGTACTTCAAATCACTATTCACTTAACTGTTACTAAATAGCTTAAGCCTTGCATTTAAAAAAGATAAGTCAAAAAGTGACTGGTGAAGGCAAACACTCAATCTTAACTCTTTATACATATCTGTGTATCTCGTAAGATAATTTTATTTTCTAAAAACATAATTAGTGATATCGAATAATTTGTGAAAATTACATAAATTATGATTCATAATTGATTGGTAATCGTTTCTCATTTATTTGTTTTTATGAAACATATATGTTGTCTATTATTTACATATTATAATCTCGTTAAAACTGATAAATATATAATCCCATGAGTGTAAGCAGAAGAGCAAATGTACCGAATTCGATTAAAAAATATGAAAACGTGACGAATGTGTGAATGTGTGAATAATCTTATTAGAGTTTTAAGTAATCGCTTGTAATAATTTTCTACCGATTTTATTCATATTCACTGGTCACTAAGTAAACAAGATAATTTAGCGGTCCAATCACGTTTTTTTTTACTTCTCGAGGGTAACGCACTATACAGGCCACCACAACCAAAAAAAAAACACAGGAAGTGTTCATTATCTTTTCGTGCACTTCCTTTGCACACAAATTATTTCCGATTAAGTACAGGAAAAATAATCAATTTGAAATCTAAATATTTTTTACGTATTATCAAGATAGGTGGCCGATTAGTCACTCGTCTTCGTGGACCACCGACCATGCAAATTATTGGCAATACCATCTGCAATTTCACACAATATAACACTTTACACTAGCTCGTGAGTTCAACATAAGATAATAATAATTTTACAAAATTTCCTCCATAAAACATTACAAAATAGTCAAATTTGAGAAAACCGAAATTATTTATTTACAGTATACTTTCATCTAAAATGTAGATCTATATTCGAGGGTAAAAACAAAATAGCAAATTATAAGGAAACATTTTACGTTAAAAATTTGTAAAATTATTAGAAGAAATTTTACTTAGGCGTATTTTAAGATATGAAGTTGTTGAGTCAAATTATAATTTTTAAGTGATACAACAAAATAGACGTATTCAACTAAACATTAAGTACAATTATGTATACAAGAACAATTTTTTCTAATTTGTTTACAAATCTTAAAAACTGAGTTATGCGTTTAAAAATGGTATGCATAAACAAAAAGTATTTGTATAGAAAAATACTACAAAATAATTATTTAAAAGTATCTACAATATTATGTAAACTATATCACCTACAAGCCTGTACACATACGGACGGACGTATTGCCATATAGAATTTTCAACTATTAGGTACTTTATACTTAATTAACGTTAACGCGTAGTCGATAGTAATAACTATTAATATTATTTGACACGTGTATTTTTTAAAATTAAAAACGACCTTCATCTCCGACGCTTCCTTTACTGTCGAGAATATTGACGAAACCAAGAAGATATTAATGATGGGAATGTAATGATAATATGTGATTAAAAAAAAAAAAATGTAAAAAGCTGCGTGGTGACGTACTTAGTTTCTTTTAAAATTATAACTATGACATGTGTTCTATCTTGGTTCACCGTGAATGCACAATATCCGGTGAGTACACACTGCGCAGCGCCGGTGGGAATAATGTCATGTATGTGTCTCCTTAACCAAACATCACTCGCATACAGTAACTACACTACATTTCTCTACATCATTATTAGTGCAGTGACGGTCTATTTAAATATTAAATTGGATTCGGAAAAAAATAATTACGGGATGTTAATCCTATTTTAACGTTCATCTTAATGTAATTAATAAAAATGTGAGTGATAAGCATATTAGTTACTTCATATGCGAGAGTAAATAAAAAAAAGGCGAGTAAATTATAACAGAAGAAAAATGTTTACACATTAGTATGCACTGGGTTCAAAAAGCAAAAAATTAAAAAAATGCAAAAAGTTAATCTAGCAGAGCGTGGTTTCGATCCACGGACCTCTGGGTTATGGGCCCAGCACGCTTCCACTGCGCCACTCTGCTACGTGTCGAAAGAGGTTAAAAAAGAACTATTTAAACGCAACATGTTCAAATATGCTAGCATAATTCTATAAAACGGGTTTAAAGGTTACAATTTTCATTTTTTTTTTACTTTACTTAAACGGGATATTATATTGCACAAAATTATCAACTTATTTTTACTTCATTTTACATTACACCTACTGTATAAAAATAATTATTAAACACAATAAGTAATAAACAAACACTTATACGAATTCGTAATTATTAACATTAATAATTATTTTAAAAACATTATATTTTAGGTTTTTGAAAATAGCTTATCATACACTAAAAGAATCCAACCAACTTTGCCATCACATCACTTTTGCATTTTTTGAAAAAAAATTAATTTTAAAAATTGTTCTTGACAAGGACCTAGGCCGTAGCTCTACACATTTTCCAAAGGAATGTTTAAGTTTTGCAAGGATTAATATTATTTTCCAAAAACAATGCCTTTTTAGCAGTTAAACAAAATTTCGTAACAAATAATTTTGTTGTTTATTTTATAGAACTAAAATTGATAAACGGATCACAAAAATAGCTCCTCCCAAACGTGTACGAGATTCTTTTTGTTAAATTTAATTAGGACCTAATTTATCGCATAGAATACAATGGAATCTAAACATTAGGTTATAATTATTACTCGGGCCTTTTTTTATACTACCTTTCAGACAGAAATGAATGATTCATAATAATCTATTACTATTATTTCTTCTAAAAGTGATACTTGATAAAAACTAGGTATTGGTGTAGTTTGAATAACAAATGAAGGGCTGCGAGGAAAAAAGATCAATGTTAATTTTTTTTGAAAACGAGATTTTGGTATCAAATTTTTTGTATTGATGTATTGTATCTTTTATTCGCTCGAACCAGGGAAAAAATAGATTAGTCGAGAGTAACGACCGCCGGAAGTTTAGGCATACAGGCAAAATGTATTAAGTTTTGAAATTAAAAACATGATTTTCTCAGAATGTTAAGAAATTGACATTGCTTAAATACATATTGTATGCAATTCCAACAATTGATTCTCGTGAATTAAAATTTTAATAATTACTATTTTACTAAATTAAATTAAGTCGTAAAATACAAAATATAATTGAGTTCACTCGTCTTTCAGGCTATCAAACAACAGCAAATAAAAGCCTATATCAACAATCTTAAAGTTATGTACTCTAATAACGAATGTAAATTCTAAAATACAGAAGTTTGCCATTACTGATAACGAGTTCAATAATTCGGAATGACTTCGAATTTCGACTTGTAACATTAATTTAATGGACGATACACAATACGTTATTAATTACATCTCTTACCTGATCGCAAATAAGGTCCCATTTCTTTTCGTCGTCGTACTGTTTCAGGAGCTTCGCTTTGTCCGCAGGCAAATTCATAGATGCCTATAACACAGAACAAAAACAAGATGAAACGAATAATAATAAATTGAATACATAATATTTAATTATTGTTACCGATTCGCTATAACATGCGATTGCTATTGTATAGACGCAAAAACGAACAGCCCATAGGCTTATTTTAGACTGTAGTAGTTTGCTCAATATAGAGTTCTTACTCTACCTACCTAGTACCTAGTCAATAACATAACTTTTTTATAGGTCCGCCGGTTGAAAAGTGTAAGCCAATTTAAAACACATAAATGCCAGAATAATTTTATAACCATTTACATTAACCAATATTTCTATAACTAATGGTGATAGTTTTATAAATTATTTATTCGAACTTGGCGATTAAAAACGTTGTCAGCAACATACTACAAATACACCCGACAATACATCGTAATAGGCACTTGAGAAAGCAACATATTTGTTGATATGTTTTTTCATTCGAAATAGATACCCGATACGTTTGGTTTTCAAACAGCTAAACAGTATACTATGTTCGAATTTCAATATAATAAACAAGGACATTAACCTCTCATTGTAGATTATATAATTCGTGATTTCCAACAACTAGTTTACATACAGATATAGATACATACATAAAATAATTAAAAAATACAATAAAAACATATTTTTTAATACCGACCTCCCTACATTTTTAATGTATAGTGTACAATAATAATTGAATTATGATGCGTGGAAATTTAAGCAAAACCTCTAATTATCCCTTCATATAAAAATTTAGTATTTTATAATTGAAAAAGAAACTAGAGAAATAACATTTAAAAATCGTTTAAAATATGGATTTTTTGACCGCCTTTATTGTTACATCGCTACAAAAACATATTACATTTAAATGTACTTGTATTTGTTGTACAATACAAAAAATGACCAATATTATTTACTTAGTCAGACAAAATATAATTTACGATAGCCGATAGACGATGATGTTCATTAATGAACATATGATATTCTGAGTCATGTTATATTGACAATAATACTATTATGAAAATGAATAAGTCATTAAAATTATATACGTAATGAATTATTAATACTATTTTCAACGGTAATCAACGAAATTGTACTTTTTACGCAATTAATTATTAAATCAAATAATTTTTTTGTTAAACTAGATTTAAATATTGACGTAAACATTAAATCATTATTAATTATTGATGTATTTATTTCAGAGTTTATATTCCAATATTTAAATAAACAAAATCATTTTACAATAGCTCTGTTCATTCAAATTAACTATGAAATTTGAGCGCAATGAAAGAAAAAAGTTAAAACATATGCACCGAGATTGGAAGAATAGTGTTACTTACTGGATATTAAAATCGATAATTGCCAACCTTCGATATCACTCACTAGGCCACATATTACAATTATATTATATAAGCTATAAATATAAAAGGTTTACATGCATTCTATTGTTTTAATATTTGAATTATATCGCGTTGATTCATCACCACGTATAACCTTCAAAATAAAGATGCCTTTATTGAAGAGACTAAATTTCTTTTATTTAAAAAAAACAACAACAATACCAGTCCTAATTATTCTTAATATTAAACAATGTATTCAACCATACAGGCTATTGAAACCAGATGTCACGAATGACACGCCAAAATCAGTTATGATTAAAAATAATGGAATTTAATCGAATACCTGTTTTTTTGGAAATATGATATTTGTTGCACAGGAAACAAAACCTTAACTTTCTACAGAGTATGAATAACTTGCCAAACCATGCTTTTATAGTTTTCACAAATTTAAATAATAGTATAACCTATATATTTACTCGTTTCAAACGGATATACTATTTGCATTATATATAGCCTTTGTATTAGTTAAAAATATAAGTATAGCCTTAATAATATATTGTATACTTTAGTATTAGTTAGTATACAGTTCAATTCATTTCTCAATAGGACGTGAGCAACACAAATAATAAGATTAATTTATAACGACAAATATTTCGTGTTCAAATACTATTAATATTTCAGAACGTCCGATAAATAATCATTGCACAGCACTCTTGAGTCTTCAGTCTAATAAATTAATTTTTTTGTAAAATAAATAGTTTCAGTAACATCCGTGGAATCAATAAAAAAACATTAAAGAATAATAAATATCATAATCATTGACAATTCTTCATTTATTTAATCGAAAAGGCTACTGAAATGGGCTTAATTATGACAGATGAGGTAACAATCGGGACTTTTCGGAAAATCATTAAAAAGATTTCCCTAATTAACATATTAATAATCCCAACCCCTCTGCTAAATTTTTGAGGGGGTTAAACACTCCCAAAACTGATTCTTTTCAAAATTCTTTAAAAATATACTTATTCTACAAAAGTTGTTTCTTGCATAACTTTGCTTTTCTAAGATTTGCTTTTTATACATTTTTATGTAAGGGCAACTGAAAAGGTTAGGTCAAAAAAGCAGTCCGAAATTGACTATTTTAAAATATTACTCTGATTGTTTACATTCTCGTGGCGGAAACATAATTCTAGACACTATTTAATAGTAATGTTGTATTTGTATAATATATTTGTGAAAATTATTATTATATAAATTTCCCCTGATCATGGGAAATTTTACATTTTCAAGGAAAATGTATTTTTATTTTTACGTAGTACCTTGTTCGCCCCGATGTGTTACACACATCGATGATATTTTAAATCATATTAGCAACGTGGTCATTACCACGTTTGTGTTTTGAAAGATGCACAGGAAAAAATAAACAACGTTACTTTTCCTTACATAACCGACAAGCACTATCATTGTTTAATGAAAACATTACTCAACCGTCTCCGTATATTTTTTCCTTTCTCTAGAGTCTATATAGTCATATAAAAACCGTTATACCTGAACTGGGGATAAAACACTTTTGATTACCCATCTGGAACCGTGATTAAAATCTAAAATCTGAATTACACATTTAACTTGAAGTCCACATTACATCACCTCGAGACAAGTGTAAGCCACTAGGACGTTATAGTTTCGAGGATAGAATATTATTTTTGTTTCTTTTTTATGGTTTATTGTCTTAACGTTATTTTGACGAGACGTCGAACCGGCGTGTCGGCCACTGAAGTTCATTAACGGCGCACAATGGCGTTATATTATTATACCGGGGGTACTTATAAGTAAGAAAAAGACCGCCTCGAGGAATTCTGTGAGTGAATCAAAGTATCTCAATATTTCTATTACAAAGCAATAAATTATCGAATGCGTACAATGTAAGTATGAACACCGCACCACACCCGTTTGAAATGATAGCTGCAGGGGTTAAGGGATCCATTGTGTTTTTTAAAACCGAAGGGTGTGGTTCCTTAGGGTCTGAGGGTTCCGGCGAGCGCATAAGACACGCAAAGTTTTCTTTTACGTGTCAGCTGTCACATTATACGGTACATACAAATTGCAATGCACCATAACATTTTTTATAATATTTAAGACTAAAGTAGTAGTACCATTTGTACTTCATTTGTGTGACGTTTAAGAGAAATTAAATAAATTCATACTGGTTTACCCCCTTTAACTACTACTATAGAGCACGGGTACTGTAAAGAGAGAGATAAGATTCCAGGTGACCAGAGGGTAATACATTAGTCGAGAGTGTCATTGTTCGTAGAAGTGAATTCAAGCAAGTATCAAGTTTTTCGCACTGGATAATATGGCGCCTCGAAATTCTATCCTTTTGTATTGGCTTAGAACACCTAGAACAATATTGAATGCAGCACACCGGTGTACATCAATGATTCACGTTCATTTAGTTTCAGGTATACCGATTATGTATCGCACGTATCTCAATAGATTTTTCCATATTTGTGCACATGGCTAATGCTCTGTAGGCTCCGACAGCTGTAACTAACATCGGCATTGTGGTAACAAATGAGCTGCTCACATGTAGCACAAATAACATACAGGGCGTTTCTGTATTATAATATAAATATAATAAATAGGATAAATGCATCCGGGAAAATAATTATAAGGAAATGCAGTATAGAGAAAAATTGTACAACACGGAAAATACAAATCCACGAATCTTAAGATATTATCCTCTAACGTCCGTCATAATTGCATTTACAAGTTCTAATTATAAGTATAATATTAGTTCTAAACTAATATTATACTTCCCACTGTATATTTGAAAAAAATTGATTAACTCTTATATTAATATAAAGAAGTTACTAATGCTGTGTAAACAGAGCTAATGCATAACGATTTTTTAACCCGAATACCGAGAAAAATTTAAGAGCTAATAATAACATTTTCATAATAATGAGAATTGTTTCATACAATATTGCTATCTAGGCTTGCGCCAATTACTATTAATAAATTAATACTCCGAAAAAAAAATCGAACTTCAGACACAACGTCACAACGTTTTTTAATCAGTTTTTAGTGGATTACTTAATTTAAATATTTTGTTATGTCTATTTACTGTAATAAAGACCCAACACTCATTAGTAAAAAAAGACGTTCTCACGCTGCCCGATTGACCCGCTCGATGACGTGTGATAATAGGTTCACAGAACTAATGTCAAAAATTTGCATGCAAATATAAACTGGGTCACTTGTACACTATTATTATAGTTGTATTGTTAAGTACGCACCAGCATATGTTTGGACATAATGAAACTGTGATAAAATGTTTTCAATTTATATCTATTAGGGATTGTTGAATTTATAGGGGCGTTTTAAGGCCATCTGGTGCCGGTAGACAAGCAGTGTATCATTCAAAGTGGTTTTGGTTTATTTGCTCAATGGAATACACAAATATTTTAATGCTTATGGACTCCTACCCCCTCTGTAGAAATCTGTGATGTATAATAGCCACCTATTATACATCACCATTAACCGAGGATTCAACATGACAACCTCACTAATATTTCCACCATAAAATATGTCCTAATGTAATTTTAATTTCGAAATTATGAATGAATGAATTCATATAAAAAATTAGAATGATATTTGTTTTGAAGAATAATTTATAAATGTCATCGTAAGTAATTGAAGATATAACTCAAGTAATCGTTTTGATATAGAATGACATAAAAATATATTTCCTAAAACGAAAACCATTGGAAATAATTAAATAATAAATGATTTAATAATAAATAATTTTAAAACCAATGAAACTAATTATTTAAACAACAAATGCCGAAAGAAGTGCTATAGACAAATAAATGTGCCGATTTAGGTAACTATTCAAAGTGATAGTTGTGTAGGTGTAGTATTTTTGGTAAATATAAGTCATCAAACTACATTTATCTTACTGTACAACAACCAAAACAAAAAAAATCATTCATGTTGTTAACATTACTTTCATGAAATTAAAACATCAACCGAAGTTGAAGTATGACATAATTATTCATATATGTACAATTATTGTACATTGATAATCAAACCAGCTCAAAACCACGTAGCAGTACGTCGCAAGTTATGCACTCAGCAAAATATTGCATGTTATAATGTATATTATATATTATGTATTATATTAGCGTTCATTATGTTTTATCATCGCTCAATATGACCCAAACACATACGTGTTCGGTACAATGAGATATTTTTATGCGGGCCCATGTTCTATGCCATAAGACACCCTAAGCACATTCTTACGGTGTGTGACTGACTGAATGGAATACATCAAAATTAGGCAATTTATGTGCGGGATGGTGTCGTTAAGAAATTCGCGCAGGTAAAAAATATTATGGACGCCTTCCGGATTTTCAGATCATAATCGACTATAAACCGTTATAGTTCAGTTACAAGCTGTTGATGAAATACATTAAACAACATAAGTGTCATTAACACAGGTAGAAAGTACTTTCAAAATACACAAATAATAAAAAAAAATTACATTTTGTTATTTGCTACACTTGGGACAATTTTCGCGGGAAACACATCATATCATATTGTCAGTTTCAAAAGAAGAAGGACGTGTAATTATGATTATTTGCTCGTCCGGATATTTAACACACTGACTCTATGTGTAAAAGGTAAATTGCATCTTAACGTATCGTAAAGACAAAATTATAATTATTGTATATTAGCGTTACATTTTTTTACCCATCAAATATCGTACCTACGCCGTTCGTTTCATAAAATAACTTAAGAATACGTGACTTACTAGAGTAACGGCCATAATAGCGCATGTGTTGTGCACATAGAACAAAAGATATACTAACGAAAAATGTTTCAAAAACAATGAGGAACAATCGAAAATTATTCTGTTCTACGGGCAAAATTTGCTTGGCGAATATTTATTGACGTACAGTTTGTTATATACATCCCGGATAAGAATAATTACCAAGTATAATATATTATTAAATGCACTATTGTATTATGGTGTTGTAATCAAAAATCATAAACATAGAAACAAAATCAATCGAGCTAAAGGCGAGATTTAACGAAATAGAAAAGGTTTGAATTTTTTATCGTCTTCGCAGAACAATAGGGCATTCTCTATTCCCACGACTAGTATAATATGCGAAATAAAACAAATTTCCGAGACGGTGTGATAATTTAGTTTACATCAATCAAGCAATAGTGAAAAAAATCGATAAATATAAACCATGCGGCCATTCGGTGATTATGACAATAAAAAACAAAATGTATTTATGTATAGATGATAACAATATTTTAATTTTATTATATTTGAAGCGATGATCATGTTTTTATTCATTAGTCACTATCAACTACGAAGTGCTTAACAATACTAACTTAACCTTGACCTCTTACATACACGCATACGAAAATTTTAAATGAATAGAGTACATAATTGATTGACATAAGGCGAAAAAACGTTTATGGGAAAAAAAAAAACACAAACTTGTTTTAAATACTTGGCAATAATTCAGTATCGATTTTTTCTACTAGTTACAAAGCGTTAACAGGTCTATAAAGATCGCATCAAATGTTCCCCATAGCAAATAATAAACCAAATATATCAACAGAACATTAATTTATTTCCCTAAAAAAAACTTATTTTTTCATCATCATAGGTTAAAGGATATTGCTCTATCTAGACACAAAGTATTATTATGACAATGCACACCGTAAAATTCATTAAGCACAAGATTTACACCTAGTTTTCGTCATGGAAAACAGAACAAATCACGAACGGATTTTAGTCATTTCAAAGATGGTAACAATTAGACTCGGGTTGGTTTTTATTAAAGATTAAAATAACAATGACAAATGAGTTTTTACTGGACGAATTTAGATTAAAGACAGTAATTAAAATAAAAAAAGCTATTAATGTTTTAACTATTAAAGACTGACATAAAAATTGTTAGGAGCTATTGTTATTACAAATGATTCTAACGGAGAATCATAAAATAAAATAAATGAATAAACAATTATGGCAACTGTTGTCTTATTAATATTCCTATGCATATATTTGGTTTGTACGTAAAGTTCACTATGCTTATATCACTATATAATGTTGTACCTCAATATTATGTCAGCTCATCATGATACACCCTGCATACTAAAATAAAATTCATATATGCGTTATCATTGACTATTTGTACAAACATTAAAGGACTATTTTAGGTCTAATGAAAAATTTAAATAATTTTAATTAAAAATATTTTCAATAAAAAGTTTAAACGAAATATAAAATAATAAATTAAATGTAGAATTACGTTTTATATTAAACAATTTAAATTAAAATTGTTTTTATTTAATTTTAAGCATTAGCCTTGCTCACTAAGCTAAGTCACTGGCGAAAGAATTATAATTATTTTATTTTAATTTGAATACAGTCATTTTATAAAATATTATAATTATAATTTTATAAAATATTAATAAAAAATAAAGTAATATATGGATGGTTACACGCAAAAAAGGGTTTAAGCAATAATTTTCAGTTTTTTTATTGACAATTTGTTATTTTAAATAAAATACTTTTTTATATTGTTGTTTAGATCCATTTTATGAGCAGAACAAATATAAAGTTTCGTTTATATCACAAACTTAAAATAAAAAATGTTCACAACTATTTTTGCGTATGCAGATTGGACGAAACACATTTTTTTTAACGAATAGTAGATGCCATTACACTTAAAATCAAAGTGTTGCTAGGACCAAGTTGTCATGTAACCATCAATATTACAATGAAATTACGCTTTGGTAATTGATTCCCTGTGCTTTCGAAAAGAAATTCTTATGCGTTCAAAGTAGGCTATAGGTACATGTTTATGTTAAGTAAATATTTGATTTAAGTAAAATCGATTTTATATCTTAAAAAATCTATTAGTAGGTACCGGACAATTACTTTAAGTGATAAACCAAGTGTTGTTACTCTTATTTTATTAAATCTATTTCAAGGTAACTGGTATTTTCAGTAATATTGTATTGTTAAATTTAATTAAATTATGTTTATGAACAACAATAAAGTCTATTTACATCATATTATTCCTGTTCTCAAATACTATCAGACTACATCACGTGTTAGGGAAACGATGATTAATTCTTTAGTATTAAGCAAACCAAGGTAACTAATATATTATAATTGTACATTTTTTTTATTCATAATATAATATTATAATCAAATATACAATGTTTTCATAGTATTTATACTTAAAACTTATTTTCAGTAGACAATATTCCAAGCGTAAAACCAAATTTGGTATCAATATAATTACATTAAAAAAAAAAAGAAATATTTAATAATAAATATTGACCTTAAAATCATAGTTAAGTATGTAAAATAAATTATAAAAGACCTGAAGAATATCAATTGGTAGGTTCACTCATTTAATTGTTTATCAAAAAAAACTTGTAAATCAAAAATTAAATTGAATAATAGTATACAAAACATAATCACATATTTTATACTTTTAAAGCATTGAATTTGACAATAATTGTATTAATTACCTATAGCTTTTAATATAATCATAGAACACTAAAAGAAATATTATTTAAATATATTCAAATTCTCCTTTTCTAGTCAATGATTTTAACAGTTGAACCGTAAAGTGATATTAAAGCATTTATAAGAGACAAATATTAACACTTAAAATATAGTACATAGCTTTTACAAATTTAGTGTAATATAAATAAATATGTTTTTTTTATCTCTGGATTTTAAAAAGGGTTTTATAACATTTAGTGTAGTGTAGTGTTTTGCAATCATGTGAGCATCTTTTTTAGCTGTAACATACTACATAATTGATAACAGAAGTTAATTGAAGGTTCTTTGGCATCTCTATAAATGGATGTATTGTGTTTGGATAATGACAATGTATCAAATACATACTACACAAAAACCACTTAAAAATTTAGAATAAAAAACACGCTAAGAAATTTAAAAAAAATATATAGATTTTTTTGTACAATTAGTATTAAAAATTAGTATTTATAGAAACTCATAAGAATATTAAATTTTGCTATGAAGTACAACTAAAAATTACTTAACTTATAGATTGGTCAATAATCCTTTGTTTTAAGCGTAGTTACCTAATAGAAGGTAAAAAATGGTATTTCATAAATTACTCACCAAGACCTTCGTGAACCGTCTCTCTAGTTCATTCTTGTCCGGCAAAGGTATTTTAGTTCGTATACTAGCTCGCAAATTGTGTGTCTTGGGCAATTCCACCGGCAAGTGCAGCTGGTGTTGCGGAGACGACACCGGCGAGCTGCACTCAGATTTGCCGCTGTGCGAGTTGCCCATTTTTGAGTCAACCGGCTTTGCTTGCGACACGAAAAACTTTAAACAACATATAACTCTCACCTCATCACCATTCCGCATTTAAAACAGTCGTGATTATACTCACACTGTAACTTAAAAAAATGAAAATCAACCGAAACGCAACAGGTGTATATCCGAGCATATGGACGTACAGTACGCAATTTCCAAAACGATTCACATGATTATAAGTACATACACGAAACTCGAAAGATTTCACTAGACGAAAATAAATAAAATAATAATAACCAACGGCTGTCGCACACCGACAAATTTTAAATTAAGCGAAAAAAATAACAATAACAAATTCAAATTCTTCTATCGCGGCAGTGCATAACCACAACAATTGCCGTCTGTAGTATCACTGGCGAGTGGCGACTGGCGAGACTGAAAACAACAATAGGCGGCATACCGCGTAGCGGCGAACGGCGGTGAACGTGTTGTAAATCTAAAGGACGAAACGAGATGGCAGCTTCTGATTAACACAAGTCACAGTGCAGCCGTGTGTGCTACTAAAAAACTCTTAATAACAAATAACCTAGACACAATAATTGTATGTGTGCATAAAAATATTATCATAATGTTAATTTTATATTACTTTTCTTTACCGTTGTATGGCATTGAAAAAAAATCGATTATCTTTCCAATCCTGAATTGACTCTTAAAATTAGTTTTTGATAAAGTCATTGTATATTCTATACATTTATTATTTAGTAGAAATTACATTGCATAATAATACAGCCATTAGCGCAACTTGTTATAAGAGGAGGGCGGGGAGATTGTATTTAGATATGAATTTGGCAAAATTCTAAGTAAAACAGAAATCGTTTTTTTTAATTTTACGATTTTTGTTTTGCTTTGTACATTTTTTTCGAATAGTAGAAGTACTGCATTTTCATAAAGAATGTAATTCTTGTAGACTGATATTGAATTATTGTAGACTGTAATTCATTTTGACTACGACAAATATACGATGTATTTATTCTTCAAAATTATTAATTAAAATGACTTTAAAGTCCATTTTAATTTTTAAGGAACGTCTATTAGTTATTAGTTAATAAACGACCACAGATATATAAACAATGGTTATTTATCTGTGTAAACGACAAACGTGAACCGACATAGATTAAATCTTCACACAATTTCTAACGAAAATCTAAGGAATTTGGGCGGTAAAATCTAATGTCCAAAGACGTTCGAAGTATCAAACTGTTAACTTCTTTGAAAATGGCAAAATATTTTTCACTATCAAATGATAAATTCCACGTTATTCCCTTTCCTCGTTGTTTCTGTCCTTTTGTATGTTTAACGTGAGATGTGTGTTGCTTGGTCTTTTGCTCTCTGTCCGCCGCCCTGAACGCGTGTCGGTGTACGGTTGCCAACAAAATCGAATTTTTACGGTTCCTGTGTTAGCACATTTAATCCAAAAACAATGAGGATCTACAAAGACATTTTCTCCGGCGACGAGATGTTCTCGGACACCTACAAATTCAAACTAGTCGACGGAGTTCTGTACGAAGTATACGGCAAGCTGATCACGAGGAAACTTGGTGACGTTTCACTGGACGGTGCTAACCCTTCTGCCGAAGAAGCCTGCGAAGGCACAGAAGAAGCTGTTGAAAGCGGGGTCGATGTCGTGCTCAATCATCGACTTTGCGAAACGTACGCTTTCGGCGATAAGAAATCATTTACTTTATACCTCAAAGAATACATGAAACGGTTGGTCGACAAAATGACCGAAAATGGCAGCACAGAGATAGACCTGTTCAAAACCAACATAAACAAAGTGAGAATGAAATCTATATATTATTATGCTTACCTAAATTACTTCGTAATGTCTACGAAAATTAACATAATATACTTGCATTAATAAAAATAAAAAAAACAACTTAATAGGTTGGGAAATACACTAGTATCATGACAAACTGTTGATTAGTATCATGAACTAAGATAGTTCATGATTAGTATTAAGAATATAATCAGAAAAACATGCCAATATGCGTTTTTATGTTTTGTGTGAAACAACTTATTGAGTTGTTCTATAAACCCAGTTATTATAAAATAAGATTTAAGATTAAAGTCCTCTTCATATGAATGGTAACCTATTTTCACAGCTAATTATAAATATATTTTAATTATCTATAGATAATATGCTATTCAAGATTTATTAATTTGTTGCAATCAATTCTTGAGTTTCCTTTTGCAACAAGTATTCCTGATCTTATAATTTCTTAAAATTGTAATAATCATATCGGGTCTTACTTTTTTAATTAATTGATCTCATCTGCTTTTTATTTTATTTACGTATTTTTGGTTAAAAGATCCATTCCAAGTTGCACTTAAAAATGTTTAAATTTACTGTTCATTAAAACTGTTTTGACCAATCACGGGCCTAAATTACTCAACTTTATGTATGTGTTGGTGCAACTCTCCAATACTACATTTTAAAACTTTTTACTAAAGAATAAAGGTGATGTGTTATTTTTTATAAAACTACAACTTTTTTAACTTTTGTTGTGGGAACTCTGCTTTTACAAAATAAAGGTTAATTTATACATGTTTAAGAGTCTAATTCATCTTTGCCAAAAATTTACATTGGCCCTTTTAAATATATAATAAAATCATTTTCTGTAACCAATTTTGAGTTATTATGTAAAGTTACTAGGGCCGTGCTAAAGGTGGGGGTTGGACAAATTATGGTGCATAAATTTAAGGGTCACTAGTTTTATAATAATAACAAGTCAGAAACATAGTTACGGGTGAGCAGCAAACAGTGGTCACCTTAGATAACTAGAGTAGGGTCCTTCTTATTATAGTTTGCTCTACACTGCTAGAATGTAAAGTGTGGATAAGTATTATGCGTAGATAATGATGTGTTTTTTCGAGGTTACTACTTAACTCATACTTAATAACATAAATACTTTTTTTTTTTTATGAAAATAACAAATTACCGATAAAGTAATTTTAAATATTTTTATAATAAATAAATAATTTTAATGTGTGATTGTTTTAAGTTTATTAAAATACATTTTCTAAATTTTAGGTAATGAAAGATTTGATGTCGCGGTTTAAAGATCTTCAATTCTTCACTGGTGAAAACATGGATATTGAGAATGGTATGGTCGCTATGCTTGAATACAGAGATATTGGAGATGACAATGTACCTGTATTAATGCTCTTCAAACATGGGCTGGAAGAAGAGAAATTCTAATCACATTACTCAATTGAATTAAAAAAGATGTTACGTTGTCTATTATATTTATTGGTATAAATGATCAGCTTTTAACAACTACTTCGAAGGATATAAAAATCATTTTTTTAAACAAAATTTGTTGAAATTATTTACTAACATTTTACCATTTATTTTATAACAATATAGTTCATTTAAGATCAATGATACACCAATTGCCTATTACAAAACTAAATAAAAGTGTTATTAGAAGTGATTAAAAGTGGTTATGTTGACCAATAAAACTAATAACTTTTTTAACTATTTAATCAATATACTCAAGTACAAATTATGTAAATGTCAGTCAACTAAAATTGTGCCCATGTGCTTTTGTGATAGTATCACAAGTGTCGTATGTTGCTCAGTGTTATTGAGTGTTGTCACTAAAATACTTAGAAATATATTGAATATATTTTAAATAATTTTGATTAAAATGTATTAAAATTAGTGCCTATGATTTTAAACGTGTAATTTAAATACACGTGTACACGAACCCCGTGTAGTTATAAATACACGTGTATGTTAATTACACGTGTAGATCGAATACACGTATAATAGGGACCTCTAATTAAAATAAATTCTGAATATTTCTTATAATATAATTAACACTGAGCAATGTTGAAAAATATAAATATAAGAACAGATGGGAATAAGTATTTCTGGTTTATATTGACGGCCCAACATGACTTTTTTGTAATGTAGTAAAATTAATTTTGTGCACTTGCAGCATAAGAACTTTTGCATTAGGTGGGCCAGCCAGGTTGAGTCCAAAATTTAAACTCTATATTAACCCATGGTGGCTATGCCCCACACCCACTAAGATCACATACAACAGTAGGCACATCATTAATTGTTATATTACATAACTAAAAATATTTTAAATTAAGAATAAATATTTAATATTTTACCATGCCGATTCCTATATACAACAGATTCACACGGTAGGAATTCTTTTTTCAATAAAACAATATTTAAAAGATGAAAATATGTTTAGTGTTAACCACATTATGTTACAATTTGTATTCTTTTAAGTCATAAGATCATTTCTAATAACGGACTATAATGTATTTTAAAATCAAACAAATTATAGTTATGAATCTGAACTAAATTTATTAACATTTTAGGGGGGTCAAGACTTTTTAAAGTGGGCCCAAGCCCACCCTAGCGCTGCCACTAATTTTGTGTAGGAAGTGTTGTACTATATAAAAAAAATATTTTGCAGGTTATCAATTAGCTAATTCAGTTATTATTTCTCTCCCAAGATTTGAAGTTTTACTATTCATTAACAGTGAATAGTAATACCTGCATTAAAAGTGAGTAATTTACAAAATTCTTTATTTCATAGTAAAATTATGAGGTATGAATTATTGTTTTGTCGTTCAAATGTATTTAGAATAGTACTCATTAATTACTTCAGAGTATTTTATACAACACTCGTATTCTTTTGAAATATTCTTATAACAAAATGAGGATTAAATTACAATTAGTAGAAAAACCATAATAACATTATATTATATTATTACTACCAAGATCATAACACTATCAGCATAATTTGTAAGTATTACAGAGGTACTAATCCAGAATTTAGGTCAGCTAATTTCTTAAAATTGGGTTTCTTAGCAATACTTAAATTTTAGGAATTCCATTCAAACTTCAAAACATTTAAATTATCCTGAATTCTAAATAAAATAAATATCATACAATGTGAAGCCAGAATAAAAATTAGAGTAGTAAATAAAGATAGAGTTTATAGAGTTTTAAATTTAAACACAATAAAATAGTACTAATTACTTTTATTTATTCAAATTAAGGTTACCAACTTTTATAGACACCAACTGCAGTAAACGTTAATTAGTGGGGTATAAATTTAAAATAGTTAAATGAATCCACATTATTTTTTTTTTTAACTTTATTTTCTTTACTTTTGAAGTTAGTAGCTGAAAAAGTAAATATTTCTGTGTACACTGAAACTTGGTAATTTTATTCAGAAATCTAAGTTAATAATTAAATTTACATACATAATATATTTTCAATAAAGTTGCTATAATTATTAAGAGATGAATCAACTAAACATGTTTGAATAGAACAATTAACTTAATGTTCATCATGTGGTATAAATGGTTTGCCCCAACGTTTTTCCCATATAGCTGTATATTCCTTTTTAAGTTCTTCTCGTTTTGCAAAGTACTTAGGATATTGAGCTTTTTCCAAAGGATGCCAACTGTCTAAAACCCAATCTGGAGGGAAACAGTCGCGTTCATAAGCTGTTCCACCAGGTGAAGTCGGAACTGAAAATAAAAACAATTGTCCACGTGATATGCATCATTTATAACTTATAAATAGCTGATACTTAACTAAGAAATATTTGTATTGCTTGTATCTAAAGACATATGATTCCCAACCCACTTTAAAATTTCTATTGAAAATTTGGAAGTCGTTACTGCTTATATTTACCTACATAATTATTAAGCTGATATTTTTTTCTTAAGACAAAACATACACCCAATTTTTCAGGCTTAAAACATACCTATGCAGAATGTATTTTATTTGCTCCGTGACTATTTAAAGAAAAAATAACTATAACAAAAATGAATGATGACAAGACTGGAGACAATGTCATATCATTTTTTTGATAAATCTAATATTTAGCTTAATATTTTAAATAACATTTTTTACTTTCTTTAAATAGCTATAACTTTTTTCACATTACTATTTTCAAAATCGGATATGACATTGTTTTTAAAATGTTATCTTTTGATTTCATAATAGGTTTGGTATAAATCAATATTTTGTTTTAAAACAACCATGGACCTAGTAAAACGCATTTTACGTAGCTATGTTTAGATGAATTTTTTCTTAACTGCTGTTAAGGATGCTATGATAATCCAAAAAATAATTTAACTACCAAAAAAAGCCCTAATTATTATTAAACAAATTATTACACATTACAGTTTAAGCTTTAAATTAAAATTTTACAAAAAAATTGCCTATACCTAACTTTTAATAACTAGAGTATCACATCTTAAACTATTATTGAACTTTCAGAATCGCAAAACTGAAATGTTGGGGTTTTATTAAGATTACACATCATAATGTGTTTAATGGATTTTAATAAATTTATAGAAAATTAGGGTTTTAATAACTAAAATATTCCTAATCTGGAAGGAACACTAAAATGTTATACAGCCTCCTCCCATATAATTTTCTTTTAAAACGTAAACAATTTTGAGAATATTGTATAAGAGGCCCCCTAAAATTCTTGTCCTAATTTTTAAGGATCTATCATCTGTACTATTTAAAGGCCTGATATTTTTATTATAGTATTATTATCAAGGCAGTATTTTTAACTAGGTTAGCTTATAAAGAGGGTGCATATTTTGATATTATTGTTACTTACATTGATGAGGATAATAATGTTGATTAGACCATAATTCTTTCTCTCCCTTTTTGAGTAATTCTTGAGCTTTTATTACATCAATGATATTCTTGTTATCATCAAAGCGCTTTCTTAGACGAATGACATTAATTCGCATTAATGGTCTGCAAAAATATTACATAAATCATTTTTTATAAGTTAATATTACATTGTGTAAATAATAATTATTCAAATATTGATATTGGAAACAGTGTGCATCAAACATGCTTCTCAGTATAGAATTTGTAAGGTAGCAATGTCAAGACATCATTTTTTATACCTTTTCCACTGTCATTCTCAATTTTGTAAACAAATTTAATTAACAAAACTATTTGAGAAATAAATATTTATAACAAATATATTAATAATTACCTAAGCATAATGTAATTTATTTTTTACCTTGATGAATAATAAAACGTTAGAAATTGTATTATAAAACCAACACATACCTGTAATGATACCAATCTTCAATAGTTCTACAAGCTTTTTTGTACAATGAACACACTTGTCGTTTGTGTGAAAATACTTCAAATGGGATGTGAGCCATTATAAATGATAGTAAAACACACTTACAACAAAATTACTTTAATCTCAATGGAAATACATAAAAATACGAAAAATACTTCCGTTCTGGACTCTGGTAGTCTTCGGATATGATCTTTAAAAGTGAAAAGTCAACACTTAAATCCAAAGTTATCAATTGCCAAATAATTTTTCGTATCTGTTTCTGTTCTGTTATCACTTTTAGAGGAATCGAGCATATGTTTTTCCGAGAACATGGTCGCCATATCTGCTAAAAGTCTTCCGGTACGCCAAAATAATAATTACGTTACGTCCTTCAGCCAGCAGAAACTTGTAAAATTCAAAAGTAATAAATTACAATTTTAAATAAATTCGTATTCTTATTTTAAATCAAACTAGTGTCCTGCGACTAAAATAATATTATATCAAAAATGTTCCCTCTGAACAATTTATTTTTGCATCATTGTGCTAACGACGCCCTTCAAATTTAATTTTTACTCAATTTTTTTTTCTTATTTATAATAACTAATTATTATATTAACAACTCGATATGATGTACAAAATGTTTTAATAGGTCAACTATAGTACAGTGTGTACTTTTTACATGCTTCTTTTCGCAGTAAGTTAAGCAGTGTTTGAATTGGGATAAGAATAAATATGAAACACGCTAGTATTAAGTTTCACTTCACAGCTCTCTGGAAAAAGAATTAGTAAGGGGAAATCGAAATGCTTATATTTACGAAAATTATTGGTTAGTGTAAAAAAATATAGTAGATGTTTAGAATAATAGTTTATACAAATATTAACTATTAGTTATAATATACATTTTTATTTGGGTATTTTATTATTGTTTTTTATTTAACTTTTTTCCTTTTCAGCCTTATAACTCTGACTTGTACTAAGATAAATTTAGTACAAATAATTTGTAAAAATATCAAATTTATTCATTTAGTTTTTATTCGATTTACCAATTTTCATCAAGAATTTTATTAGTTATACATTAAAATTTGTAATACCATTGTTTAACTACACATAGTTAGCCTGCTTAGCCCACGGCGTGTTAAGAAATTGCCGCTCATAAGTAGGAACCAGTAGTTCCATAGTGTTATAATAAGCTGGAAGTGCCAGACTATGTATAGAAGCGTGGTTTCCAATTTTCATATTACTATGGACATTGCTTTTTGTAATTAATTAATGGTAAATTATATGTATTTTTTTTAAGAGTTAGCATATGACTCATAATATTTGTTTTCATTAGTAATGGATGAACTTTTTGAGTTGGCTCGAGGCTAGAGTTTTTTAAATAAATAATATATATATTTCAAACTGCAAACAACACAGTTTTTAAAAACAATTCTCGAAATTCCACAAAGAGCGCCAAATTCTACAGGCGGTAAATTATTCCCATAATAATATTGGTTATGTTGGTACATTAATAGATAAACAACTTTGTTAACTTGATAACAACTTGTTTGGTCTTTCCCTCGCGGATAGCCGCACAGAGAAGTATACCGGATTTTTCGTTAATTGTTATTCGTTATTTTTCGAAGCTCATAGGCCCGCTGTATTCACAATCGATTTTGAGCTTTTTCATTTGTTCACCAATTAACTTTTCCATACTATTTTTATACACATTCGTTATTGCTATTTCCATTACGTTTATTTTAATTAAATTATTTTCTCTTTACTCTTCGCAAACTTTTTACAGTACATATCGTTAGTCATAGCTATATCGTGGTTAGTATACAAAATGTTTTACTTATTATTTTGCTAAAAATTCCGTAATTGTATTTTATATTAAGTTATTAGAGGTTATTGTGATTTTAGATGGATATCACACCCGAAAATATCAACCATTTGGTCAAATGTTTACAAGCGACTCTAAGTCCTGAACCTACTGAACGAAAACAAGGTTTGTACACAAAAGAAGTTAACAATGTTACGTTTAAGTAAAATAAGATTTTGTCGTATCTAATTATATGTATTATATATATTCATAGCCGAAAACTTTTTATTATCAATTGAATGCAACAAGAACTACCCGTTATTATTGTTACACATCATTAGTGCATCAAATGATATGAATGTTGAGTTAGTGCGAAAAATTGGGGCTGTAACATTCAAAAACTATATAAAACGAAATTGGCCTGTTGTAAGTATAATCTATATTGTTAACAAAAATCATATTGTACATATTTTATTATTATTCTTTAATATTACTGCTATTTGGAAAGCATTAGCGTTATACTATATCCTCATATATTTTAACCAAAAAACCGTGTAATGTGTTATGAATTTAAGTTTAAATGAGTACAAGTAATTTAAATAATATGTAATATAATATAGATAATATAATATTATTTATTTTTAAGTATTTTTAAATCAATTTTATTTTAAAAAAAATTTCCAAAAACTTGAGGTTTTCTTTAAACAACCGTTTATTGTTCAAACTTCAAAGCTTACAATTTATTATAAAAATAATTGTATATATTAGTAAGTTTTCTAACTAATCTCAAGATGATCAGTGATTGGAATTTTTGAAAAATTTAATGTTTTATTCTTTATGACCGTTTAGAAAAACAAAGAAATGATGAATAATTGTTAAACATTTCCATTCTAGGTTTGTTTTATATTTTAAAGTATGATTTAAACAATGTTTTCATGTAGGATGAAGAAACTTTAGAAAATAAAATACATCAAGATGATCGTGTTTTAATTAAAGAACAGATTGTGACTATTATGTTAAATTCACCTGAAGCAATTCAAAAGCAATTAAGTGATGCAATTTCATTGATTGGCAAACATGATTTTCCAGACAATTGGCCTAATCTATTACAAAAAATCATCGAAAACTTTATGGCATTTGCTGGTATTTCTTCTTTTTTAGAACTGATGTTAAAAATAATTGTTAAGTTTTTTAATTCAACCTTATTATTAAACCAATCCTAATTCTTTTATACTGTGGTAATATGTACATTTTTATTTTTAACAACATTATGTCTATTATTTATTATTTTGTATTTAATTACTTTTTTAGCTGCACCAACTGGCGATTTAACTCCTATAAATGGTGCATTAGAAACAGCTCACTCTTTATTTAGGAAATATAGATATGAACTAAAGTCACAAAAGCTGTGGACTGAAATTAAATTTGTTTTGGATACTCTTGCAAAACCTCTAACCGAACTATTTGTTGTAAGTTATTTTCTTAACGAAAATAAAGATAGATAATAATTAATTATTAATAAAAAATATCTTGATTTCATATTTAAAAAAAATGTGTTATATTCTTTCAGCTTACTATGAATTTGTGCGAAGTTTCAAAAGATCCTAAACTTTACAATGTTATATTGTTGCTTACAAAAATATTTTACTCGTTAAATTACCAGGTAAAAAGTATTTTGTGGTTGTTATTTTACTATACTCTATCCCATTTAAGAAAAGTAGTGCTCAGAAACTAAACACATTTCTCTTGTATGTGCCATATAGGAGTGACACATTTGGATTTTTGCGCAGTACCACTTTTATATAGGATAGGGTATATTAATAAGTTTCATGGTAGCTAAAATAAAAATGTCTTTTACAAAAGTAATATCAAAGATTTAAATTTCTATTGTATGGATAGTTTGAAATAGGTTTCCTATTAGTTTCTACAAGCTAATGTTTGTATATTATTAAAACGAGATTTAGTAAGAACTGCCATATAAATTTAACAATGGCCTTTAAAAAGTTAATTTTGTTTTTAATAGGATTTACCAGAATTTTTTGAAGACAACATGCAAACATGGATTGGTAATTTTCAAAAACTTTTGGAATTAGAAATCAAAGAGTTGGAAACAAATGTAAGATCATAGTATGATATTAATATCTGCTTTACATGTTTATCATTATAATATTATTTTTAGAGTGATGATGAAACCGGCATATTACATCAAATTCAATCACAAATCTGTGAAAACATATCGTTGTATGCACAAAAGTATGAGGAAGAATTTTCCGCTTACATGAAAGATTTAGTTACAATTATTTGGAAATTATTAATCAAAACTGGTTCTGAACCAAAATATGATACTGTAAGATACTTATTAAACTATATATTGTATTCATATAGTAACAGTGTTTAAAATGTTTGCATTTAGTTAAGGGGACGTCGTACTGCTATTTATTAAGGAGTTGGGTATAGGCAATTTTTTTGCAAAATCTCAATTTAAAGCTTAAATTGTAACTTATAATTATTAGATTAGTAATAAGAATTCTTTTTCGGCAGTTAATTTATTTTTCGGACTATCGCAGCATCTTTGTTATTGATTTTAAATATTTTTTTCATCTAAACATAGTTTTCTAATTCCAAAAACGGCTTACTGTGTGGTTTTAGAGTAAAAAACCCAATTATAAATGTTCTGAGGTGAGAACTTTTTCTATGTTTGTTGGAAACTAACTTTGATAGTTGGTTTGGATATGAACAAAATGGCATAAATAAAGGATATATTTTTAATTATTCAAATGTATGTATCTAAAATTAAAATCTAATTCCAACAAAGCATAGTTAAAGTTCTCATCGTTCAAACAATTTATAACTTATATCCCTGCTTGCAGTGTAGACTTCATACCATTGGAAGTACAAAAGTACTATTTTGGTGCTTATATTTTGAGGTGCGACGTCCCCTTAAGATCAATTAATTGGAAACATTTTGAGTACATATTATTTATTATCATTGATAAACACTGTGCTCTGTTCGCCAACAACAAAAACGCATAACTATCATATGAGCAGTTAGGAGTTATTCTGTTTTGTTTCTACGCAAGCATGTTCTCTGGACGGACGGAATATAAATATTATTATATTTTTTTTAATAATGTTTGTTTAATGTTTTAAGCTTGTGATAAATGCGTTACAATTTTTGTCAACAACTGTGGTTAAACCACAATACAATGAGCTATTCAATGATCCATCGGTATTTTCTGCAATTTGTGAAAAAGTGGCTATACCCAACATGCAGTTCAAAGGTAAAGTGAAAAATGGTTATACTTAAATACACATTTATTTTCACTAAATTTTTTATGTTTTTTTAGCGTCAGACGAAGAATTGTTTGAAGACAACCCAGAAGAATACATACGAAGAGATATTGAAGGATCAGATGTTGATACTAGAAGAAGAGCTGCATGTGATCTCGTCAAAGCACTTTCTAAAGAATTTGAACAAATTACGATGTCATCGTTCGGTTTATACGTGAAGGTAATATTTTACTAATTGTTGATGTTTAAATGAGATACTCATTTGATTATTTCTGTAGTCTATGTTAGAACAATATGCTGCAAATGAACAAAACTGGCGTAGTAAAGATGCTGCATTATTTTTGGTCACTACCCTCGCCTCACGTGGTAGCACACAGCGCCACGGAACAACTAAAATCAGTGAACTCGTGAACTTGGAAGAATTTACCACGTTGCATGTATTACCTGAGTTAGCTAATCCAAATAGTAAGTAGTTAAAATATACAATACATTTTCAACATCTTGTGTGACGATAGTGTTCATTTGCAGTAAATGGAATGCCTGTTATGAAAGCAGATGCTATTAAATATGTTGTGACGTTCCGAAGTGTATTACCACCTCAGGTTGTGATAAGCACGCTACCGGCTCTTACAAAACTTTTGGAAGCTGAGAGTGTTGTTGTAAGAATTTACGCAGCAGCCGCAATCGATAAGATTTTACTATTAAAACACCCAGAAACTAAAGCTCTCGTGTTAGTATTTTATTAATAAAACACATAATTTAAAAATCAATACCTAATTTTATTTTCGTGTCAAACTTATAATAAATTGAGAACATTTTTTGAACTAGCTTAGTAGTTTTTGATTGCAAATTTTAATATTTATTTTTAGCGTTAATGCTGCTATACTTGCGCCGTTTGCAGAACAGTTAATAAAATCTCTGTTTGGAATATTAACAAAACCTGGTTCTGAAGAAAACAGTCACACAATGAAAGGTAATATTAGATAATTACATCTTAATGTGTTACATTTTATTTTTATTAATTTATATGTACTAGTTAAATAATTTATAGTTGATTGTTTACAGCTATAATGAGGACATTTTTTACTCTAAAGCAACAAATAATACCTTTATTGGCAGAACTTTTGCCTGTATTAACCGACAAACTTATAGTAGTGGCACGTAATCCAAGTCAACCAGAATTTAATCATTTCCTCTTTGAAACTATTTCGTATTGTGTTAAGTAAGTTTTACTGTTCAAGACAATGTTTTATTAAAATAGTTTCTATTTAATACAATATTTGTAATTCAATTAGATTGGTTTGTACTGTTACACCCGAAGGAGTTGCTTCATTTGAAGGCGTATTGTTCCCTATATTCCAAATAATATTGCAACAAGACATATTGGGTAAGATTTCGATTAACTATGTTTATTATTAGTATAGAAAATGAATAATTTTTATATCAATTTATTAAAATGCCCAAGCTATGAATACCACATTGTGGTTTTTACTGTTGATTATATTATCATTCTTGGTAGTTTCTATTAAGGAATATAAATAATTTTTGTTTTTGTTTTTAGAATTTATGCCTTACACTTTTCAACTTTTGGCTCAGTTACTAGAGTTCCACAGCTCTGGTGATGTGGGTGAAGCGTATACAATATTGTATCCATTTTTATTAACGCCTGCTTTATGGGAGAAAACTAGTAATATACATCCATTAGTGCGATTGCTTAGGTCTTATGTTGGAAAAACTGCACCGACAAATTTCGAAAAATCTTTAAATATTGTGAGTATTAAAATAGTTAAAATAACTATTTGTTCCTATAAAAAAATTATAAAAAAATATTTTTGTTTAGAATGGACTACTAGGTGTGTTCCAAAAACTCATTGCCTCTAAATCGCAAGATCACGAAGGTTTCCGTTTACTAAAAACTATACTTGAACACTGTCCTGTGTAAGTAATTTGTTTGACCATTATAGCTTGATCACTGATAAAATATAAATATTGTAGCTAAAATGAATCTGTACCCTGTGTCTAAAAGGGTCACTGGGTTATTGACCAAAATCTTGGTAACGTCTTGAGTAGATTTTGTCATTATTTCTAAATAAATATGCAATTAAATAATAATCATAATAATCTAATGTTTTCAGGGAAACCATACAGCCTCAATTGAAAAATATATTCATTCTCTTATTCCAACGACTGTCTTCTTCAAAAACAACCAAGTTTGTTAGAGAACTGATAGCGTTTATATTTTTCTGTGTTATTAAGTATGGAGCAACGTCTATAGTTGATCTCATCGACTCTGTTCAAAATGGGTTAATACATTATTTTTAAAAATATTTTTTTTTCTTTTATTATATTTATTTGTTTATTTAGAATTTATTATTACAAATTATCTGTAGATACTTTATGTGGTTACTAATTATTTATATCTCAATTATAGAATGTTTGGAATGTTGCTTGAAAAAATCATATTACCTGATGCACAAAAGGTAACGGGAAATGTTAACAAAAAAGTAACTGGAGTTGGTATTGTTAAAGTACTTTCCGATACTCCTAAATTAATAGATGGACCATATGCTCAATTTTGGTAAATTAGTTAATTGGTATAATTAGTTACAGAAACTAGGAACTAAAATATTAAGTGGATATTAAATTGTTACTGTGCAGGTCCCGTCTTCTCGAGTCTGTCATATGTTTATTTGAACTTCCAGAAGATGAAACAGTGTATTCAGAAGATAGATTACTTCAAGACGACAATGATAACTCGTATGAAGCTGGTTATTCACAACTTGCGTTTGCCAGCGAAGTCGAATATGATCCTTTATCTGGTAATTATTACAAAATACCAAAGTATCCTTTTTATTATTACTCGACTGCTGTAAAATTGTAATGTGTTTATTAATGAAATCATATTTTTATTTTTCATTTAGGAGTTGATCCAAAATCGTTCCTAGCTCAGTCTTTAACTAAATTAATGAGTCAAATACCTGGTCGTGTTCCTCTTTTGATAAATCAAGGACTTGCAGAAGAAAAACGTGTTCAAATACAAAATTATTTGGTTAGCATTAATGTACAAATTGTATAATTTTTTAAATCTTCTATTAATATATTTTAAGTGAGTTTTTGTACTGTTTAATGATTTAGTGTAAAATTAATATTAATTTGGTTAAGCAATGAGCCTTACTTAGCTTGCCACCATTGGTTATATTGCAGTTTAATTTTTAATGAACATATTTTTTTTTAAATCTTTAACAAAGTGTACTATATTTCGATTGAAATACTTTATTATTTTATCATATTTACATGTCTACTAATTATTTATATTTTATTTATAAATAAAACAAACTCATCATTTATTTGGATTATTATAATATATTTTAATGATGATATATACAGAATAACTATTATAGAAGTAATAAAATATTAAATCTAACAAATTAGTTTGTCCCATTATAGTCTTAATAAGTTCCAGCTGTCTGGAATGGAACAGAAGCGGTTTAGAGCCGTTTCAACCAAATAGTTTTTGATATCAGTCAGTTCGTAAAAGTCAGATGGATTGTAATCCAACTTGCGGTTGAATATGGCGGCTATTTCCCGTGACGTTACAGTAGTGTATTTTTGTCCAAGTGTAGTGGAACTTGTCAAACGGGTACACGGACAGTTTTTGGATACAAACACTATGAAATGGTTTTGTATGTCTGACAGAAGTTGGATGAACTTGTATTTGGAATATTTTTTCAACGATTCCACTAACAACTTGCGGATCCAACGGAAAACATCCGCTTGCACTCGAAATCTGTCAACGACCCACACGATGATAGCGTCTAGCAACCGGACGAGATCAATGGCTATAGAAGCGGTTAACTCGTTTGATCTCGAGTACGCCTGGCTAGTTGGTTTTGTTGAGTCAATTATGTAGTTGTTGAAGTCCAACAGGGCCAACCCATAGGCAACAATCAACGACAAGCATTTGCTGGCCTGGCACATCAGACCTTTGCTGATCAGGTCATAGGCCCGGTCACCGCTACTGTCAACACATCTTCGTGAGTACTTGACGACTTTTGCCACTTCATTTCCCAAAATCCTGCTACGTCCTCTCACACAGATCTTCTCGACACTCAGCCATTCCCACGCGTCAGTCTTGATGATTCTGTTGACAATGTCGTCGACTTCGCAGCACGTGATAGCGTACGACAACAACACCGACAAGGCGGTCAAAAACCGAAGTTGCGCTTTCATGTAGGTCGATTGTCAACCTAAATCAAAATTGCCATGTTAAAACAAGCTTCCATTAAAATAAAAATTAGCTTATCGTCGAAGTTCAAACAGTGTGTTTCTTGTTTTAAACATTTTTGAAACTGTATTTTGTTTGTTTCATAAACACGAATTTTTGTTAACCGAAAAACAACATTTTCAATAATGCACGCAGTCGTTTTCTATATGGCATGCTTGTACGTCTATGTTTATGTTTTTTTCTGTACAAATATTTGCTGTACTTTGTGACGTAATTATTAGGTGTAAACATTGTACCGATCACCGCCATTTGTTCGTAAGCAAGTTAAAACACAAGCCTATGAAAAATCTGTCGGATTTTTTCTTTTGCACTGCGCCGTACTCAATTTTTGATATTTTATGATGCATACAATACGTTAATAAAGACTTCTTAAAGTTAACAGTTTACTTTTTATAACGAAATAAAATTTTTCAATTTTAACTTAAACCCTGCGACGTGATCCACAAATATCGTATAGATTTTGAATAGGTAGTGCAAATTATTGACAACTGTTAATATAGGAATTTGCGTAGAACTTAATGTATTGTTATTTAATGCTTGATATAAAGTTGAGTTATGTAAATTACTGTAAATTGCCGAAGGAAAAATGGCTGGGATTCGATAAGTTTTTGGTTTTGTCAGTGTTTCTCAGTTGAAACAATTCCCAACTGTCCGGAATCCAGCAAAACTCGTTGAGGGCACTTTCGACTAAATCGCGTCTGTTCCTGTCTGTCTTATCAAAATCGCCAACCGCGTCACCGTGTTGCTTACCGTCGTCGATGACCAGACCCACGTCGTCGGCTGACGTTATGGTAGTATACCTGTGCTCGATGCGGTCATGAACGTCACCGCCACCTCTGTATAAGTTGTGTATAGTGCTGTTCCTATTGCACGGACAGTTTTTGGCGACCAATCGGTTGAAATGCGTTTTGATTTCCGACAGCGCTTGTGGCAAATCGTATTTTGTGTGACTGCTTAGAGTTCGCACCATAAACTTGCGGGCCGTATCAAACGCGCTCGCTGCCTTTATGAGGAATCTTTTTTTCGTCCACCAGACGATCACGTCCAACACTTGTACCAGGTTCAACGCTATGGAAGACGCCAACTCGTCCTCCATCGTGTACACGGTGATCGTGTTGCCCGCCTGCGCAGCTTGCAGCTGTTTTAACGACAACCGACAGTAAGCGGCTATCAACGCGACGTACTTGCTTGCCCGACACATGAATCCTCTCTTGATCAAGTCGTACGCCCGGCCATAGCCGTTCTTTTGTTTGTTAACTATCGCTTTGGTCACCTCTTTGACTAATCCTGCCGCCCGGTTGTTGACGCATATCTTTTCTGCAGCCATATTTCTCCACGCCTCTGTGTCCAGTATATCCTTTATGTTGAACTCGTTATCGCCACGAACTACCCAACTAAAAAACAACACAAGCCACAGTGTCGTCCATCCTTTCGGACCCATTTCGATTAACAGCATCGCATCAAAATTACTGGAGTAGACTATCCGATTTCGTGTTGCTTATACCCACTGCTGGAAACCACCGGGTACGGTAGCGGTAGCTCTAACGCTGCTCTAATTTAATTAGCCGATATTGCATTATGTTTGGTTATAGTAAAGGCGTTATACATTAGTCAAGCCAGCAACTGTGAGCACAAGTGTGTAACTGCAGATGAACTTAAAAAATAAAAACAAAAAACACCAAACTACAAAAAAAACTATACACATATTTCTCACACTTACATAGGTTGTATAGGCTCATATTCAATATATTATAATTTATATCATTTGTATGTAAATATGCATAGTTACATCTATTTTAATGTGTGTTTACCTACCCTAGAGTCTAACTCTCGACTATTGTATGCGACTTGATAAACGTTATGAATCACCAGAAACATTGTTAATTACATTTTAAGTATGGTAAGTAGGTATATCCTCAATTATACTCCTTCTAACCCTAGTTCATACGGCATCTAAATATTATAAGCGTTATACTTCAACCAAACTCAAGACGAAGTGTTATTGAAAAAAAATCACACTCAAGTGGCAACGATAAGGTTAATAAATATCGTTAAAGATATTATAAATAATTAATGACTACCTGAGTCCTGATGTAAGTATGGATAAAATAATTTTTAAGTTATTTCTAAAATGTTTGGATGACACATATCCGATGAAATGTTATTTTGTTACAATATCACGAGGTTCTTAAAAACGATAAAACATTACAAATTATCTTTATAGATTATTGTTTATCTAAAACATAGTACTATAAATACTACGGTATAAAGTAATCATAGACCTGTTATTAATTAATTATTATTATTAATAGGTCTATCAAAATAATATATGTGTGCACTCTTAAATAGCAATTAATTGTTAACAATCTCGCATTAAAAATTATATTAGCAAATTAATAATTGCGTATTAACTTAAATAACATTTCATTTTTACGCACGTTATACGCTACGATGAGTACTAAAATAGTCATAGGACTTTGTTTGTTATTGTCTCTTAATTTTTCCGAATCATTAATTTTTCAAAATCCAGCTGATTTAGAAGAAAACATTTCTATTAAGGTAAGTTATCTTTTTATTGCGTTTAATATAATAATTTTTTCAGATACATAATATATTAATTAAGAATTCATTTTTTTATTTTCTGGCTTAAGGAATTTGTACTTAGAAGGGCAGCATTCCTATTAAGAAATTTAATTATTATTTGTTCGATTGGTTACATTCTACAAGTTACTACAAAATTTCACATTTTATTTGATCTGATATTTTCCAGCACTAGTTTTTTTAAATCGCCTAATATTTTTGTAAACAAATTAAAAATCAATACTAATGTTTTCTAATATTATTTTGTAAGTATATTAATTATCAAATAAAAAGTCTCTACTCATTAATACCTGTGTTGGTGAATCCTAGAATAAAAAATAAAAAAGTAAGTTCTATAGCAATTTAAATAATACACATTTAAATTAAAGTATTATTTTTTCATTAGCAGCATATACAATAGATAGCCAAGGCCCAAGTTTAATGTAATTCTTAGATTTTAGATAATTAATTTTTCTATTAGACAGGATACGGACTGTATAGTATTTTAATGTATTAATTTCAGTATTTTATACTAAGAATTTATATTACAAAAATAAATTTCAGGATGGAAGATTACTCAGCGATTCCGGCGAACGATATAATATAGAAATGAATTTGTTTGAATCTCAAAACAAATATATCAATAACTTTTCTCTGCCCAAAAACTTTGACGCACGCAAAAAATGGACGAGATGTGATTCATTAGGTGCTGTTCGATATCAGTCAAATTGCAATTCTGATTGGGTAAGTTTGAAATTAACAAGTCGAGATTTTAATAGCATTAAAAACGAATTTTAATAGTTAATTTTGATTATAATTTATAAGCTACTAGACAGACATTATACGTTTTTTTAATTTATTATCTAGTAATAAAAGTAACAGTAACACAAAAGTAAATGCGTTATGTGTTATTTTTTTTATTAAATACGCGTACATTAAAATTACAGAAATTGTATACGATAATAATAAATAAATGCGAATATTAAACGTATAGAAACACATTTATAAATCCATTAGAGGACATTTTTTAAAAATTCAAAGAAACCTGTGCACCCGTGCAAAACATATTATGTATCATAGGTACACGCTGTCTTCACTTTTCACAGTAATACTTTCATAGCTGCCAAATACGTTTTACTCCGCAGGCTATTGCTGTTGCTGGCGTTTTCAGCGATAGGCTGTGGATTAACAGTAGAGGTAAAACGGCAGTCACCATATCGTTTGAACACATTCTCACTTGCGCTATAAGTGACGGGTGCAAAGGAGGTGAACCCGATAACGCTTGGAATTTTCTCAAGAACAACGGAGCCGTGACTGGAGATGACTACAGATCTAACGAGGTAATACGCTTAGACAATGCCTTTTTATATACAAATTTTATCGTTCACAATATGTTTAGGGGTGTCAACCGTATGAAATAGCACCTTGTTCATCTAATGGTTATCGGAAATGTAATCAAACCATAGCAGACACGCCAGTGTGCTATAGGAACTGTACGAATTCCCACTATAGAATAAGGAATTTTGAAGCTGATTTGCACAGGAGTAAGTTTTACACCTATAACCGCGTTAATCATTTTCTGTCCAATGTACAGAATTTATTGTCGTTGAATTTTAGCTCGTGGAAATTTTAAGACAATTTCGCCCAGTAGCGAAACCGAAATTATGAACGAGGTTTATTTCAACGGTTCGGTGGCAGTTGCATTCGATGGCTACAAAGATTTGTTTGATCACGTAACAGGTGTGTTAAATTTCAATTCACCATTAAAAAAAATACTTTTGAATACGGTTAAAAACAACAACATTTATTATATATTAATGGTATTCATTTGTTTTTAGGGATCTATGTTAAAAAGTCTGACGAGTTTGTCAGGCGGCTTTCGGTAAAAATAATTGGCTGGGGTGTTAGAGGAAACCAATTTTACTGGCTGATGGTCAATTGTTGGGGTAAACTATGGGCCGACCATGGACTGTTCAAAATGGAGAGAAACACATTGAATACTTTATCCGGAAGCATCACCACAGGATATGCTTGATATATGGTGTATTATAAATGTTATAATTATACAATTTACATAAGCTATATAAATATAAAATAAATTTTAGTTTATTAAAATATAGGTAATCGATTTTAGTTGATTTCTTTTATTTAACATCTCGATCATTTGTTGTATGTATTTAGGTTACATGTTTAATGTTTTTTTTTTCCAATTACTTAGTATCTTTACATTTATTATTCTAAAGTTTCGTCTACATTAGCGACCCATAACATAAACGTGTTCCAGCTAAACGTTGCACAGCAATCAATCTATAATGTCGGTATTTACTTTTTTGACAAACCTTTAATGTGTCACGTACTTATCGCAGTTCGGTATTTGGCTCGCTAGAGTGGATGAGGTTAAAAGGAGTAAAAGTATCGTTTGTCGACCGCCTTCTAGAAAAAAGGACAAATAATGAATAATATTTATATAATCTATATAATAAGTAAGGACCACTTCGAAAGAGCTATGTAGACATCGTAGAAAAAGGTCCAAGTAACCTCACTCCTCAGAGTACAGAAATGGAGGGATAGCATAATAATTAATAAGCATTAAACATTTTTCTCATTAGGCAAGATAGGACTATGGTCTCCAAATAAAAGGCATTCACTTTAAATATACACTATTTGTAGCAAATATATTTTTGTGAAATATTTTTAGAACAATTTTTTTTTACGCAACAAAAGAAAACATATTTTAAAGAATAAATTATTCAAAATATTCAAGTTGCAGATTTCCTAATTGTATACCTATAACCAGGGTTCCGTAACGTAACGAAGTAGGTATAACGTTATAAACTCAATTATTTCGTTTACCAAAATAAAGTTCCCAGAACATAACATAATATTAGTTTATGTTTGGTGAACGTTATAGGGCCATTCCACGTGAAATAACCTAATGGGTGTGCGACTATACTTCAAAAATGTTTGAAGTTTTTATTATACATTCTTTATAGGTCCTTAATAACAAAAAAAATTTTTTTTGGACCAATTTTTAAAAAAAAAAATATCCAAAAACACCTCATGTTCCCGACCCTGTAATTTAACCACCGATAGTGGTATAGACATGAAACCTGCAAAGTTAAAATTCTGATTAAGTGTACTTTAACCACATTTTAAGAAAATATATATTTATTTTATTTTTTAACCCTAGAAATTTTTTTTGAATTTTTCAAAAACTTTTTTTGGGGCCAAAAGTTAAAAATTAAAAACAAATATTTTGTTTATATACAATTTAAGTTATGTTCTTATGACCCATATCATCTTTGAGCTCGGTCTTCTACATTTCGTTCAATCACCCCCGCTATCATCATATCACTCTGTATTCCGTCCACCCATCTTTTCTTTAGTCTTCCTCTTTTCCCCTCTACATTCATCTTCATTACCCCTCTCACTGCCTCTGTCTCATCTCTTCTCATAACATGACCGAACCATCTCAACCTGTTCTCTCTTATTTTCTCCACATTCAAGGTGTATAACTATATAATAGTATTCATAATGACGTTCTCCGAACAAATATATGTATAGGTAACGATATAATACGATATGTATAACGATATAATGTATATTAAGAAATTCTCGGGGCAAATAAATTAAAAACGTTATTCGGTATAACGTTCTCGGGATAAAAAAAAATTGTAACGTTCTTCCTAGTTTACGTTCATGAGCATAATTTTGAACTGAACAAATAAATAACGGTTAACGGAACCCTGTCTATAACAATACAATACAAATTCATTTTGTATGACTAATAGTCGAAACATGGGCACAATATAAATTACCATGTACCTGTAATAGTAATTAATAAGAATATTTTCAATTTATAAATAAATAATAAAAATATTTGTTGTTTTTATTAAATAAACACCCGAAGACATAAAGTACAGTTTGCTATAAGCAGATGTAAACAATAATGAAATTAAACTACCAATACATAAACTAATTGGGAACACCCGAATTAAAAATTAATCATAATAAAACTATAAGTATTAGAAGGCTATATTTAATAAAATTACTAGTGTGAAAAATATCAATAAAAAAAAAAACGTATTATTATTCAATCGAGTGAACCCTAGTGGTAGTAGTAAACGGTATAATAGACAATTATAATAGTAAACGGGGAAAACAATTTTGGGAATTCTTTTTTTATTTTTCATTAATTACGGTTCAAAATGTCTAAATCAGGATCTCACAAGACCTACACTCTAGAGGGATTTGGTTATAATGGCAAAAACTTATAGAGAGTACCTAATAGAAATCGAAAGAAAATTAAAAATTGCCAATTCTATCTATTAATATACGATATCGTAGATTATAAATCTAGTGTGTTATATTATGTGTTCATAATATATTATTATTAAATAAGAACAAGACTCATAATGATTTGAATTAGTATAATTTAAAAACAAAAAAACACACTTTTTTATAATACTCTAACATTGAATAATAATAATAATAATTAATTTATATCATAACCTTCAATACAATGTTTACAATACATTTACAAGACAGTGCGTACAACTGTCACATCTAGTATTATTCCAATTTCCATGGTACATATTATTAATAGAATATAGATAGAAAATAATATTTCTACCTAGATATTCTACTATTTACTCAAGAAAACTTGACCTATTTGATTGCTAGTATATAGGTAATTTAATTCTTAAAAATTGAGTCTTATAACATTTGTATGCAAATAATCATAGGTACCTACACTTATTTGCCTATTCTAGAGTCTAACTCTCAACTATTGTCAGTTGTTAGTGACTAAAAGAAACTTTTTTTTTTATCAACTAAGATTCGAAACAAGGGTGGATATTCATTGTCAAATAGAAAAATAGTTTCGTCCGGCAAAAAAGAAAACATCACCACGTCACAGCGTTTATTCATATTAACGTTATGAGTCACCAGAAACATTGTTAATTACATTTTAGGTATGGTAAGTAGGTATATCCTCAATTACTACTTCTGACCCTAGATACGGCATCTAAATATTAAAAGCTCTATACTTCAACCAAACTCAAGTTTAGGCAGACTAAGTGTTATTGAAAAAAAATCATTTCCAAGTGGCAACGATAACGTAATAAATATCATTAGTTATTATAAATAATTAATGACTACCTGTTGTAGGTATGGAAAAAAACAATTTTCATTTGTTTTTAGAATGTTTGGATGACACATATATGACGTCACCTAATCGAATTACGAATGTAATGTTTTTTTGTTACAATATCAAGAGGTACTTGTTGGTACACTAGAGAAAAATAAATATGTAATTTAATAAAAACGATAAAACATTAGATTAATCATCTTCACAGATTAATCGTTTATCTACAACACAGTACTTTAAATATTATGGTATAAAATAATCATAGACCTATTATTAATTAATTATTGTTAATAGGTCTATCAAAATAATATAAGTGTACAGCTTAAATAGCAATTAATTTTTAACAATCTCGCATTAAAAATTATGTTGACAACTAAATAATTGTATATACTTAAAAAAACATTTAACTTTTACGCACAGTACACATGATGAGTACTAAAATAGTCATAGAATTTTGTTTGTTATTGTCTCATTATTTCTAGTTTTATTCAATGGTACATGTTATTGATAGAATATAGATAGAAAATAGAATGTTTCTACCTAGATATTCTACTATTTACTCAAGAAAACTATGACTTTCTTGATTGCTTGCATAATTTAATTTTTTAAAATTACACAAAACACAATCTTTTGAATAACAAATTTAAAGATATTTACACCTACATTACTTTTGCTTATAATAAATTAGTGTTTTACAGTCGAATTCAAGCTACAGCTAATAGTTACAAAGATAATAGTGGTGTAATTTAAGAATTTATATTATACATAAAATAAAAACAAAAATATAACAGTATAAAAAACATATCTTTAATTGGTAAATACAAAACAATTTAAACCATTTAAATTATATACAAAAAATAACAATAAGGTAGCTAGTGGAATTGAATAAATATTAAAATATATATTAAACCCCATTTTTTAAATTGATTTTTCAGTCATCCAATTATTTTCAACTATTATTATAAGTTAACCCTTTGTATATAAAAATGGTCAAGAGAATCTCAATGAACTAGGTAAGAGAATGTTTAGATAAAAGAGATTTACAAACTGAACCATAATTACTTAAAATATGTTGAGTTTACCGAATGGGTAGTTACTGTGTAAAATACAGAATCCACCGAGCAATGCTACTCCAGCAACAACAATCCCGCTGATTATAAATGTTGTATTCTAAAACAAAAAGTATAAATTTTCATGTTATGTAAGTTAATAGTATTATTTATATATTGTAGCATACATTTTTATTTAATCTACAATAATAGTTTTTTTTTTTTGGGATGGCAATTAAACAAGAACAATTTTTTCAGCATGATGTTCTAGAATAAAGTATCTTAGTACAATTTGTGCACTTTATTTTTACTGTATCAAATATAAAATACATACATTAATAAAATTATAAAAGTCAAATTATAACTTGGGTTGTATTGTAATTAGTAGAGTAATTGGAGCACACATTTTTAAGTGGCTTTTTCATTTACTGACAGATTTATTTTCTAAGCATGAGACAAACTAAATACAGAAATATACATTGTTGCCCTAATCAGCTTCCGATCAAAACTAGGTGAACTGATTAGATTAGGTTATTTGCTTATTAACTCACAGCTTAATTTAAACCTGCCACTTAAGTTGTTTTTTTTTTGGCTAAATATTAAAATATATTACAATAATTAGGTTTATTTATGGTGTTATTTTTTCTGGTTTTTCATTAGGTAGGAACAATTTTTTTTTTTGTGATTAGGGTGTGTGAGGTACATATTTAGCAGCTTCTCTGTTGATAATATACTATAATACTACTGATGTTAAATAAGAACAATTTAATTGCCCATGACAGCAATATCACAGAAGTTATAATTGGATTATTTTAGTGATTCAATATATTAACGATTAATCAATATCTATTTTGGCAGTTCTTGTTACTTATTATGAAAAGCATAATATACTGTAAAATTAATCATCTTACCGATGTACTATTACTACTATTAGTTTTGTTCTCCTTGTCATCACTTTTTTTTTGTCCCAACATCTTTTTATACAGCTCTCTTTCTTGTGCTCTTTCTTTGACTAACACATTTTCTACATTAGCTAATAAATTTTGAATAGTTTTATTATTTGGACTAATATGTAATGCTTTCTTAAATTCATAGGCAGCAGCACTATTCTGTCCTTTGTCAGATAATATTTTGCCTTTTCTCATTATTGCTTTTACATTAATAGCATCAATTGCAAGTACACTATCCACCGACTGCAGTGCCAAGTCCATACTATTCATAGCCATGTGAACCACAGCCATATTATTCAAAGTTTTTACACGCTCATTTTGAATTAATTGTTCCAAAGCATCATCGTTCTAAAAAAAGTGTAAGAATTTTTCTATAAAAATGATTAAATTTAAAATAAATATAACTCTTTCAATTACAAACATAATATGATATGTAAAAAGTATACTCTATAAATAGGATGGCTTCAAAAAAGGTAAAAATATTTATCCAAATACATTATGAATTAATATTATGGCACATTTTTTGAAGTCTCCAAATTTTACAGTAATATTTTATCTGTGTGTTATTTATTTCATCAAATACGGACAATAGTGTAAAAATAAAGAATTACCACTTCTCCTGATCCACCAAAGTATTGAATGGCTTTACGATATAAGTGTAGGGCCATAGTGTTTTCATTACGTGAATACCACCAATTTCCTTTATCTTTCTTTTGTTGCCTAAACATAACATAATTTAGTCAATATAAAAATATTAGCAAGAGGATTATTGCCAACAAATAAATAAGAAATAAAAGTAGTTAAACGCAAAAGTGAAATTAGCGTAGAATAATTTTGAGTGGCAATATCATGGCATAAAATATCAATTCGGCAAATTTAAAATTTGGGCCACTAATTATACACATATATTCTTTGGTAAGATTATAAAAAATAGTTGAAATAGATTATAAAAATGCAACTCACGGAGTGATCACCTACATGCTTTCTGGCTGATTTTGCCAGTGGTTTAAACTGAAGAAGAAGTGACTGGATGTTATAAATAAAAGACAAGGGAGATGTGCAAAATTAATAAAGAAATGGTGATGAATATAGATTGAGAAAAGAGAATATTTGGCTGGCCTACATAATCGTTTTGGATAAGGTGAAGAAGAAGAATTATTATGTAGATTTTATTTTGTTTGCTTCATTATTATTATTATTTATTATCCGACTATGTCAAAATATAAAATATAAACTCGTTTCAATACATCTTACTAACCCAATTTTAAGTCTATCAGCTGGTGTGAGTTCTTCTGGCTGAAGTTCTGGCCGTGCACTAATTAGCTCTACAGTATAAGTTAACTTTGCACCACCAGGCACATCAGGTTCCAATCCTTTTTCTCCATATCCAAATCGGGGTGCAATATTTAACACTGCTATTTCACCAACATTCATCAGGCTTAAAGCTAAATCAACTCCTTGAATTACCTATAAAGAAACAAATTTACATATTAATTAAGTAAATAATTATATAGATACAAAATAATTTTTAATTTCATACTTCACAGTCACCCAAGGTTATTTCTTTATTTTCAAATTTTTCAATAACGTCATCTTTATCCTCTAATTTTCCAACCATATTAATTACAATTTGTTCACCCCTAGTTGGACGATCATCTTTGTTCCCATGTCGAATTATCTTTTTAGTAAGATCACCAGATCCTAATATGTCCTGAAATGTCTCTTCTTCCTCTTCATTATCTTTGGCTACTATCTCAGGCTCTTCGTTTGTGATTTCAAAGTCGTTCAAATTTATGTTGGAGTCATTTGACAGTACTGGAGTACTCTCTTGTTCGTTGACGATGCTATCGGAAATAACCGATTTCGGCAACTCATCAGAAACTGAATTTTCCAGTTTTGATTGAGGCTGGATATTTTCCATCGTTAATAGTTTAGTCCTATTTAATTTAAATACTGAATTAAAGAATGAACGTGAGTTATAGAAATAACAAAAAATTTTAAAATAACATAAAACAATAATGTTTTTTGTAATATCGGTACAATTATAACAGTACTGCAGACAATAGACCGTAGGATGCAATTTTTAAATGAATAATGAGAAATTTTAGAAAAATGTACTTTGATAAGGATTACATGGACTTGAAACACCTTTCCAGCAGCTGACCAGAATTACATTATAACCTATAAATAATGAATCGTGTTACAAGAATTTTTTGACAAATAAAATTATTCTTAATATTATTATCATAATATTGTTATCTATTATTTAGACAATTAATTTTTATCAATAATAAATTATTTAATAAACAGTTAACAGTAAACTTATTATAATTCATTTATAAACAAATAACCATGAACTAAGTTAAATTTTAATAAAATACAATAATTAAATATTACATTTTTAGTTTTATGAAAAACATAAGTAGTTATTAAGTGTTTTGCTTGTATTGTAAATATTAGATTGGTAACAATAAAAAACGGTGGATTATGATCAGATAAAGTTGAAATACTTAAACAGTTAAGCTTATATTTAACAAACAGAACTTAACGAATGAAAGATGTCTCAAAATGAAGTAAATCTTGAAGATGAACAAAAGTAATAATTCAAAAGCAACAAAATAAAATATATTGTTTACATTTTTTGCTTAATTCAATTATTTTTTATATCAGATTCAAGTCGTTATTGTGTCGGAGACTAGTTGAATCAGGTTGGTTAGATGAAGTTACTATATTGTGTAAAGAAAAGTTGAAGGAACGATTATCGAAAGGACAGTCTGTGAGGTCAATAACTGAAAATGATTTATTCAATGATATTGCCCCAGATGCTAGAAGTAAGTTGTATTTTGAGTTTTAAATAACTACTAATTTAAATAATTGATAAATCAAAATGTATATTAATACAACTTTTAACTAGCAATAATATCATTTTTTTTATACATTTTACTTGTTTACTATAAAATATAATTGTTCTCTTTCATCCAACTGCTGTAAATGCCTGGTGGCTGGTAGGTTGAGATGATTTAGAAATATCAGTAAAGAATTTGCATACAGTAATCTAAATTGTCTTGACCGTATAATAATATTAAATTCTTCTAAATGTACTCAAACTACTACTAGGTAACGAAAAAGACCTTAAAACACATTAAAAAAAAAAGAAGAAATAAACTAAATTGAATGTGTTGTATCAAAGATATAACACAATAAATCTATGATAACGCTACAATCCCCAAGTAGGTGTTAACTAGACTAAATACAGGTAGCTGATATACAAGCAGTAGTCTTTGAGTTAAGAAGCTCTTGGGGTATGGCTTAATAGGCGATTAGGATAGTATGATGCATTTGTTGATTGCCATTGCAATTTGTGTATTAGAACAGACCGTAGTGATGACAATCTTCCAACCAGATCAGAATTTCAATTGGTTTCATCTTTAATAGAATAAAGAGAAAATTGAGTTAAAAATTAAATATTACTCTCTAAAAGAATCTATTTTAATTTAATTAATATATAAAGTATGTCTAATCCCATTCTTATGGGTTAAGTTGAAGAAAATCAAAATTATTTAACAAATAATGTACACTTTGTATACAACTCCATTTATAAAAAAATTGTATACATTTTTTTTTACAGGAAAGTTACCAGATACAATAAAAAGAGAGCTGAAGGTAAAAGTGCAGAATCATTTGTTACAAACTGCAGGATATTTCGATGATACTGACAGTGAATCATAAAAAGTTTAATTTAAAAAATATTTTTTATCTTAGAACATGTAAAATATGTTTTTAATGTAACTAAAAGGTCGAGAGTGTAAATAATTCAAGTTAATACATAGAAGATATTTTTTTTTTATAATTTTATGATGTCTATGTTTATACACTTAAATTTTTTTATTTTTATGAGAATTTAGTACAATATTTTAAAATTGAACTGTAATTTTTTATTTATGTACTTCTATATAAATTAAAAATTCTACAAGTCTGTGGTCAAGTGGCTAGAAATACAGGGTTCTTAGGCACATAAAATCATGATTTTATTCCCCGGTAACCAAAATATATTTTAATAGTCATTACTCATTAGCGTCAGGTCTCTGAAGCAAGCCGGCCAAAATTCCATAAACCCAATATTATTATTTTTTATCGAAGTATAATCATAAAAAAAATATTTTATAATAGTGCTGGTAAAGAAAAATGTTATTATGTTAAGTCATTTTATATAATTAGTTAGATGTAATCTAACTAATTTTTGAGCTCTAAACATACCAATAGAAAAATAATTATACATTTAGGTAGAACAAATGTAAAATGAGTTGAATCAAGTTATTAAATACCTTTATTGCAATAAATTTGTATAAATTATTAGTATATAATATAAAAGTAAAAATAATAAAAATAAATAATATAAATGTTATCATAACTTTTACTTTTATTACAATAATCAAGCCATAAATGAACTGGGAAATAATCAATCAATATTATTTAAAGAGGTAAATTACAAATTATTATATGACAAATATAATTACAAATATATAATAAATCAGATATAGTTGTTTGTATTTAAATGTTCTAAAATTTTAACAGGCTTTGCTTTTAAAACCAATTAAATAATAAGCACATTGTTATTTATATTTGTATAGCTTCATTAATAAACATTGAATGACATTGCAACAAAAATAATACAGATAATATTAATATAAAAGTTCATAAAATGTTTACTCTAAGGACGGTATAAATAATAATATTATAAAAAATTTACATTCTTAATTAATTAGGAAAATTCTAATATTATCAAAAAGCGTAGTACATTTTTAGTGTACTACTTGACAAAAATTACTTAACATTATTTCACTTAAACATTTAACTAGTAAATGTATCTATAATTTATGAATACTACATTTCTGATAACTACATTCAGCAACTGATTTGGATGTTGAATATTAGAAACACGTAATTTAAAAAAAAAACAGTTTTCTTAGAGTTTAAAAAAGGTGCGTTTTGTCATATTAAGTATGATATTTGGCAAAATGTGTGTCGAAAAAACATGTATTATCAATCATATAAAAATTATATCATCACTGCATTACCATAATTATATTTTTGCAATGTTAATTTGGCATTTAATTATATTTGATTAATTAATGTATAATTATAATTATGTAGTTATATAAACAATAATAAAGATATTAGTAAAGACCTATTAGTATAGGTCTTAAACCGATTCTGTAGCACTCTGGAATTCGCTTAATGCCTTTATTGGATTTTGAACAATCTTTTGAGAACCTTTACGCACTTTAGCTCGTACTTCTTCTGGTTTTTCCGGTCTCACAAGTGGCTTTTTCTCAGGAGCTTTCATCTTCCACACAACGAGCTGCACAAATATAACAATCAATTTTAGAACCAATATTGCATTTTTTTTTAAACAAACTAATATAGTATATACTTTTTGTAAATCTGCTCCTTGTCTTGGGTATTTAGTACTTGCTACGTATGAAGACTTCACAGTCAAAACAACTGCATTCATTAAATTTTTAGCTGCTTGAATTAAAGACGTAGCACTATCCAACTAGAAGCACAGAACAAAAATTATTATTTATTACGAATATACGGGCTGAGCCCTTTTAGTACAATTAACGAGTAAATATTTAAAGAAATTATTAATGATTTTGAAATTCCTACTTTTAAAAAAATTATTATAAATTAAAAAAATCATACCCCAGAGACAATGAGTTCACCACTAATATTTTGTACATCAGCCTTCACTTTAGAAGTAATATTAAGCTGATGGCAATATAATGCAATCCGTTGAAGGTAAGCCAATAAATCCTTTTTAGTCGAAGATTCTGGACACTGATCAGCAATTTGTCTAGTAAGTTTATCTAATTTTGTACCTGCTTCGGAAATCTTCTTAGCTGCGTTAATAACATCCATTGTGGTTTTTAAAGGACCACGTCCACTATTTAAAAATAATTTAACAATAAACACAATCATTAATATCCTATTACCTAGTAAAAAACTTTTGACACAATTTTATCAATAGAAACTTACCGTGTGAAATCTGTCATTTCCATCATAATCATACACATGTGTTTTGCAAGTACGATTATATCGTTTCCAGCGTCATCCCATTTGGCTACTTCACGATCAAACTTCAATTTTTCACTTCTGAAAAATTCAACTTGCTGTGCGATTTTCTGTTTATCTTCTTCTGTCATCTTCCTCATGGCTTCCTATGAAAAAAAAAATAGATCAATATTATTTACACACAATTTTTGAGTTGTTATGCTAAAAACCTACTCTTGCAGTAGTAATGCCGCTAATATCCGGATATTCGTCCAACGGTTCTCCAGTGTGAGCGCTTGCTATAAAAATATCACATTTTAATTATTTCTTTAGGTGATACGTTAAATATAATAAAAATAAACCTACATCTACTACGTGTTTCAACCGTATAATGTTCATCAAACTCTATATCTTCAGGATCCAACTCCTCGTCGGTCTGTAAATAATTAGGTATTCATTGATTTTTAATATTTATATATACAACTACAAATAATAAAAATCGCTTACCCTATTCATGAGAACCGCACGGCGAATTTCTCGAACTCCGTCATAAACTAGTCTAGAGGCGTCAATAAAATCATTTTCATCCACTTCTTTAGGAGGGTTCGTTGACAACGCATCTACAGCCAACTCGACACGTTGAGCAAAATTTGGCATTACTACAAAAAAAAAAAAAAAATTAAATAAAACACTGAATAAATAAATTATTGAAACAAACAAGTTGGAATACTCTATAAATATAAGCCCAAAACAATCCTAAATACTATTATTTTAGTTTTATAATAAGCTAAACTGAAACTTATCTTAGTGTGTTGCATAAAAGAGAACTAAAAAAAAAATGCTAGTTTAAAATATTTTAATTTTGATTATGAAAAATAGGGAATTTTAATAAAAACAATTTTATCTGTAGATCTGAAAAATCAATACCTAGATTTCAAAATATGAGTATTTGAGTATGATTTTATTAAAAAATATAAAAGTAACTATCCCAAAAGATTTTAAACACTCCTCTAAAGTTGATTCATATGCGCCAAGCCAAACCAATACTATCAGGGTCTGAATTTCAAGAAGGAAAACCTTCTTTTCAAATTGGTTTATATTTTTAAAAAAATCATAGCTTAGCCAAAAATGTATAAATCAGTTTACGTTAATATTCATATTTTTATATATTCTACATTTTACAACTAAATTTATCAATACACTGTACACATACATACATTTAACATTTATATGTTGTATAAGTGTACATACATTTTATAGGAATTTTTTTGTTGAATCAAAATTTGGCTTCAGTATTTCGCTAGCTCCTCAATTTGTTTTATTATCAATTTTGAAGTTGTACACAACTTAAAAAACAAAAATCAGAATTTTAAAATTTTCTTTTGAAAGAAAAAAAAACCTAAAATGTCTACATTATTTATGAAGCCAGTTCTGAATTTAGCAAAGAAAAAATTTAAAAAAACTATTTGAAATTAATTTTACATAAAATACTACTATAAATAACTTTTTTAAACATACAACTGAAAATACTCAAAGCGGTAATTTTTAATTTTACCTAACTAACTGGAGTAGCAGTTCATTAAGTTAGTTAATTAAGCTCATTTTAATAAAATAACTAGACTTGCTAGAGAAATTCTGAAGCACGATTTGGATTCAGCATGAAAAAAATGTATTTCGGTATTTGTTCCAAAAAATTGGGTTTGTACATTGTAGCTATTTATGAAATTCAAGAAAAATATAAAATACAATTATTCTGTTTGTCGTATTCCCTAATGCATATAGAATATTATATATAAATCTGTCAGATAATAAGTTAAAAATGTATCAACAATTAAAATTGTGTCCTACCTTGATCACGTAGTACTTTAATCGCTTCTAATACTCGTTCTGTATAAATGCCTGGTTCATAATTATCCATCTCAGCAGCCACTACATTACACACTCTTGCAGAACGACCTCTGATTGCACCAGCTGTTCTGTCCAACGGATCAGCTGATCCTTCTTGAAGAGCGAGTACACATTTATTGACATCTTCTAGGATGTGGCTTTCTAAAATTTAAAATAAAAATTATATTATTAATAACGCTAGGTAATACTTATAAATATTTGTATGTATTATTAAATGTTAATATTACCAGAGACTGCTAAAAAGTCATCGATTGTTGTTATATCATCTACGGCTTCAGTAAGTAATCTAACTTGAGCTTGCCAAGCATCTCGAAAAACATCCATGTTATCCTGAGCTAGTTTCGAACGAGGTCGAACAGCTAAAACTCTAGCTGCATTTATAACTTGGGGACATAAATTTTCAATCTGAGCAGCAGCCGTGCGTACCATTTTTACTCCATCTTCGTTACTAGACATACTACAAGCAAGATTTGCAACCTATAAATTAAAAATATATGTATAGATATATATAAATATAAAAACATTTTTATTTTAAAAAAATAACAATAATTTAGAAATCTGTTTACCTCAACTAGTTTGTTAGCATGTTCAGTAAACACGAGAGCACATTCTTCAACTTCTTTTTCATCACCCGAATGTGCTGCTTCAATCAAAACTAGTAATGGAACACTGGTTTCTAAGAAACTGAAATGGTGTTTATTATAATTTGTATCTAATGGTATAATGTTTTCTAATTACTATTATAGATTTTACCTGTCAGAAACGTGATCTACAACTGCTTTACGAAGTTGACGTCTAAGATCTCTAGTCTTACGACACATATGATCAATAGCCCGTTCTAATCCTTCACTAGTCTCTTTTACACTCATCTATTTAAAATAAATAAAAAATAAATAACATCAAAAGAGTGGAAATAATTTTTCCATAAATTTGTGAAATAAAATAACATGGGCAACATGCTCACAGTGCTTTTTTTATTCATGCAAAATGAAAAAAAACTCATCATTGTGCTTGTAGAGTTAAGAAAATCAAGACAAAAACAAAAATATAATTTTGGTTCTTGTTTATAATGTAGATACAATCATAGTATAGTACAGTAAGTAATAACTACATGCTATAAGGTTGAAATGTTTAAAAGGAAATTGAACTATAAAGGTAACAACTAACAAATAGGTGTGGCATCCGTTTCAATTTAAATCACTGTTCTTTAATTTAAAAAAATAAATTATGCATACATTATTATTATCTAAAAAAATACTAGACAGTCAATTTAAATACATAATGTTTTAGATTAGTAAACAGTAATTTAAATTTAAATTTATTTAATTTGTAAAATTTAGAAACTAACTTTTAGTACTACAAAACCTCATTTCCCCCCCCCCCCCCCAAACATAACAATACAAATAACAATTATTTTATTTTTTTAATTAATTTTTTTATTACAATCCTTTAAATCATAATTGCTTGGTGTATGGGGGTGAAGTAGACAACTCAAATTTTCTTATTCTTATTCATGTGAGAAAATAGCACTAAATTTATTCCAGATTTAAGTTCAACACTTCAGTTCTAATATGCTATGTAAAACACAGATAACTTTGATAGAATAATAATATTGTAAGCACAATAATTGTTAGTCATTACTAATTATTAGTCTACTTTTGAAACAATCAAGTGTGCATAACTGGTTTAAGGGTAAAACATATATTGCACGTATATTTGTAAAATAGGTAAATACAATGGTGGTTATATTCTACAGTGAATTAAGTGGTGTAACATTGGGAAGTCTAATGGTTTAATAAAAACTGTGTTGTAAAATTCAAAGACTACTCCATTAAAGGCTAGTTTGTCTATAGTATGAACCATACCCTTTTTCCGACCCTTTGGAGTTGCACTTGCTGCAAACACCAAGATAAACAAAATAATTATCGTTACTTGATATGTATATAAATTATTTCAAAAACAAGTTTAAATTTAAATTTATGCATTTATAAATAGCATTAATATTATAATAATGTAAGTTATACTACTTACATTTGACATGTATTCAGATAACAAGTCTTGCAATGCTTGACGTACAGCATTACACTCGGCAACAATTCTTTCTCTTCTCTCATCACGAGTACAAGAAGAATCGGCCATGAGAGCTGCACCACTAATTATGCTTTCAAGACGTTCCTCTAATGATGGTCTAGTGCGTACTTCGTTATAAACTAAAGGATCCATTACCATTCTTTCCTAAACATTAAACAAATATTTGTTTAAACATTTTAAAATGTACTGTCAGTTTTCTTTTATATTTACGTCAAAATCATCAAGTGCTGCAGCCAGTTCACCCGGGCCATCATAAATCTGATTGCCGTTATCATTTCCAGCTGCAGAGCGACCTTGAGCAACATCACTTATAGTATTGACAGCTTCGCAGACTTGTTTTAATACAAAATCACGATTAGCTTTAGCTGCAGCAAGTTCTGGATGGCGCACATAAACCTAAATAAAAAAATTTGTTACAATTTCATTCTGACCTCAAACAATAATTTAGTCATGTTGATATAATTTCATAATTAATCATTTGTACAATAGATTATTTGTTTACAAATTCATAAAAATGATTCAATTTAATTTTAATTTATTTTAAAGAACAATTAAATTATTATAAAAAACTTTAATGAGTCCAAGTAAAAATAAAATATGTACATAGAATTTAATCAAATTATATTTTATACCTTAGAAGCAGTTAAGAGCATGGTAGAATGTTTTTTTAATATTGCACGGGCAGCAGCGAGATCATCACGTAATTGTGGATCTTTAAGTTCTTGTTGACGCTTTGCAGCTTGGCTCATAAGTTCGCTGGCACTTCTACCAAAAACTTTTATGTTATCAAGAAGCTCAGCTTGGCTCGAAGCATTTTTCACTTTCTCCAAATCATCTTCAACCTAATATTATAAAGTTAAATGCATGCGTTAATTTAAAAATAGCCAATGACCAAAAAAATCGAACAATCTAAGTATTGACTGTACCACTCTTAACGATTTTAACAACAAGTGCACATCGACCATATCAGCAAGTATAAGTAGACGAGTCACTGCAGATAACAGATTCCTAGCAGCTCTAACCATATTACTACGTTTAGCGGAAGCGCATGGATCTTCAGCAAATTCTCTTGCAGCAATACTCATAGCATCACCTACATTAACAAAAAAACATTAAACATATTATTATGCTTTTTAAAATAATGTATAAAATGTACTGTATATCGATGGGTTCACGACAAAAGGGGGCAAGGGACATTTTCTAAGGTTTTCAGGAGAGTACAAACGGATTATTTGTTATTTTGAATTTCAAACTCCAACAACTTTTTTTTGAACAAGTTTCAAAATTTACTTTAAAAGTTACATATAAGTAGATTTAGTCGTATTTAAGACTACTATTTTCAATTAGTTTTAATTGTTACTTATGTGTTAAGGACCATTTTATGAAATAATTTGAATTTGTAGTGCTTATACCTCATTTTTCTTAGGACTAATAATTTTGAAGTATTAGAGAATAACCGACGTCGTTTGGTCCTCATATATATTTTAATACTATTGGTGTTTATTCCCTAAAAATGTCACTTAGACCCTTCACCAATAGTATATGATATGTCGCTTACTCCATTTGGTCGTGAAGCTATCGCTATGTATAACTTATTCAAATTTACCTGTTTTCCTAACTTCTTCAACAGCCGCTAACATTTCTTGTTTAATATCTGGGTTTTCATATGCAATTTGTTCACCAACTTCAATAAAGTTTTCAGTAGCTTTTTCCACAGCGGCTACTAATACGTGAGCACGCTTTGAACGTCCTTTCTTTTTCCGAGATGTACCTTTTGTATTCACCAAAGTAGTCACCTAACCAGATTTATAAATACACAAAATGTACAATACATATTATTGATACAGCCATAAATTACACTTACTTGTAAAACAAGTGGTTCTAGAGTCTTTTCTACAGACATTGTCCGTATTTCCAGATTTTTGGGATCCCATTTCAACGTTATTGGACCGAAGTGATCGGTCATTTTTATAATTGGCAGCTTACAACAAATTGCACCAAAAAACACAGTTAAAATGTAAGTTTTATAGATAGAATTATGATATAACTTTTAAGGAATTGTAGGTCCCACAAGTACTGTAGAATATTACAGGAAATTAGTAAGATAACGTATTAGTCGTAGCTGTATAATATGTGATGGCTAATGAATGATATCATCAATATCAACATTTATTAACATTAAACGAGACAAAAATTTTACAAAATATTTACATTCCTTCTTCGAAATTGATAATATACTTTAACAAACGGTGAGTCAGTAATGAATCATCGGTGACGCCCGGTTTGTTATTGTAAAATCCAAAGACGTTATAAATACGCGGGACTAATATAATTTTCAAATAATAAAACACAGTTTATTATTAATAGGACGTTATATCTATTTATTTATAGAGGAGCTCGGGTGTAGGTAATTTTTCGAATAATCGTAAATTTAGCTAAAAGTATTGTGTTCTTTATTGGTAGTTAATAACAAAATTAGCTACTAATAATAAAAACATTTTGGCCATTTTAACGAAATCAGCTGAATAAGAAATAGCTCTTGGTAGCTTTTTAATTTAAATTATACATTTTTGTCGAGGAAAATTGAAATGTTTCTTAACTTATAAAATATTACATTTGATGAAATAAAAAACAAATCGTAAAATGTTTATTAGTTGTCCTATGCAAAATAAATCATGAATGTGCTTTAATTAAAACTGTTTTCAAAATTGTGTTAGTTAATAAAATATTTTTTAAGAGGTATAATAATAAATTTAGGTTGGCTAAAATAGACTGTTACACAAAACCCTATAATTCGATGAACGCAGTTATAAAATACTTACCATTCTCCATTAAACAAATAATTAAGTGACCCAACTTTGCTAATTTCTTACTGTACTGATTTATTCTGATCTTGGTTTGGACTATACTGGTTTAGACTGTACCTGCGCGGTTTCATTAATCTAGTATTCATTCACTTTTTTCCTTAATTTGTTTTTTTACTTGTTAAAAATGAGTCAAGGGGATCGGTATAGGCAATCTTTTGATGATCGTAAATATATAAAACAAATAAAGTTTTGTATTTTTTTTTTGTATTGTTAACCAATTTTTTTATCAGGTTATCTCAACATCCATTAGCTACATAATTTAATATTTTATTTCTGTATGCGTAGGATTTACCTCAGCTATAACATGAGCTAAAAGACAATTATTTTATAATTTATATATATTTTAATAATTGATAATTATTTATACTTGCGAATTAGAAAGTAAGCTTTTAAAAAAATGATTTCAAAAAAATAGTGCTGTTGAATTTGGGTCTTAAGTTAATAAATTATTTAATATTACTTCCACCACAAAAACCTGTTAGAATAACTTTTAAATTCTATTCGATACTTGTAATACAGTTATACATGTTTATATTAGACGAACTATAGTTCGTTTTAATGTTATAACTCGCAAGCCTCAACACCTGTTATAATAAAATATAATGCGTAAATCACATTCAATGATATGAACAATATTTTGAACGTTTATATTATATATATATATATACTTACCATATCTAAATGCGGTAACCAGAATAATGTTTGCAGAGGTGTTAAAATGTTAGACCTAATATTTTCTTAGTTTTACAAAGGTATAATTTAATTTAAATTTCAAAAAATTTGAAGGAAAGTTATACTTTTAAATAATCCTAATCCCCTATTAACAGTCAGTTAGAGATGTTAAACAGGTAAATACTAAAATTTAGGACACATCCCAGTGAGATCATTTAATTTGAGTAGTAATACAAGTTTGAAAATAAAATAACCATATATAATATAACAAAATACAAATTCTAATACAACATGACAAGAAAGTATTATAGCAACTATATTTGTTCATAATCTAACATATAATGTCATTCTAACGTTTATTCTAATATAATTTACACATATTTCTCAATATATTTATCTACTTATATCTACTTTTATCTAATCAATATAATCTGTTTGTCTTGTGTGTTTCATTCATATTGAATTTGAATTTGTATTTGTATTTTATTGTTTTGCTATACTAATATGTCTACAACAGAATAAATAAAAAATATTTAGTAGGTTCGCAAATTGTTTTAAAATGCCATAAACCAAAAGACCGGATGAAATCTTATCAAAGTCAGGCAAGGGATTTAAGTGGACATAAAAACTGACGAGAATAGCTTGAAAACTCGTTGTGCCCATATCGAATCAAAAGTAAAAGGATGACGAACATTGAGCACTCAATTTATGCAGAAGTCAATCGAAGACATTGGAAAATTTATCATAGACGATTCGCTACAAAAAATCAGCCCTAATGATGATGGAGTCAAGTTCGACAAAGGAGATGTGATGCCTGATTGTCGGTCAAAGTATTTTTTAAATTTAAATATTGAAAAACTATTAAATATTATTGAAAATTTATTTTGAAATTTTCTTTCATATAACGATATTTCTAACTTCACTATTTAAAATTGATTTTATTATTATAGTTAATTAATAATTGTTTTATAATGCTGAAAGTTTGTATAAAACTATTTTGCATAAAACGTGATGTAACTTTGATAAAAAATGAAATTATACACCATCTCATTTTAATACTAACTTACGATCTTCTTACTCAGCGTTATGGTCAATTATACATAGTATATCCCTACATTGCGCAATGCTACAAATTTGAAACGTTGCGCAGTGTAGGGATAGGTAAATAATTAACTTCTTTAGAACTAAAATTGCCAATGTTGCTCGACCACGTTAAAAAGTTCTAAAAATATCGTATAGGTACCGCCTACGTTACAAAAGACCGGCCTAGATTAATATATAGGCCAACTTCAAGGCCGGTTGTTTGTAGCGTAGACGATACCTTGTTCGCTTACCTTACGCTTCAATCAATTTTTTAGTGTTTTGGATTGACTTCCGCAAAAACGGGATCTTGGTCTGTTTATCGTCGTCGTTAGCTGCAGCTGCACAAAAATTAACGAATTTATTTCATGCTATATAGAGAAGAGCTAAGGTTTACACGGTAAGGTGGTTCTTATTTAAATGTGTTTTTACTTTTAAAAAATTAAGTATGTTTCTTGATAAATTAAAATTGTACAAGATATGAAAAAACAATTTTAATGCTGATTTTTATTATTTTTGTGACACCAACTAATAATTTTAACAAGTTCAATGTACTTTACAAAAGTTACCCCAAATGTTTACGACATTTGTATGCTTATTATTATTAATTTTATTACAATGTTTGTATTCTATGGTAATTTATGACAATAAGCTAAAGCAATTATATTTACCAACAAAATAATTTATGAGTGTATTTTTTATTTTTTATACTACTTAAATATTGTTAATATACAATTATACAATTTATAAATTCACATAATATTTATCCAACTAATTAATATTCAAAGTTTACAATTAATTTATTTTACTTCACACGGAGGTATGTGGAATGAATAAAGAAATCTTGACAAAAAGAGAGTGTAGCGGAAGGAGATTTGGCTGGCTTACCCTGTGGGAAACAAGACGAGGAAAAACAAAGGAATAATTTTTGTTACTAATAATAAAAGATAATCTGATTTCACCAGCTGTTCTGTTTAAAAAAAATCAAAAATGAATGTTTCTATCTTGTCAATAAATAATAATAAGAACTCAATGGCCATAAGGAGATCGATCCACCTTCACAGATATTCTCCCTGTGATGGTCGACAACCATTTAGCCGAATCCACAAAACCCGACATTAGCAAGTAGAGGATGTAAGAAAGTTGTTTATATTAGTACTCTTACCGGTGTTTTGATATTTTATTGTAGTAAAAACATAATTATGAAAAATCTCTACGTGCTTATTACGGGAAATGTTGTATTGAATACGTGTGTAGTACAAAAAGGCGAAAGATTTATTCGTATTGAAAGGGAACCGGAGTTTAGTACAGTAATTGTTTACTAATAGTCATTCTTACCAGTTTAGCTTATATTTTTTGTATTGTTAAAATAAAGATACTTGATTTTGAAGCTAAAGTGCGACGAAAACAATAACATATTATTATTTATTTGTAACGATTTATTACTTTAAATTTCCTACAAAAAGTTGGAAAAAATTGTTTTTTTTATTACCAAACACACGTATTGAAAATATGTACATAACGCGAGTTACAAATAAAAATAATTTCGTTACGGTACCGACTAAGGCTTGACTTTTGTTACGTTACTACCTAAGACTGCTTCTTGGGATGTTCTTTGTTTTGTATACTTAGTACCTACATAAACATTAATACATATTGAATTGATTTGTGCATTATAGTTTAATGCTATAGGTACCAGCAACCTGTAGAGGAGAATTATTTGGGGAATTTATGAACATAATTAAAACAGATTATTCAAAGAAACTGGAACAATTAACTAAAATTAAATATACGGTGTTTGTTTAAATTCTCAATTGCCTGTAGTTTTAGATCCAAGATCAAGTAATTATTTTGTCAGTTTTAATAGTTTTTAATATTTTTCAATATGGTTAAAACAATATTTTTCTAATTTATAACTGGGTTGTGTCAAAAGAGTTTTTAGGAAGACGAATTTATAATTTTCAAAAGTATTTCTCATACTTATATGTTGATCGTTTTTTTTGTAGAACGGAGAACCTATCCGGTCAACATACTTAGTGGCTAAATATTTAATTACTACTAATAATAAAAGTATAATACACATCATATTTATATATTTTTTTATATAGTCTATTTACTGACGTATTTATGTACTTTTTAATTTTGATTTATAATATATTATCGATCAAACGATGCTGCGAAGGAGAGACAACATAATGAATGGGTAGATGATTTACTTGTCAAGTAATTAATAATAATTTTCAATTGGAACCAAATTTTATTTTATAATAAAATTCGTGGTTCAATAAGTGTATATGAATGTCACCGTAAATGGTGTATCAACATAATAGTGACGGGCTTTAGCAGGCAAGGAAATTTAACCAACGGTTTTCATAAGCATAGTCTTGTATACATATAGTCCAATAGTCGTTTAACTTTAAACAGCTGTTGGTCGAGGACAAAATCGATGAGAAAAGTTACCGAGGAATTCTAGGAACCTATGCTCATACCGCCCATGCGATTTGTGCCCAAGCCAGATAGGCTGTACCATTTCGGCATCGTCGCATCAGCCCTTCGCTGCGCATATTCGGCGTTGGCCAAAAGAGGGTGAAAGGGGCAAATGGGAATCTAAGTTGTGTGCCGACCGTGAGTAGCTTTACCACTTTTTACCCTCTCCGGATGCTTTGCAACCTGTCACGCTGAACTATTTCTTTTCCAACATCATTACATTAGCCGACAGGCCACGATACACAAGCATCGCATCGTTATGTCAAGTATACAAGTAGATCATTTGATTTTTATATATCTACTGTGTACACAACTTTCAATCGTCAAACATACCTTTAAATAATAGTGAAATATTCAAAAGCTTTAATACAAGTGTTTTACCCAAATAGTATCAAACGAATTACTTTATTTAAAATAGATTTACGCAATTACTAAAAAAATGGCGTGTACAAAAATTGTATGCAAAAAATATACAACTAACGTAGATATATATGATAGCTATAGATAACTATTTTGCAATTTATTAGGTCTATAACTACTAAGTTGATGCTTTTTAAAAGAGGTTAAGCATTATCAGACATTTTTTTATTAAGATCAAAACTCGTAATTTTTTTTTTTTTACTATCTCTTGATCGTTATTATTTATATGTAAAAAAATGTTTATGAAAAACTTAGATATGACATGTAAGTTATTAATTACAACCTAAGTGTAATTATAAAATATGTAATCTGTATAACATATAAGTACTACATATTATGATTTTGGTTCACTGAATAATAATCTTCGATAAATTAATTATCTAGAAACATTAAACATATTCTCATTAATTATGATCCTAAAGTACTATGCATGGCTTAGTCTAAAAGAGCACAGTTTTATTTTAATTATCTAAAATTACGTAGCCCGCGAGATCACACAAATTTTGAATATTGAAGTACCTAGCCTTCAAGAGCACACTCCGTGTGGTAATCAGCAAATTATTATCCGTTCATCAAAACCGTATTTAATGAGTACATAATATTCAACCGTTTTTCTGGTAAAATTTTAGCTAACACATAATACAGTCAGTATTCGCTGAACAATCAGTGTATTGAAGAACACGTTCAACATCGTATAAATTATAATTAAAGTACAGTAAATCAAATAATAATTAGGTAATTAACATATAAAATAATTTATAAAATACGAAATAATTAATGTTAAATCCTTGGAAAAAATATCCAATTTTTTCCAAAATTTAAAACATCTAGTTTTGGTATAATTTTATTCTTCACACACTTAATTTATATGACCTTGCCTTTCCATTTTGTTCTATTTGTGGCGTTTTATTTATTTTTTGTAAAATTCGTTAATATGGAGTTATGTTGACTTGTATGAATCAAAATAGTTATTATTATTAATATTTATAGTTAATTTGATATTAATGTCTAATAGCATGTACACAGAATGTAGATGTGTGTTATTGAAAAAAAGCTGTTATTTTGTTAAAAGTAGCTCCTACTTCAAAAACAATAAAAAATTAGAATACCCGCTCTCACTCATTGGTTTTTACAATTTATTAAAAAAAATGCATTAACATTAAGTTATAACGTAAATTTTTTTTATATCAGCCGCTTTTGCAAAAATAGCAGTTTATTCAAAATAATCCCTAATCCCCTAAATAAGGCCTTAGATATGGTGAAAATACAACAACAAGTTAGTTGATGTGTCAAAGAGCAGTTTATTGTGGCATACAAACTATGACATTTTCTCTTGCCAAAAAAATGTTCAAGTAACTCGAGTAAATAACTCAATACATTTTTTTTATAGCATATGTATGACCTAAAATTCTACTTTAACTTGTAACTAACTTTTTGATACATTGTGTAATACAATTGTGTTGTTGTTAATATGTTGGTTTTCAAGTGAAAAATGGGTCTCTTGAAAACTTCTATTTGACTAAAATGTATAGTCGACTAGACACAATAACTGCGAAGCTATATGTTTGTGCAGGTGTAAAGTATTGGTAGAAAACAACTTTTAGGCGAATCTACATAGATATCGTGTGTGTTAGATTGATAGTATGTTCTAGGAAACGGTAATATTTGATTATTTTATCGTCGTTGTAACTGGGGTTTACACCATTTGACTGTATTCGAACAAATACAACAAGAAGAGCGGAAGTGTTTATGCAAGTGTTGGTATAGAAAAACATTTAAAACAACCTACGTTGGTGTAGATATCGTGTGTACTAAGATGACTTATTTTTAAAAATACTACTTTTGTTTTAAATGTATAATTGTTGGAACTTTACAGACTTTGCACTATACAGATAGTGTCGTTGTATGCCTTACAATAACAATATTTTTTTTATATGTAAAATGTTTGGCTGAGCATGTAATCCAGTTGGTATTATAATTATTTGTATTTGTTGAGACTTGAGTTTTATGTGTTTGTAATATATATAGTACAACTCATTTATCGGTTTGCTTTTCGGAGCGTTGCATTAAAACCAATAAATCAAGGATTGAAATCGTCATCTAGCCAAAATTTACATTATTTGTTAAAACTATAACAAATGTTGATTAAAATGATTAATACCATAATATCATGATACTAAGCTTTTACCTATATAATTTAATCACGTTATGGTTTCAGACGTTTAAAAAAAAATAAGATTTTTCCGTTTTGAAAAAATATATGGGTTCCGTTTAACCGATATATTTGTTAGAATAATAGGTTTTTTTTTAATAATGTATACATTTTACTGTGCTTAAATTACCAAATTTTATTAAATATTGTATAAATCTATATACTTAACTTTTACAGTATATAATATATGATATGAAAACAAAATACTAATAAAATAAAATAAATTTAACTATTTAAATAAATACAATCAACAACTTAAATTCAAAATAAAATACAATTATTTATTTAATTTTTTTTTATATTTTAGTCTGGCATATTAATATATTTATCAAATGTACTACAGTTTACAGCTACTCAATGAGATTAAGTACTAAGTACTAGTATTTCTAATTGATCTATAATTTATAATGGGTGTATATCCGATTGTATAATTTGTAAGTATACTTTTATCTTTTTGATCCGAAGTGAAGCTAAAAAGTTTTTAGAATGTGTTTTTTGTATGTTCATACACGTTATTAAACTAGTGGTCCGAACCTTTTTTATTATACATACACAAAAGTACCTACAACCGACAGATCAGAACTTAGAAGACCGATGTGTAATTTTGTGGTACTTCGACGAATGACGGGTCAAAAGTTTACAAATCCACGACTGGCGCCTGCCTCTCAATATCAAAAAAATAATCTCCAAACCTTTTTAAAAAGTTTTTGTGTTTCGATTTTTGACAAGCTTAACTTTATAAAATTGATTAGATCGGACCTAGTTAAAATGTACAAGGAATTTGAAAGAAAAAAATATAAATTTTTATAATTCAAAAATAGAAAAGACATTATTAACGAGATTAACATATTTTATAATGCATTTGATATTATACATTTTAACACTATAAAATCAATTATTGGGCATATTTTGTCTAGTGGTGCAATTAGGAGGGCTAGGAGGTTAAACCCCTTAGATTATTTCAAACTCCCTCAAGATTTTTCAACAAACCCTGCGGTCCCTTTTGAATAATATTACGATGAGGCTTAAGCCCCCTCACGATTGTGAAATATATGCGCCACTGAATGTGCCACTCAAGTGAGCCGCTCAGCGTTGCGACTGACATTTCTAGTTCTCTTCGCTCGGAGACCACCAAGAACTTTAGCGACGAGCATTGCTTCTTACCAACACTCAAAACTATGTGTTATATAATTGACTACTGATTAACCATACATTTTAGAGCTGATGGTATTTAATCTTATAGTTGCTAATACTACCTTAGATAAATAAATACACGGTCTCTATCAAGAGGTCGGGTTTTTTTTTTAAATAGTAGACCAAAGCTCATACCAAGGATGTATCTGTATATTTTTCTCACATAAAGTAAATGATGACAAAAGTATTGTCAGTTTAGTCGACAGTTAGGTACTAATATTATCAAATCTATAGTAAATATATTATTATAGCTAATAGATTTATTGTGAATAATTATTTATCAACAGCTTTTAGTGTTATACAAACCTGTTAATTGTTTTTTTTTTTTTTGACAATTCTAGTAACAGATAAAATTGATCAATTTTGTTTCACAAGAAAAGTTATGCAATGTAATAATTTTGAATAAGATCGTACTGGTTAAATAAATATTGAGATTAGATTATCGGAAGAAAAATTGTTTTTATAAATATTTTAGCTCTTAAATTTTTAAATAATATAACATGCAGTTTTAGTAATATGACATTTATTATCAAACATATTTGATAATTAATAATTTAGTTAATAGTTTGAACAATTATTATATAATATTTAATGTTTAATAAAGAAAATGAAGTATAATAAATTCATTAATATCTTTATTCATTTTTGGAAAGGTACTGAGTGACAAAATATCTAACAGATGTAATCAAGAGAACATGTGTATGACAATCTTAATAATAATTTAAATGTACTAATTTTACAATGTTCAAAGAAGGGGGCAGCATAAATACTGTTTGTACCGGGGACAAATTAACTAAAAATCGGTTGCTCTGTAATAAAAACAACATTATCCGGTAAATGATACGACCATCGAAAAAACAATAGTTTCTTCTTGAATTAAATTGATATAAACTATAAAGGAATATCACCCTAATCATTAATCGAGCCTAATATCAACGGGAAGTTGGAAAGGTAATGGGACGAAAGAAATTTAAACATTTTTATACCTAAACGACTGTTGTAATAAATTCTGAAAAAACATTTGATATTTATTTAAAAAAAATACTTATAACCCGTATAGTCAAGAAGAACCCAAAACAACTGGTGTAAATAAACAGTTTCTGTGAAATTATAAGACATCTTTTATAATATAAGGGGGTGACAACACTTATCCGCAGTTTCGTTCATGTTTTGCACATGACCGGCAAGCGAATTCTGAACCGCCCCCAATAAATAAAACAAACAAACATTGCGTTGTTCGTTTGCTCATTGAGTTGGCGTTGAGTTTTTTCGCTGTAAGCGACGAGGAAGAGAATGGGCGATTGAGAGAAGACAGCTGTTGTAGCGGTAAGTGTAAATGGGAACTAGAATATCGTGAGAGCGGAATGGTATGCTAATGTGCTAACAACGACACGGTCGCTGTGTTATTGGAACGTTTACATTTGCGTGTACGGATGTGAATTTTGTGGCAGCGTGGTTTATTTATGTTATGCGTTACGTGAGTCTCATTCGTGCGTTGAGCGGTAGGGGAATTCTGGAACGAAAGAGAGGCACAACGGTGAATTATAGACACGACGGGACGGTGAGGGCGCGCCGGTCGTAAAACGTTTGGGGCCGAGACGGAACAGAGTGAAAGGCGGAGAGATGGACACACGGCAGAAAAAAAGAGGTTAGAGGCCGCCGAGGATAGTGATAATATATTACAACGTAGACTGTAGTGTAGAGAGGGGAGTAAGAGAGCTGCCGTTGTGGTATGTGTGCGCGGACGAGATCGATAGTAGTCACGAGGGAGGGGGTTACGAGTAACGAGGGGCGAAAAATAACTCCGTTCCTGTATCTACACAGAAGAACAGGCTGTAGTTAGGGCTAGGCTAGGCGCGTCGGCTGAAATGGAAAGAGGGGGGACGGGCGGTCATTTGAGCCGTTCTCGTTAGGGCCCCTTCCGCCCGTCCAACTAATGTGGCATCAGGCATGGCACACGCCGCACGATATGTGGCGCTATGCCAACGCTGAACGCCGTTATCGGCTCTTCCCTTTTGTTGTTGTGTTTCGTCGGTGAAATGTTCGCCGTCTCCACGTTTAGTGGGGAGAAGTTGGGTATATTCGGTGAGTCGCTGGCCGACACCGGCGGCGCTCAATTCCGTTGTCGGCGTCTCCGTTTCGTTCACCGCCGCCAGCCACCAACGACATTAACATTATAGAGTCGAGTGCGCGGGCACGGACGTCGCTTTCATATGCAATCGCTATAGCATATACATATAATATATAATATATATATATATATGACATATTATTTATGTATATAAACATTACTTTTAGCCGCCACTCAGTCCGTTGTCTGACATATAACAATATAATTTCGCAAAATTTCATTACACTATTGTAATTCGCTTGCGGCTTGCGACCTCGTAATAATCGGAAAGTACGGTAGTGTAGTGTAAAGAAAATTGATAATTCGTCATCGACAACGATAGCGGTGGTCGGCGTGGCGTGCATGTCGTTCGGCGGATTACGTACAAATACGGTAAGCGGTAAGCGTAATGTCAATGCGTCGCCGGTTTAGGTTATGTTTGTAATAATAAATTTCAGTAATTGCTTCTGCCGACCCGCCATAAATCATATTTTACGTTCGGTTCTTATTATTAAATGTGTATTGCTTATCGCTTATCAGTCGACACTCGGGGCTCGGTCGCTTTACGCTGGTGAATGGTGATTTTCCGCTATTATTAACATCGCCATTTCGTCGACCGTCACCGTCGCTTGCGGCAATGTAATAATTGTAATGCCAATAATATTTCACTGAATGAATAATTATTACGGAATTGCCCGCGCCGTTGTCCACTGTGACTCGTGTTATCAATTAACTGCACGATATACAATTATTATTTAATACAATCATTTTCATTCTTCATTATGATTTGTGATCTGTGCCCTAACCATAGTATTTAAATTGTCGCTGGCTTCACCGTTCGTTTAACAAACCGAGTTCAACTTATCATTCACGCCATAATTGTTTTTAATTAATAATATAAAAACATATTAACGGTATCGAGTGATGTTGTGTTTTTTTTGCTTATATTATGTTAACTCAATGTAATCTGCTAATTGAAGAACTTTATTTTTACACAATTTCTTTCTTGTAATAGTTATTAATTTTTGGACACTATGAAATCACTTTCAGAGCCAAACTGCATTTTAGGTAGATCATACATACATTATAATATTTACTGTTGGATAGTAGTATAGTGTCGGATACTGTAGGTAGGTCTGATTTTGACTTTGTAAAAAATGTGCATACAACAATAGTTGTAGAAAAAAAATCCATCGGGTAGAAGTGCTTTGGCCTCGTTAGTTTCTTGTCGCTGATAAATTATAAATAGACATTTAGATCCTAAAAATAAGAAAATGTTCTTAAATTATATTTTCTTATCTCAATCGAGTCTGTAACAGTTGTACAGTTTTGAGTTTAATGACTACATTAAATTGTTGGTAAATAAAACATATAGCTGTTTTTTGGGAACGTCAACTGCAAAATAGCTAAATATTGTTTAATAAAGTGACTTTTTTAACGTTGATTTGTTGCCTTTCAGAAATATAGTTACAAGCGATCATCGTTTAGTTAAATTCCATTCTTTTATAAATTAATGTTATAACATTAAACTACTTGGTTGACTGTAATTCTTGTTGTTTCATTGTTCCAATTACATTTAAAAATCTTAAAACCTACAATACTGAATCGTTTACATTGTGATAATGTAAGAAAATTGAATTGAAAGATCATTTCACTAGTCCTGTGATAAGCCTTTACAAACTATTTGTCAAAATTGTTCTTGTCGACATCACTTGCAACCAAATATGTATTTTGTGTGAAAAAATACAAAATGGTAGTTGTAATGATCGTGGTACGTGTAGGATATTTTATTACTACTAATCTTATTATTTACGCAACTTATTTACCAGATCTTACTAACATTTTGGTATTTAAGTGTTCCTTGTTCTGCTGACATCAATATTTGTTTATAGCATCAACAAGGCAAATGTGTAGGTGTTAATATAGGTGTTGTATTCTTTTAACTGATTTACATATTAGTTTATAACACTTTATCAATAGTATGTAGTTTAATTAGTTGGTGGATTATATTGAAGCTATCCTATGTATTTAACCATTGTCTACTATTCTATTATTATTGGACCAAATCTAACTTGTACAGTTTTTTTGGGTAATAAATGAATCCACAATGTGTTAAATTATTTCATGTATTACCTTCCTACTGTACGAGGTTGTATATATTTTGGACCCTGGGTTTATTACATATTAAGTAGTGTCAGAAGTAGGATTTCAACCCACGTCCTGAGTTCACTACATTGTTCAATACGTTTGGAAAAATGATAAGCATATTGTCTTTATATATATATATATATTATGCTATCCCTAATGCTTATATTTTCATCTGATAAATAGAATACCAATTGTAACTACTTGTTATTATTATGGATTTACCAGTATAGTGATAATTTATGTTAAATATTGTAGTCGTTGTTCTATATTATCCTTGTATTCAATGTTGTAAAGTTTACCTTATGTTTTAATTCCGATTATGTAAATAACAATAATAAGTCAACTGCAAACATAAATTCAAAAGCTCTAAACAGTTGTTTAGAGCTTTTGAACGGTTGACTTATCATTATTTTTAGTTCTCTGTTTGCTATTAAATATGAAATATTGTCATTAAATAAATTAATAAAAGTAATACTATAAGTTAAATTTCATTATTAAAACATTCAAGACTAATCAAATCTGATAAGCTTAAAATATTTTAGTCGATTAATAACTAAATGTAACAATTAGTATAATTAATTAAATCTTTCATTAATATTAATTATGATAAAAGTAAATATAAAATATGTGCGTTTTATGTTATTAGTGACCACGTTATAATTTTTTCATTAATAACAACCATTAAGTGACTTAACAAGTTGTCATTTTTTGTAAGTTATTATAACAACTTATTGAATTAATTTTTTATTTAATGTACAAAGCTACTTGAAAAAAATTATATACTTTTATCAGTAAAAAAAAGAGTAATTTATCTCATTTTTTGGTTAGGTTACTAACTTATTTGAAGTAACTTGCTCAGTTCCGATTCTCTGCCAGTTTCAACTCTTCAAAATTGTTTTAAATCATAGGAGCTTAAAATATTACAATATTAATATAAGTACTGGGCAAAATTATGTTTGAAGCCATTCGTTTTTGGTTTTATCTTTAAAATTATCATCAGAACTATATATTGGTAAAATAATAATAATTTTTTAGCATAGAACATGCTTTAGCCTAGGCCTCCTAACTCGAAAACGACACAAAATAGTCTATCTTGCACACCCAGTGGACCACAACCTGACAACCTGGTCTCTCTTTTCTTTCTTGAATATCGGCCTTATCTTATCCTTGACCTTGCTTATTCTCAGCTCTGGGTTTTGTCTAGCTATCATGGTCGAAATATCATTGGGCAGCATGTCCGCGTCCACTGCCTTAATAATGACGGCGTGGCCCTACTTCTGTTAAGATTGATTTGAATGCACCGGATCATTTTGATGTTGTCGGTCTCTGTGCCTCTTGCCTCAGCACCTTTACTCATATTATGAGCATAATATTATTCATATATATTACTCATATTATTTACTGAGCAATGGGCATAGCAGTCCCCATTACTTCTCTGGTGCGGCTCTTATAGTCTTATATACACTGTGTAACATATAACATAAAAGATGCCATCGAAATAATAACGAATAGTCGTCGTCATGTAAACATTTTGGCCAGAACTTATAATTAAGACTATACTATCGTCATAAAACGCAAGGAGATTATAAGTCAGTAATAACCACTATTCAAGAGCCAGCAGGCTAAAGCGTGTTCCATGTTTTTTAATTTTAGCCATTAGGCTTAAAGTAGACTGTATAGTTAATTTATGGAATTCACTACTGAGTTATATAGACATTTTTTGACCAACTATTTTTAATATAAAAAATACAAAAACAAATATTGAGTGAACGGATAAAGATTTATACAGAGTTTCATAAGAGGAAGCACTTGTATTGGTGTGCCTTCTTAAAAATCAAAACGCATGACTTGCCTGCTTGTAATCTATTTTATTTTTTATGTATATAATTTTCTAAAAAAAATTTATCTTTATTTTAATAATAATATTTATTATACAGTTATTGAAACAATACTTTTGTTTTTCCAGAGAAGTGCAAGAGAAAGTAAATGGTTTCAACACGGGCATGCACAGTTGAGAGTAAATCAAAGGGGAAAAAAAATGAAAACCCTGGTGTCAAAGATATAAGAGGTTAGTATTTTACCAATGGACTTTTCCATGAAAATAATTAAATTAAGAATAGCTTGCTCAGTAGGGTTGGCTGTCCAAAGTTCCATTGCAAGAAATTGTTTCGAAATGAATATGTAGATGATAAAAATGAATTAAATACCACTGATAATCAATCATAAGTTTTTAATTTTATTGTATTTGATAGTTACACACTAAATCTAAACAGGAGTTCCAAACCTATCCCCAAAAAAATAAAAAGTTTCAATCCTACCTATAGCTCCTGGGTTTCCGACTATATATCGGTAGTTCGCTATAAAAATGTGCCAAACAAATTTCAAAACAGTTAAACTATATTTTAAAAATTCATTGCGTTTAGTATTTAAAAGCTGGCCTTATTAGGTACCAATTTGTGGTCTGAAACTAGCTGTATGAAAAAATTGGTCTGGTAGTTAAAAAATTAAGGATGACATGACAAAAATATATAAAAAAAAAATTACATCATTGTTATTATACCTAGTTAATTATTTATTTACTTAATATCTCACTTTAGGGATTAGTAAAAATAAGTTTGTTGTGATTATGATACCACATTAATAAACTAGTACCTCTATGGCTACAGTATACACACATCATTATTTAGTTGTAAAAAAAATTTGTAGATTAAACATTTACTATTTTCAATTTATTATTTAGTTTTTACAGCTTGTAATTTACCAGTTATTTGTTGGTGGATCTATATTTTTAATACTATAATTGCATTGATATTGTATAACTGATACCATTAACAATTTATGTAAGTAGACATATTCTAGTGTAAAAATGAGATGATGTCAATTTTATTTTATATAGAAAAAATTTTTGACATCAATTTATAAATATAACTAATAATGAGTAAATTTAAAAAACAATCGGTTTCACATTTTTTTTAACAAAATCCGAATGACAGATTATTGTCTGTCGTTAGCGCTGAAGATGACAACATTGTTGCTGAAATACGTTTACGCGGAAAGTGTATTATTTTATGGTTAAGGATTTTTAAATATTCTTTATTATATATAACCATAAGTTGCTCAAGTTTTTTATAGACAAATTATCTATCAATTTAGGTCCTCAATTTATAATTTTTTTTTTGTTATTGCATAGGTACATTGTCTTACTTAACCTTAATAAAAAAAATGCTTAAAAATATAACTGTTGTTTAGATGATAAATTACATAATATCTTTCTGATATAGGTTGATACTATTTTATTTAGTTTCTGTCCCGCTTTCTCTATCACAATGCACTAGGTATACTTGCGTGATCATAACTCATAATAATCACACTGACGCACTTCCTAGGGAAAATAATCGTAAGAAAGATTTGGTTTTTACCCCACAAGTTGACTAAGTAGCAACCCTAAGTCACTGCATATTTGTATTAAAAACAATATTTATTAATTTTTTTTTTTTATAACACCCATCTTCTATACTCTGTTCAGAATAAGAACAGAGTATAGTATCTAATAACAAAATAATGTGGAGTAGGAGGTATTGTTGTAGTGTTGAACTCGTAATACAAATACTGTGGTGCACTTACTAGATTTCAGCTTATACAATTTATTTAAATTCCCTTATCTGCAAAGTCAAAAGTTTGTCCATTATCCTAGACAAATTTCGTTTTAACGCCGACCTTTGGTGAACTACCGAGCATTCCTCCATTCTCCTCCCACAAACACATGATGTACTCTTACTTTCTTATTTGAAATTTAACTGCTTTTTCATTTAATGGATATTGGAATTATAATTGGCTGCCGATCAAACAAATGAACACCCGAGTTTTTTTTATAATACATAATCGTATTATCCATATGTATAAAGACTTATCAAAGGATATTATTAACTAGCACTAAGCGCATAGTAAAAAATATTTGGCTATCCGCAGTTTGAATTAGAAAAATGGCAATAATTTTTATATTACATAGTAAAGAAAAAAATGTTATTATAATTTAAGTATATATGTATATACGAGTATATATATATATATGAAAAATTATTGTATTGAAAATGTTTTTATTGGTTGTTAAATTTTATCAGACATTTGTAGCGTTCATTATCGACTTATTTTTAAAAAATGGCAACCTTGACAAGTACAATCAACAATGCAACTTGACCAGGTTCACCTCAATGCATAATGTCATAAAGATTTGATAGACAAGGATAACAGTTTTTGTGAAAAAGGGAAACTTAAACTTGTGATTTCTTTTGTTTTTATTTATCATTACAGTGCTGCCAAAAACTAACCGTGAAAAAAAATGTGGGTGCACTAGTAAAAGTATTGACTAATCAATGATAAAAGTGATACTTTTTAAATTTTAAAGCAATTGGTACTATTTAAAATTAAAAATCAAGTTTAAATTAGGAACGGCTTATTATTTTTTTGTGCGCCGTCTAGCTAGCAATTCATATTATGAGCAGTCCACCTTAAAACCAATTTCGTCTATATAAAATAATAAAATGAAACTGTCAAGAAATACCTGTTTGCCTAATAAACGTAGTGGTATCTTTCACCTATCTTTAAAACCATACCAATAAAAAACAATATTTTCCATACTCTTTTTGAGTTGAGATCACGTTGTATAAAAAAAATTACATTTCTTATTAAACCCTATGAGATATTGAGTGGTTCACGATAAAATGATCTCCCTGTATATAATATTTTTATTGTAGGTTTGATAAATTATTTAGTCTATAAATATTCATTAGAATATGTTTACGTTTAATTTCAAAAACAATCGTGTACGGAAATACCTAGAAGATAATCACTAATTAACCACGCATATCTATTGTGTTTCTTTATTGTTGGCTTTAAACAGGTTTACGAAAATTGTAAATTGTTTTTTTTTTAATGAATAGTATTTCTAAATATTAAATATTTTATTGTACAACGACATCAGAATAAATGTCAATGTTTAGTGCGGTAGAGTAGTGCAGCAGGTACACATAAAATAATAACCCAAAAGTATATATTTAAAATTCATAGATCAGCCACAATTTCTAGAAACCTCTAGTGAAAAAATGGTAACCTTGATTTAATTTTAATTTTAAATTACTACTTTTTTTTGTGCCATTTTTACATAATATAAAGGGTGTTTTAATGTACACACTTATGTATAAAAGTGACATACTTTTTAGGCATGAAATATTATTTATCAATTTAACTTGAATGGATACTTTTATCAATCCCGAAATGTAATTTTGAGCTTATGAGTTTTAAAGTGATCGGACTAATTAGACATTATTTATCACCGAAATTTGTATACTATAAATATTTTTAATTGTTAATCTACCAAACTTACCAACAATATGAAATTCCAATTCAATAATAATTTATATAGGAGTAATTTTGTGACATTTTCTACATATTAAAAATCAAATAATTGCGTAATTGTCTGTTAAAAGTAATTTATTCAAAATAGTTACCTACTATTATTATAATATTAATATAAATATTTTAAATACATTTTTTCTTTTTATAATGGTCATAAGTGATTAATTATTTATTAAATGTTGTATTCTTTCAACAGGTGGTGTTAAGATTAAAATGGAAGCCAATAATCCATATGCCAGCTGTTCAAATGATGATAGCGAAGGTAATTTTTATTTATTTATTTTCGTTTTTGATTTTGAGGATAGTAATGTAATAATGTGGATTTAGATTTCCAGATCTTTACATAATAATTTAATTAGTTATAAAACTTCTAAATTTACAATCTTCATAAATGTGGTATAGTTAAATTCATTTTTTGGTTCTTAATTTTTTATGAACTTTTAAAAGTAGTATTAAATCAATCAATCAATAAATTCTTGTAATGAACTTACCTAATATAAAATAACTGTTATTTTAAATTTTGTATTTTTGTCATAATTCCAGAAGAGGAACAAAATGTACAAAAATTTACGCGTACTATACAGTCAGGATCGGCTCTTAAAGTGACTTTAAAGAAAACTAGATCATGCAGCAGTTCTTCCAGAGAATCAGCTCAATCTTTTGAAGTAAGTAATATAGGTAGAATATACCTACTAAAAAATGATGTGCTGGTGTATAAATAAATCATAAGAAGACTTACGTTAGTTTCCTGATTTTTTATTGCTATTTAATATGGGCAAACATTTATAATTTTAGGTTGTAAAAAGTGTTCCTGTCACATATGGAAGTAATAATTCAGGCGAAGAAGATGATGACGATCAAAAAGATTCGGAACACGATGAACTTGACAAATCTTCATCTTCCGACAAACAGAACGATGATGAAACCATGGAAAAAGAATCTGATGATGATTCTCAAAGTGTACATAGTTCAGGAAAAGAAGACGACGGAGACAGAACGACTGGAAGTCCTCAAGAATCTGTAAGAGGTCAAGTCAGCCCGGCTGATTCTGACACAGAAGTATCAAAGTTGTCAATAAATAAAGTGGTGGATTTAAAAACAGAAGAGATACCTCAAAACTCAGCAACGGTGAAGACTGAAGAAATTAAATTAAAAATAAAATCATTAAAAGAGGAACTATTAAAGGAAGCAGATCAGGAAGATGAAGTAGTTATCTTGAAGGAAGATTATAACAACGAACAGGCTTCCAAGACACCTGTTGAAAATGGTGTGGAAAAAAAAGAAGCCAAAGAAAATGTGAAAGAACAAAAGTTTAAGGTCAATGTCCGTTCTTTCGACGATTTGGCTGCTCCTCACACAGCCAATTTGATCAACATGCCACCTCCAGCACAAATTGAAACCTCACCAAATTTTTTAACCCAAAATGGGGCAACATTTCCTCCATTTATTAATCTTACTTGTAACGTTTGCGGAATTACATTTGATACTTCAGAATTGTTGACTGAACATAAAATAACATTGAAACATTTGAAATGTTCCTATAAAGAATGTGAACCATTGTTGTTCACAAGCTTGCAAGAGTTGATGGATCATCAACGTTTGTTGCATAATATCATGCCTTCATCAGTTCAACAATTAGAACATCAGGTAAAACAAAATGTTTAATATTATTTTGTTTCATAAACTTTCAAATGAAAAATATCAATTAAATAAAATATAGTTTTAAGTAATTAAATATTTAATGGTAATGGCCAACTGTGTGATTGATATAGTATGTATTTTTGATTGAAAAAAACAAACTTTATCGTTGGAATCTAAATTTTAATACTTTGATTAATGATTTTGTTTTGTAAGGTTCAACGTTTACCTACGATGGGTTACGAACAACAGATTCAACCTGGTAGACCACTTACTGACAATTTACCTCCACCATCTGGCGTACCGAATATGTATACTCAAACATTAAGGATGCCTATGCAACGGGGTATGAGACCAATTGTCAGACAAACCATGCCCCAATTGATCTCCAACCGAGGAAGGGGTTCAGCAATCATGAGTATGTATGCTACACTTGGAAATATAAAATTATTAAGTGAAAACTTAAATAAGTTAGAAAATATCAGTGGATTTAATCTTGGTAATAAATTATCACTACACTAAAACAAGACCCATTAACGTTTTTGGCTTAAACGCTCAAAAATTTTGAATGATGAAATTTTTTGAATTGCACTTACAAGCCCCCGAGTCCTGACTAAAAATTGAAGATTGGTCAAAATAATCATTTTTTTCGATACCTAAACAATTATTGCTCTTTTTTATATAAAAACATTTTGAAATGTTTTTGTATATTATGAACTATTCTAATTTTATACCGTTCTAGTTTTTTTACTAGGCTGGCTTTTGTTTGTTCTAATTATAGATTGCGCCAGACTGCTAGAATCGGTTTTTTGTTTTGTTGTTTTACCTTGTATCTGTATATTCGTGGCTGGTCGTATTGTATTGGGTTTTTATTAAAATTTGTTGTTTTACTGTGTGTTTGAATAGATATTATTTAAAAATAAAAAACAAAACAAATTCGTGGCTGGTCTTACTGAATTCAAATTGTTGTTTTACAATATGGTGTTTGAAAAGAAGCTATAAAAACAAAACAAATTCGTGAATGGTCGTATTGTATTGGATTTTTATTGAAAATTGTTGTTTTACCTTTTGTTTGAATAGAAGTTATATAAAAATAAAAACGAAACAAATTCGTGGCTGGTCTTACTGTATTGGGTTTTTATTAAAAATAACTTGATTTATTACCAAAACAATATTTCCACTAACGTTTGTAATTAATATATGTAACGATAATTTCAACCGTGTTATCTTTAACCACGAAGAACACCGAGGTTGATTGTGGTAACCAAAAAAAAAATTGTTTATATATCAACAACTTTATCGGTGGTTATTATAAAAGCTTATCACAGTGACTAACCGCTATATTTTTCGTAATTCTCGGTATTTAGCCAACTTCCGTGTTCATGTTACCTCCAACATCCTCTTCCTCCCACCTAGGTAAAACCTTAGCTTTCAGTCGCCGTCATTTTGATAAGTTTTTGTTATGAATTTTAGTTATGTGAGCCGTCGAGAGCAAAAGTGGTGTAATTTTATTCGCGTTTTCTCACAATCTGATGTAACACCTCCAGGCGAAGTTCAATGATCAATCTATTGCCTACGAAAGTGGTGTGATTCCAGCTCTGCTTGTTTTCCGCTGGACTGCAAGAGAACTTTTATGTTCTTGCAAAACCATATTATACAGCGTTTCACTTGAATCTTTTGTTTCGTGAATTACACCGTTTTTGTTTTCGACAGCTCATATACTTATGTTATTTGAATTGTTTAAGGTATCCATAGGAATTGGGTTGATATTTATTTATTTGTTTTAGGAGGAAGAGCACCTCTTCCTGGTATGATGAGAGGCTCCATGAAGAGAAGCGTACCTATGCCTGTTAGACAAACTCCTCCTATGAAACGTGTGGCTACTGATAGGTTTGTAATCTAGTAATTTTTAAAAATGTATCAGTTCTTATTATATTTTAAAAATTAAAATATTTTTTCTTTTTAGAAATAATATAAATTCAGCTCCTCCAATTGTCAAATCGTTATCAGAATCTCTAACAAAGTCCATAGGTGCTTCTAGCAAGTCGCCCGTCACCCAAAAAGACGTTGTCAACCTGTTAGGAAAACGAGGACTCACTATAAGCACGGTAATGTTAATTTATTTGTAAAATATCATACCAAATTTTATCTGTAGTCACTAATTGTAGTTCATCTGTATAAGTGTCTTCAAAAATGCATGTTTTTTCTTCATGTCATGTTTTCTCATATTATCTACCTACAATTTACATCTACCGTTATGAGTAAATAAATTAATATGGAATACATTGATGAATGTATATAATGTGTTTTCTTTACCTTCTAAGCTTTACACAGAAGTTAGTATTGACTATTTATAATTTATAAATCATAATTTAATAGTATAATTATGAATTATAAAGATTATTACATAAATATTGTCTATGAGATCTTAAATAACAGTAGTTTTTTTTTATTTGTTCATTTTTAGGTGGATACAACCAGTAATATCAGTATACCTGCTGGTCTTAGTCTAAATTCTGCAGTTTCTATTATTCCTACTTCCCCAAGTAAAGTAAGTATCTTAAATATGAATTCCACATTTTTATTATACTTTATTTTTAAAGAGAAATTCACCATTTTACCAGTTTAATCCCACCCAAATAATCTGTTCCAGAATTGGTTGGTTAATAAAAATTAATATTAATTTATTCAATAATTGTTGAGTAAGTGATATTGATCACTACCACCAGAGCCTATAAAAAAAGTACTGATTGTAAGTGTACAAACTGATTAGTAATTCAGAACAATAATTTGTGTTTCAGAAATTGGACACCGTCGATTTAACTGGACCGGATAAACCCCGTAGCAGCAATTCTGCAGCACAATATTATCCATGTGTTCATTGTGCAAAAACATTTTTAACTGTTGACAGTTTGAATGAACACATAAGTCTTACACACAAATCTGCTAAACTAGCATTTAAGTAAGCTATTTTATTAAAAATTAATATTTACAACAACATAATAAAAGCTCATGACAATGAAAAATAATTTTCTCTAATGGGCCTAAACAAATTTTTAATTATTAAGAACTAAATTATATGCATTTTTAGCGTATTCATCATTAATAATAGTAAAACTCAGTAACTATACAACAATTAGGTGCAATTGGTTTTTGTAAATTTTCGTTAATGGTTTATTTTTATTGTAATTACCACAGGTGCAACTTATGTGGGGCTGGTTATCCAAATTCTGCTGGTCTGAATCAGCACAAGCAAACCTACCACAAAGGAGAAATGGCTGGTCCTCAGTACGTCATACCTGTTATTGATGTTAATAGGCCGGGCTCGGTCGCAAGATTACAGTCATTGGGAATTACAAATTATTTGCCAGTTGGTCAGTTGAACCACCAAGGCGGTGAATTCGGATTGCCAATCATGAATATCATGAGACCCGGAAGTTTAGATGGGTTGGGAGCAACCAACTACTTCAATTTAGGTCCTATTAAAAAATTTACCAAGTACTAAACTAATATCATTATTTTTTGACAAAGCGTTTTTATGCTTACGGTTTTTGATGAACTGTAGAGATATTTGTGTATCATTATTATTTTGTGTATATTATTATGACTAATTATAATAATTTTCTAATAATAGTTTATTTAATTTTAACAGTAATTTACTTTATATACAAGTCAAAAGATGATTTTTTTTTTATTAAATTGTTTTATGTATGTTGAAAACTTTTTTATTATATGTCAATTTAAAAGCATTCTGGATTAAATCTAGATTAAATCTAAAAATTTGTTAATATTTATTAATCTTGTATGAAAAAGAAGATTAAAGATGAAATAAATATACGTCAATAGTTTTTTGATATTTGTGTAGTGTTAGCATGTCATTTCCTAAATGTTGTTTTGTATTCAAAGTCATCAAGTTGATTGAAAGGGCGATTAGTATAAAATTCAAAGTATTAAAAATGTGAACTCTAAACATAGTGAAGTAAAAACTAGTCTTCACTATTCACGTTCACTTATTGTTAGTAAAAATCAAAAACATGTTTTTTGGTCATAACTGATTGAAATTTAAAACAATTTGGTCACTTGTTAAAATATTGTTAAACATAAAAATGTTACGTATGCAGATTATTACATAAATATTTAAGCATGTAAGTCGTGAAAGATAAAATGAACACAACAATTCTGCATGTATGTATTTCTTTTACTAAGATATTTAGAAAATAGTTAATTCTAGTATTGAAAAGCAGAAAAGTACAAAAACCGATTAAGAAAAATCTACTAAATTTTAATAGCATAAATATTACAGAATAGAACTTTTCCAAGGGTATTTGGTGATGATACTGCCACTGTAACTCATTCACTCATTGTGTAGCTAAATGTAGCTTGAACGGAATTAAAAGAAGTCTGATGAATCGAGTTATGGTTTGATGAAACTTGAGTGATTTGTATCTTGAAGTGTACACAAACAGTATATAAAAACGATTATGTATACATAAACTGGTGTTGTGAATTTTACATCAGAATGTCTTTAATGCGTCAATCGTTTTTAATTTTTATCTTGAAGTGTGTAGGCCTATGCGCGAAATCCTTTTACCTAGGATTTGGAAGACAACCGATTTTAACGTGTCTAGTCTCTTAATATACGGGACCGTAACCATTTTTGCCATAAAGGTGAAACTGACTTGCTTAAACGGATACCAATTGATGTATATACAATTCATATATTTACTGGAATATATCCTCAAAGATGAATAAATCCGTTACGAGTTAGGACTACCGACTGCACCTTGCTGTCGGACGTCTTTATTTTCACGGTAGCCTCGGATTTAGTCATTGATTGACTACCATCGAAGACCTGTGCTGACATTTTTATTATTATTTTAGGTAATATATTAATTGGTTTCAGATATTAGGTTGGTATAAAAACAGCTTATGCGCCTTTCCCTCTCACAACTTAAAAGAGTGGTTTACAGCTCTGAAAATAGAAGATGAGAGACTTCAGAAACGTCGGTAAAGCCAATATGTAAGTATAGGTGTAACCGAAAACTGTGTAATTATTCAAATTATAAACTTGTTTCTTTACACCTACAGGTTTTATTTTATTAGGTATGTTATGTATTAAAAAAAACGCGATATTTTAATTAAAATTTAATTGAATATAATTTTTGTTGTTTAACATTGGGACAATTATTATATATATTTGAAGCTGGGGAAAAGTTACTTTTTAAAAATAGTTTATGATTAAGTCATTTTTAAAATAAGTAACTCGTTATGTTAAAAGTTACCGAAAAAGTAACCCTTAACTTTGATTTTGAACACGTTTTTGGTATTTTCCATTTAAATGATGGTACGACTGAGAATTTGAATTTTTGTTTTTAGTTGGGTTATAAGATGCTATTTATGACAATATTTTTAGTATACCGATGAAAACACATTTGTGGTAGGTATCTATTTTTCAGGGTTTCCAGGCATATTTTAGTATTTTTTTTTTTTTAAGCGATGTACTAATATCGAGGTTTTGCTATTATTATTACTTACCATGACTTATACTTACTTAATACACATATGTATGCATAATATTTTTCTTTATGTTGTATTATTTAATGATATTATACATTTGATTTTTAACTCGAATAGTAGAAAAAATTATATTCACGTTCAACATAAAAGTTAAATCTCGTTTGGACAATTTTAAGTATACAAGTTGGTACTACTGAAACCCACTGTATGTTGCAATATGGCCTTATAGAGCCTTTAATTAAAATTAAAGTTTAAATTAGGTACACGTTTTTTCTCCTATCGTTTAGGTACCTATACTATTACACGATATTAAGAAATGATGTTATCTTAGAGGTTTTCTTTTAATTTAACTTTATGAATTCTATTATCTCTCTCACAAGATTCGCCTGCGTGATTACCTTCTGATACGTTTTTACATACCTACATAAAAGCTGCATAAGACCCAAGTATTACCTTTAATTATTAGTGTAGAATTACAATACAACCGATGTTGTAAAAATTATTTAGAGTTTAAGTTCAGCTTTCAATGCTGACAGTGACGACAAAACATCTATGTGAATTTCTGTACAAGTTTTCGGGAGACATTAACTGCCATGATGGTATCAGCATTGCGGTAATTGCCGAAAACTTACCTTGGATATTGTTAGCTTAAGTGAACCCGCAGACATGCCATTTAACGTACATCCGATAATCCTCGCCGACTTTTGTTATTGCAGTGGCAGTAGGCGATTTTGCTATACCTACTTGCCTATTATTATTGAGTTTGGGTTAGCTATGAGAATAATATTCAGCAACGTGTACGGCATTGCACAAACTATACAGACTGGATTTAACGTTACTAAGAGTATAATATCATTATCCTTTTCGATTCCTTGTTCCGCTTTCGACGCGCACAACCGGACGTTATTAGATTATTTTATATTGTTGGCAACATATTTTCCACCCATAACCCAATATTCAATAACATCATCAATGTTAGTTCTTTGTACACCTGTCACCTACACGTTATAATTATATTGTTAAAGAAACAAAAAGATGTTATTAAGTAATTTTGATTATCTTAATGCAACGTTATTTTCTTGTTATCGCAGGAGTGATCTAGAAGAGGAGGGCAAGAGAGGACAGTTGTACCAAAGATTTTACAGGAGGGACAAAGGTATCATTTAAACGGTATTGGGAAAAAATCAAGTTTACAACAATTATTATAAAGAAAAGTAACAAAATCAATTTCAAATAAACACTTTAAAGCTAATTTGTAAACACTGCTGCTCTTAAACGCCTCTTTAATGTGCTCGTTTACACTGTGCTTGGTTTATAATCCAAATTTGGACTGTACTGGTTTGAAAATACTAACTAGTAACTTGAAATTGCTGACTTTTTGGTTTTTCTGAACACACTTACAATTTGTTTTGGAGTTATAGTAAAAAAATATCTAATATGCGATTTTTTAAAAATTAAAAAAATAATTGACGACTGTACCTTTTAAAATTAGCCATTTAAATTTATAACATTTCCCTTTCCTAATACATATACACTATAAAAACTAGTATTAAAAAAAATTAAGTTCATGGGAACTATTCCTTCCCATAAATAATCCTCTCCTACGTAACATTAATGTTCCTTACATATTGTATTACCTTTCTATGTTCTTTAATATGAAAATACGATTGCTATGCATAATTAAATTATCCAAAAATATGCTCTAATGACACCTGTGCATTTTGACTCAGTGGCACGATTTTAGAGGGCGCTATTATTATACTCAAAACTATAATTTTAAAACTAGACTGGTTAAGTTGCTCGTAATTGACAAATGAGGTCTGTAATAGTAATAGTGGCCTGCCTAACCCACCAAAACGTTACAGTGAGTAGTATCACTAAAGTTTTAATTTAAATTGCTATAACCTCGGCTATAATTAATTACCTATTATTTAAATTATGTCGTTTTGATGAAACTACGAAATCGAATTATTCAACTTGACAAATTTTGAAGTCCTCCGGGTAATAGGTGGAAAATAGAAGACATAAAACTATTAAAACTATTAGTGTATAATATATTAGAGATGGACACTAATCAAGAATATTGTAGATCATGTCACATAATTAATTAATTTAAAAAAAAGAATTCCTTATTTTTATAGTTCTTTGCATGAATAATTGCATGCTCAATATTTTTTTTGACATATGTTTGCTGCTAAACCGCATTATTAATAATTTATAGAATGTTTAAGACGTTTTTTCGTAGAAAAAAAAACTATAATTCTTGATAAGTAAAGAGTGTTCAAGTAGTCGGTAGTAAAATAAAAACCTACTTTTTCAATTTCGTATCGAATTTTAAGAAGTAACTTTTTTCTTGTTTGGAAAAAGGAATAGAATTCAATTAGTTTTTAAGCTATAGTCTATAGCGTTGCTTTAATTTGGAGGCAGATGCGGGTTTATACAAGAAGGCAATTAGATAGTTCAGTTTTCCTATAATGATATAAATCTTGAGTTTTATTTGTACTTTCTGTTTTAGAATCTATTTAAGTGATAAGTTTTTTAATTGGACGGTTTTAAAATAGAGAATAATCCATGGGAAATCATACTAAAATCGACATTTCTAACATATTGTTATTCTGTGCATTTAAAAAATATTTAATTGTCGTTAGTGTTTGCTTAATGATTATGGTGTACGGATATAAATTAATATACAGTAATACCAATATATATATATATATATCTATAACATATATAATATATATATATATATATATAATATACATTTCATAAGCGTAATTTGAGAGGAATTTGAGAGTGTTTAGTATACCTAGACCCTAGTTAATCAACGTAATCCCAAAAATTGTTTACGTTCCCTACCTTCGATTATATGGAAAGGGGACTTCATAATATTGGCGGTGTTTAAGAAAGTCCACTTTTTTCCTTTGTGAAATGGCGACCTTAATCAATTTATTAGAATAGCTTTTTTCCAACTAAAATTTCATGCCAGTTCTAGACTCTAGTCTCTAGTATATATTTTATTTTGTAGAACTAAAAATGTAAACCGTGAGTTAGCTTATTAGGTTCCAATAAAAATACAATTTGAGTAATAAAGTGATATATAGATTGTGCAGTATTATGATGAAGTGTAACAAATACAAGTGGCATTGAAGTAGCCGATGCGTCATTATATTTTATAATGATGATTTGTAGTGGCACTACAATTTATTTTCAATCTGCCAAGAGTATCGGTTTTGCTGT